GCTAATATTCCAACATTTAGACACTCTCGTTGCGGTCGGAAACTGGACCTCCGTCGAAACCCCCCTGGCCATCATCTGCGCCTGCCTGCCTACCATTCCGGCCCTTTTCCGGGTAAAGAATCGATTCACGAGCGGGTGTTCTGGGAGTACTTCGAAGACGGATGGTTCGGGGCATCATCCCGCGCTGCGCTTTTCCCACCACCACCACCCTTCCGCCAATCTGACGGAATATAGCGCGTTGGTTAGCGACGGAGCATCTGCTGCCATCCCCCTGGATGATCTGACCAAAGATCGCATTCGGATCTCACACAGTTTTGCGGTTCAAAATGCAAGGCCGGGGGAGTGAAGAGGGATTGTTGGGAGCCCGGCGGAAGGGCATGGGGAGAGGAATGGCGAGGGCGAGGGGTAGGAAACCCAATCGGGTTAGTTAATTTTGCAAGTGGAGAGTCTCACAAGGCAGGCAGACAGACGTTTGGCGGGACCCTTACACTATAGCCTGTCTAGCATGTGCATCATATGCAGACTTAAACATAAACATGACAACTGGCACGGTATCACCTTCACTGAACCTTGGTGGCATTGTATATTGTATTGTATACAGCTTAATCAGAGACCGGGTTTGCGAGCATCAAACCATACGCAAACTGCATCGCTTGTGGCACAGTGTTTCAAGGTTGCCCCTCCCCCCTCCCCGCCTCCACCTTACCGATCTAATAAGTTTAATTTCCCCTTAGCTATTGTCATGCCTGTAGTGCCATGCACGTACACAGATCGAGACCAGTCTTCTGTCAATTTTCAATAACATGCTTTGCTGCTCTGCCGGGAGGGGATGGGGCCTGATCGCAGATGTACTTAAACCAATAAAGAGTGGTCAGTTCGTTGTCTTCCCACCTCCTTTCACCATTCAATTTTTCGTCGCCAATTCCCTATGGATTCCGAACGTGCGCCCGATGGCTACCTGCTCAGTCGTGACCACGTTGATTGTGATCGGTTTGAGGACCTTTGGACGACGGTAACCCGTCGTGTTTTCTTCTGCGTGCAAGCTAACATAGGGCAAACGATACAGACTCAACCTCCAGCATAGCCTCTGGACGCAGATGTTCGGCTACCTGCTCCATCCTCTCATCGACACTTCCAACCCGCATTTGAAAGTGGCCGACCTTGGGACGGGAACGGCGTGAGTTGTCCCCGCCTATCTTTCGCCTGTGTTGGTCTGTGGGCTTACTGTTATCCTCTTTTCCAGATGTTGGCTCACCGATCTCTCCGCCCAACTCCCGCCCACCGCGCAACTCGATGGATTTGACCTGGAGCTCACGCAAGCGCCGCCGCGGGAATTCCTCCCCAAGAATGTGAGCCTGCACGAATGGGATATCTTCTCCGAGGTGCCGGAGCACCTGGTGGGGCAGTATGATGTGGTCCATGTGCGCCTGCTAGTGTTTGTGGTGAAGGGGGAGCCGACGGAGCTCCTCCGCAAATTTCTCAAGCTCCTCAGTATGCACCCAAAATTCCACCGTCCGGGTTAGAATTGGCTGACACATGTGGTCTACGCAACGAGCAGAACCCGGCGGGTGGCTGCAGTGGGGCGAGCCGGATGTTCCCTCTATGCGCCTGGTCAAAGCCGACCCCTCGCTGGCGGAAGATGGGCTGCGGGAGCTGTTCCAATTGACGGCAGCGCAGGATCCACGCCTCATCCCGCAGTGGCCGGACCAGTTGGGGGCGTATTTCGGGCGGGAGGGGCTTACCGCAGTGGAAACCCACCGCGTCCAGGCGGCGGCGACCAGGCCGCACCTCGAGTTCGCCATGCACCAGTGCAATCTCCTGATGTACGAGATGATTGCCTCGCGGGCGGCCGAAGGGTCCAGGGCCCAACAGATCCGGGCTTTGATTCCTCGCGCGGTGGAGGAGTCCAAACGGGGGGCGATGTACGCCATGCATCGAGTGGTGGTGGTGGGGCAGAAGAAACCTTGATTTTAGGGTTAATTACACATGTAATGTATTTGCGGCCGAAGAGCATTGGGAAATTGACGTGGAGGGGTTCGGGACTCGGGACTTGGGACTCGGGACTCGGGAGTGTAATGCTCCCTCCAGCAACAGCAGCAGCAGCAGCAGCAGCAGCAGCAAGGTTACATCGCACTGCATTAGTCCTGGCCCCCACGAGACTAATTGATCACTAGAGTAAGAGACGTCTCCGTAGTAAGACCTTGTCTCGTAGTTCCAATGTTCGTTTTTCTTTGCCAGTTGGATCGCTAGTTAATCAACCGACTTAACGAACTAGCCTCCAAACTAAGGCCTAGTGTTCCATAACCACACCATTCACACCATTCTCTCCGCCGTGATATTAAAGCGCCCTCCCAGCAAACAAGAAGCCAGCAATCACACACACTGAATCTGTACCAATCCCTCCTTACCCTCCTCTCCTCACATTCCCCTCCTCCCAAGCAAGCCAAGAACATTCCCACCACCATGACCACCGCAAACCCCACCATTGTCCTCGTCCACGGCGCCTGGCACACCCCGGCCAACTACGCTCCCTTCGTCGCCGACCTCGAATCGCGGGGCTTCACCGTCCACTGCCCCCACCTGCCCAGCTGCACCAACACCTCCCCGCCACCGGCCACCTACCAAGACGACGTGGTCACAATCCGCACCCTGGTCACCACCCTCGTCAACAACGGCGAGCGCGTCCTCCTGCTCCTGCACTCCTACGGCGGCGCCATCGGCACCGACGCCGTCCAAGACCTGGACCTGCCCTCCCGCGCGGCCCAGAACCTCCCCGGCGGGATCGTCCACCTCCTCTACCTCTGCGCCTACATCCAACTCCCCGGCCGCACCATCTGGGACGTGATCACCGAAGCCCAGATGACGGGCTTCTGGCCGCAGTTCGTGCAAGATCACGAGGACGGCTCCACCTTCCCGGTGGACCCCGTCCAGCTCTTCTTGGGGGACTGCGACGCGGACCAGATTGCGGCGGCGCGGCCGCATCTCGTGCGCAGTCCGCTGAGCGCCTTCCATACGCCCAGTACCGGGGATGCGTGGCGGAGATTGCCGGTCACGTACCTCACTACGACGAAGGATTATTCGGTGCCCCGTGTGTATCAGGATATCATGCTGAAGCATGTGGCGGAGCAAGGGGTGGAGGTAAAGGTGGTGGAGGTGGATACGGCGCACAGTGTGTTCCTGTCGCGGCGGGAGGAGGTGATGCGGTTGGTGGACGAGGCGGTGCACGATGAGCGGAATCCTTGACTTGGGGGATGGCGTTGTGATCGGTTTTGTGTTGGGGTTGGTTTAAGTTGCAAGTTGCTTGCTAAGAAAGGGGCATTGGTCATTACTGTCTCGTGGATGTAGCTGGCGGGATGAGGAGCTGGGGAACGGGGGTTTTTAGGTATAAACAATAAATGCGATTAGGATGGATGTAATATTTGAAAATGAACCGATGTCTCCAGGTGAGCGAACCTGCATTAGCGAACTCTTGATGTTAGGGATGATCGCGAAGTATACTCAGTACTGAGCCCTACAAGAGCCTGGCCAGGGGACCGGCCATCGGGAGCCGGGGGCGAGTGGTCGGCTGATTGACGGATGTATACGCGTTTATATAGATAGATGTATAGATACCTTGCGACTCATGAGCCCATAGCTCCCTGTGCAGAACAAGCATCATCCGATCTATGTTTCTTTCTGCTCTTGTTCACTGCTTTCCCGTCACTGTAAGGCATGCCTGAACCACTTTGCTGGTAGGAAGCCACGCATGATTCCTCGCATGTATAGACCCCTTCACTCGCGGCGACCCTTCCAGGGCTCCTTGCATATCTATCACTACAGGTCAGGCTCTCTTTGGAAATTGACGGGAAGAACCCTTATCCTTTCTGCTTGTCAATCTAGCTTGGTGCTAACTTTTGTCTTCTCAGCAGTCCATAGAAGTGTACTATTTTCTCGATAAATCCTAAGTACTCTCAGATTTATAGACAGACTACCTTCCAAAGCAATAGAAACATTATTCTCAGTATGTATGTCAACTTCTATAGATGTGCTGTATCACATTTTCTAAACCATATACAACCACGATGTCATACCTTACTTCTCACTAGTATATCCAAAATATTTCGTAGAGCACATCAACCAGCTTTCATATAGAAAGGCACCATAACTCTCGAGACTAGAAGCCTCTTCTATATTCTTTTTCTCGAGCATTCGTCTCTGCAGTCTTACCTCCCTTAGAACCCGTCAGCCCATAGTATATCTGTTAGCTCAGGACAGACTCTTCCCCCCCCCATCCGCGTTCCACCCGAATCTTCCGTATACTATACACGAGCGGAATCCAGCCCCGCCCCCCGGAGCCCCGCGCGTGGAGGTTGTCCTTCTTTCTCACCTGCGAGGGACGCTTGCCGGGTTGCCAACGAGTTCAATCTCAAAAGAGCTGCAAGGGATAGAATTAGAAGAGAGAGGTGGTACGGTACAAGAACAGTCGGCAGCTGGACTGTCTGTCTGCCTGACATCGTTCGTTGTTTTCGACGAAATTCATGGCCGGGTGGATGCCAGACGCCGCCTTGACTGAGAGGGAAGCAAGCATTCGGCCTCCAAGGATGGCTACTGGGGGTTCCAAGTTATGACCCTTCTCCTGGCTCATTTGTTTGTGTTCAACGATCAAGGAATAGTTTTGTTTCTCATTGATGTTGCGCCCTTCCGTCAGACCATCATGGCATCTCAGGACATGTCTTGATCACAGGCTGATTACTAGTGACGTATGGCCAGGACCCTGAGAGGGGGGGTTTCTTTTTACTTGAATTGCCACTGTGAACGTGATGATTGCTACTGTTCGTATTGTCAGAACGTGTTCAGGCTAGAATATAGCTATTTGCATCGGACGAGACTCTCATGCGTAAATATCTCCTATATCAAACACAAAGTACGCGCTCAGAGGTGGCTGCTTTTCTGTAGTTCCTTGATGATTTTTGATAAAGATAGAAGTGTCGGTGGGAAGGTATATAAGTAACGCGGAAATCAGAAATGCTTGGGCATCACATGACAAAAAGGCCTGTCAGGGCAGAAGAAGAGAAGAGTGAATGATGAGTGCGAAAGATACCTGTCGGTTGCTGGGTGCATATTCACTATCACCATAGAGGGGAAATGAGCACTCATCCAGCCCCGCAGACTCCCATGGATGGATATATTACACCACCAATTCTCAAGGTACTGTCTGGATGATGATAGACTAGATGGTAGATGACAAGGTGTATGATGGTTGAGTTGGGAAAGAGAGCCAAACGAGAGCCAAACGAGATGGGTTGGATCAGTGGAAAAAGGCGCGTGATGAGGCCGGAGTGGGTGTACCCGGTCTATGCGATGAGCCATAATCATGAAAGGATATGGATGAGTCGGGTAATCTTCATGCTTGCATGCAGCAAAAAACAAACGAACATGGCTCAGGCTTGGTCTAATGAGTTGACCTCGTCGTCTTTAGAAACACGTGCTACTTGACCATCCAAACACCTCCTCGACAATATGTGAAGATCGACAAATAACATGATGATAATCCATTAAATCGCAAAGCCAATTCCAAGTCTGTTTTATACCCACACACAAGTAACCCCGGAAGCATCAGAACGTATGAAAACCGAAGAGATATAACCCCAGCCAAACCATGCCATTGAAACAGTGCCAGACAGTACAAGGCAAATCCGCAGCCATGCTCAACAACGCAATCTACTCCTCGCTAGCCTCTTCCACTCGGGGTGCCAAGTCACGCTTGACAGTGCTGGAAGTATCCGGTGCCTCCGTTGCCGTGGTGGACGCTGCCTGGGTCGCATCATTCGCGGCTTCGGCTGCAGTTTCGGACGCTTCACCACCTGCAACGGCCTTCTTTGACTTCTTCTTCTTCTTCTTGTTCTGTTTGAGGAGTCAGTATGTATACTTCAACCAGCAAAAGACATCAATCAAGCATACCTCTTGCCAACCCCACAAGGGCTTGAAACTGTCCACAAAGCCGACGTCCTCAAAAAGATTCGGGAAGAGCCAGAGACCAGGCGGCACCGCGAAAACAGTAATGCAAAACAGAATCAGACGGAAGATCGCCATAGCGAAGAACAATCCCAACAGACCCATCATGCCGACACTCAGGTACCAGACTCCTTGCCGCAGCATCATAGGCCAAAGAGGGAAGAGCACAACGGCGAAGATACCGGCGACAACAGCTCCCGCCATCAATTTCTGCTTCAATTGCGGTCCCTCGTACAGCCAAACGTAATGCATCATGGGGTTGGTTTCCTGGTGTTGCTCGATCTTGACGGTCCAGAGACCCTTGACACGGTTCTTGGGCTTGGCGTGATTGTGTCCCGCATGAGGGTCAACCTTCGAGACACGGAGTGCCAAGAGGGACAAGGGAAGAAGCTTGAAAACGTTCTCGGCGGAAGCACGGTCAGTCACCGGCGGGAGTAGCGAGTTCTTCTTCGCAGCGGCTTTGGCATAGGCGGGGGATTCGAGAGCACGAATGGCGCGTTTCACTAGAAACAAGTATCAGCACTATTATGATAGGAAATAGCTTCCGCCCGATCGAACCTTTGAACATCTCCTTCCGTTGGCCATCCATAATGCAAGTCCGGGTCTTTAGGTTCTGCGACTGCAAAAACTGAGCCACCGCGATCGCCTTCGGGTCGGGGGGATTTGACGGGTTCACGGGGACTTGACGGGTTGCTTGCTGGGGCTGCGGTTGCTGAGGTGCTGGCGAGTTCTGGCCTGGTGGACCGGGTAGCTGAGCTCCCTGAGCCTGAGCTTCAGCCTGGGCCCGCGCTTGAGCCTGAGCTTGCGCAATTTGTTGCTGATGTGCGGCGATGGCCCGCGCTCTTAGCTGCGCGACATACTGCTCTGTACTCATGTTGTGCTTAGCCGCTTCTGCAGCGAGTTGCTCGCGCTGTTGCTGAGCAAACTGTTCCGGGGTCATTCCGCGTCTGGCAGCCTCAGCAGCGAACTGCTGCTGCATCGCCGCGATCTGCTGGGGGGATGGCCCACCGGGCGCCGCCATGGTGAGCGATGGATACTAGGTTCGGATCTATGAGATAACTGAAAAGTGCACGACGCTTAGAATGGCCACCCCGCTCACTTTCTGAAGGCGTAAGGTGAAAGTGAAAAAGCGAGAAGAAGCTGGGCTGGAGAGAGGGGGATAGGTGGATGTGAGGTGAGGTGAGGTGAAACAAAGACCGAAGAGGACAGATGGTGTTTGGGCCAAAATCGCCCACCGCCTTCTTCTCCGCACTCGGCCGGCCGGAGCAGTTCCTCCCCTCATCACTTGTGCCGTCCTGCCTCTCCCCACTGCACCAATTCATGCCTCCGTCGCATATAGTCTCCAGTCCAACGGCCATGCCGACTTTGTTGTCGCTTTCCCGGTCTCTCCGCTACCTGCGGCACGCAGCTCCGTATCAATGAAGTTTGATCCAGATATTATCCTCAATGCGACACAGTCGGCTGTCTTCCTAGTCAGTTTGCGACAGCCCCAATCTCTGATCATGCCACTAACGTCGCATAGAGCGAGAGAGATGTCGCCGGCCAAATCCCGCTCAATTTCGTCACCACTTCTTCGGTATCCTTGCGCGCAGCATGTTTCGGAAATAATGTTTATGATGAAGACGCAGCGGGACGATGTATCTCCAACCTGCTCACGATCGGATACCGTCGCTTGATCGTGGACCTATACTGGTCTACTGATGATCGCAAATGGCTCCTCTGCCCAGTATCGATACCTGAGGACGCGACAGTCGTCAGTGTCTCCGGCACATCGACGGAAACCGCGACGGCGACGGCGACGCGCGCAGCGCAGGCCACAGTCACAGCGGTAGCCAGTTCGTCGGGCTCGCCGCTGTACGAGCTCGGCTCATACCGCTGCACCAACAAAGTCGATCTGGACGGCTTAATCGACGTGCTTCGGGGCCACTTCCAGCGCACCGCCTCCGAACTGACCGCATACATCCGTTTTATCTCCTTCAACCTGCACGCCGCAGCCAGCGCCACCGACCCGCGCGAACCCGCGCCGGCTCTGACCGGCGTGCAGCTACCCTCTAGGTCGGAAACCCTCAGCTCCATCTTCGACCACCAACTCTCGTCCTACGTGTACACCCCATCCGAGCTCGCCTCCGAGCGCGCCAACCTCAACGAATCCTGGTTCGAGGTGGACGACAGCTACAAGCCGATCAAGGAATACTTCACCATCGAAGAAGACGCCAAGGGCATCCAAAGCACGCCGGACGGATGGCCGTGCGGCAAGTTCGTGCAGCTCGCGCGCGAGAAGCGCCTACTCGTCGAGTACGCGTACATCGACCCGGCGATGCAGGAATACGACGTGTCCCCTGCTGACAGCATCATCTTCCTACCGCACTACCTCTCCTCCACGATCTCCATCTCGATCGATGCGTCCGGCACCCTCGACTCGACCTGCTACTACGTACCGGGCGCCTCCGACATCGCGGCGGCCAACTCCTCCTGGGCGATTTCCAACTACCTCCCAGTACCACAAGCGGGAACACGCAACGCAACCCTCGAGGAGTTGTCGGCTGTGGCAGCGAACCTAACCGCGTGCGGACTGACGCCGTCACTGAATGACACGCTCTTCAACACGACAGCAGGCGAGAGCGCGGAGCCGTACGAACAGCTCTCGCTATCTTCCAGCTGGGCGTGGTCGATCAGCCAACCAGCAGACGCGAGCACCAACTCAAACGACGACGACGACGACGACGACGGGGACGCCTTCTCATCGAACGACCACTGCGCAGTGATGGACCTGTCGCTAGCGGGCCACTGGCGCGCCGTGAACTGCAGCGCAAGGCGCCACGCCGCCTGCCGCGTCGGCACGGGGCCCTTCACTTGGCGCCTGTCGGCGGAAGCGCACACGTTCGCCGACGCCTACGACCACGCCTGCCCTGCTGACACAACGCTGGCCGTCCCGCGCACCGGCGTCGAGAACACCTACCTGTACCGGTACCTGCTCACGCAGACCGAGACGCTCGACCCGACCGCCACGTCTGAACGCCGCCGCGAGGTCTGGCTGGACCTCAACTCGCTGGACGTGACCTCGTGCTGGGTGACCGGCGGGCCGGACGTCAGCTGCCCCTACGCGGCGGACCCGGGGGAACTGGAGCGGCGCACCGTGCTCGTGGCCGCCATCGCCGGGATCGTGATCTGCATCATCGCCGCGCTGACCCTGTTCGTGAAGTGCAACGCCAACCGGCGCAACTCCCGGCGAAATAAGCGCGTCATCAAGGGCTGGGAGTACGAGGGGGTGCCTTCTTGAATCGTCACTCACTTTCGTACCGCTCGGGATATTCCATCCAGCTGAGATCTAAAACACCCTGATAGCCACCTTTGCTGTACTTACTGTACATAGTTCTTCCTTTCTTTCTGTTCTCACTCGTACATATACTCGTCTATCTGTCTGTATATATGTGTGTATAGTACCATAATCACGGCAAATCCGTTAACGTCTTAATTCAAATATGTTCTGTTTCATTTTTGCTTGCTGGTCGCCAGCAAGTAGTATGTGCGTTAAACTTACAATACAATAACATAAACCAGAGCGAGAGAAGGAGTATCACCGCATAGTAAGAACCAAGCCATCCAATCCATCACTCAGTTAAATCCGTCAATCAATCAATCAATCAATCAATCCATCAAACAAATCAAATCATATCCGCATAGATCATCATAATCCATCCAAATCAATACCATCAAATCATGTAACGAAAGACAAAAGTACAAAAACCCTCTCCATAAACACAGGTAAGCACATCGCACAAATAAATACAATTCAAGTCCCAATCGCAGCGCGGAATACATTCCGGAATGTCCCGTTACCGCTGAATGCGAATGAGAGAGACCCGAGCTTAAAGGCCAGCGAATCGCGCCCACCCAGCGGCACGGCCAGGTTTGGCGGCGCTCTCGTCGGCCCGGGCAGGACTGCTGTCCAACCCAGACTTCACGCTGCTCTGCACTCTGCCTTCTTCAGCTATCTTTCCGCTAACGTCGCGGCGTCTGCCGACTCCGACGACTCCTAACCCAGCAAGGTAATTGCCGTAGGACATCGACGAGGAAGATTTAGCCCCGGCGGGTTGCGACTCAGCAGCCGCACGACCAAAGTCCGCACCGGAGTTGCTGACCACGCGCCCTTTGCGATCCCCGTCGAGGGTGACGGGGTCAGCTTGAAGATGGTGCGGGTAGTCGCCGTCTTCATCATCGTGTTGCTTGAGGGCGCCGTATGCGCTGCGCTTCTGGTTCCGGGTCATGGTGAACTTGCCGATTTTCTGCCCGAGACTAGCCTTGCGGGTCGGGTTGCTGTTGCCGCTTCCTGCTTGTGCAACGTCTCCATAGAAGGTCTTGGCTTTCTTTGGAGTTGGGTCGGCGGTAATGGCTTCCGAGCTCTGTTGGGGGGTGGGGGAGAGGTTTGGGATATCGGTCAAGGCCATACGCCCGCTCGAAGTACGGTTGGTGACGCTGCGGATACCGTTGAGTCTGGGCTGCGGACTCGGCGGATTGAGTGCGAGAGGGTTGACACGCAGTGAGTTGCGGGTTTCTTCGTCGAGATATTCGTGTTCCTGGTCGTGGTCCTGGAAGATGTCGATGCGATGGTTACCGAGGTCATGTTCGGCGCTATCGTAGAGGCCGCTGCGGTACAGGAAGTCGTGGACATCGTCGTCCTGGTTGTGGCCGTAGAACTCGTCGGCTGCGATGGACTCGTACTCACCGCGGACGTCTTCAGTAATGGCTTGTCCAACAGGCTGACCCTGACGTTGGGGACCGTTGAACCATTCCATGACGCCGTTCTTGGCGGAAGCGAGAGTCTCGGCGGCACTGTAAGCGGATGACGGCTCACGAGGGGCTGCGTGCTGGGTCACTTCCTCGGCAGGAGACGCGGGGCGGGATGGATACACGATCCAATTGTCTGACGCAGGGCTTACGCATTGAGATCGGGGAGGAATTGCAGGCGAGGGCTCACGGACCGGAGAGCCATGAGCAATCGTCGTCGTGGGTCTGGTAAAGATGTCGGGGTTCTCAATAGGCGAGTTGATGGTAATATCATCCGGGATATCGTTAGCCTGCTGGAATGGTAACTGAGGAATCGACTCTGCCCGCGACATCCGCTGGTTTGTTTGCGAGTACTGCGAATTTCTGTTTTCGGAAGCGCTGGGAGGGTAGCGGCCCAGGCCCTCTAGGTACATGTTATCCCGGGTATGCATAAAAGGTACCGTACGAGGAGTATTGATCAACGGGTCGTCACTAGAGCCGAAATCGGTATCCAACGTAGATAGACTAGCATGCTTTTCTTTAGTCTCCGATTTGCTTTGCCTTAGTGGGCGGGCAGTGAGATTGTCTTCCAGTGGGTTCATGTCTGGAGGCAGTTTCCGAATCTGATGGAAGATGACACCCAAGAAAATCGAGATCCCAAGGGAAATCGCATGCAAACCGCCATTGACCACACTCAGCAGAAACGTGGATTCAGCAATCTTGGCTGTCACATCCTGATCGGAGCTCAATAGCGTGGTCCAGTTCCAGGCGCTGTCGGTCCACTGCCTGTACGCAAGAAACGCAGCAAAAACATAGTATGGTACCAAGCCGAAATCAAATGTTCCCGCGAAAAGCATGTAGCTCGCTTGGGAACCAGGAGGCCTACTGATGGCCGATCGACGCAAGTGCCAGATGCCGTATAGGTTGTGTAGGATTGCTACAGCTGGCTAGGTAACCATTAGCGCACGCTCAAGTACAATTAGAGTAACACTTACTCCCACTCGCACGATCCAGATAATAGTGGTTGCCGCATTCTTGATGACGATCGAGCAGAACAAAGACCCAAGAGCGCCAACCAAAGCAAGCACCCGCAGCCCAAGTTGCACTTTTCGCCCGTAGATCACTCTACTTTTGGTATGGAGGCTCATGGGAGTCCATCGCGTCCGATCGGGAACATTGTAGTACTAGAATTCGATAATATGAGCATACAACAAACCCCACCATGGGTGGGTGGTACCAGTGCTTACCGAGTCCGGGTGCCGATTGAGGTCCACGAGGTGACCTTTGACTTCAGGTTTTGGCTCTGGTTGAGCCCAGCTAGCTTGTGTCACGGCCTTGGGATTGAATGCCTGACTGTAGAACCGTGGGGAGGCTGTTTGCTGTCGGATGGGGCGTTCGTACAGGTATGGAGGGTCGGACTCGCCCATGTTCGCGATGGATGACGACGACGCCGCGAACTAAGGGACTAAAGCATTGACCCACGCGACGAGCGGGTGGAAGAGAGGAATGCGGATTGCTCGGATAAGCTTAAAATGAAGGAATGCCCGTCGCAACCAGAGGTTCACGAGGGGAAAGGAGGAAGTGAGCGACGATAATGACAGCGGGGAGGAGAATGTAGGAACCGTGGAACGGAGGAATGTAAGAGAAAACCCAGAGCCCTGGGGGGGTTGGGAAGCAAGAAAGAGCACGAGTCAAGCACCTGCAGGGCTGGGCTGCATCTCTGGCGTCTGTCATCATCACAAGTGGACTCCATCTCCATCCATGGTTTGCGACCCGATCGTCAACAACACGCCCGATAGTCGGCCTGGCAACCATCGGATAGGCATCATCACGTGACTCGATGTCATCGGTCCCTGGCTTGCCGCCTTTCCGCCTTTCCGCCTTTCCGCCTTTCCGCCTTTCCGCCTTTCCCCAGAATGATTCATTCTTCTCCCCTCCACAGCACGATGATTGCCCAACGTGCTCCATATGTCTGCGCGCAATGCACGGCGCAGATCTCCCGCTCTTCGAGGAGTCGCTTTCCACAGTATGTGCGAGCACATCTTGGCGGACAATCGCGTCAATATAGCCAGGTGGTGCAAAATGAGAGACCCTTCCGCGTCGCCGTCATAGGATCGGGCCCGGCCGGCTTCTATGCTGCCTATCGCTTGCTAGCCAAGGTGGACCAAGCTGTAGTCGATATGTACGAGAAGCTGCCTGTCCCGTTTGGACTGGCCCGCTATGGCGTCGCCCCTGACCATCCTGAGGTCAAGGTACGATGTCACATTGCCACGGAGCATGCACTGGGAATCTCACGACTAACAATATTTTTCATCTCAGAATTGCGAAGATAAATTCACCGAAGTCGCAACATGCCCGCGATTTAACTTCATCGGCAACATCGAACTGGGCGCATCCCTCCCTCTTAGCACGCTCAAGCCCCACTACGACGCCATCCTCTTCGCATACGGTGCGCCCAAGGATAAAGAATTAGGCATCCCCGGTGAGAAAGAGTCGCGCAATGTCTACTCCGCGCGCGAGTTTGTTGGATGGTACAATGGCCTTCCCGAGCATCGGGACTTGGCACCAGACCTGACCGCCGGAGAGAATGCTGTGATTGTAGGGCAGGGCAACGTGGCTCTGGACGTTGCTAGGATCTTGCTGTCAGATATCGATGTCTTGCGCAAGACGGATATAGCGGAATACGCAGTTGAGGAGCTCCTGAAGAGCAAGATCAAACGTGTTCGCGTTGTCGGCCGCCGAGGACCAATGCAGGTATGCTAGCACGGCTCCCTCTTTTCGGGCCTCGACACCAACTAACCCCATAAAAATCTCAGGCCGCTTTTACCATCAAGGAGCTTCGCGAGCTTCTCCAGATGCCGTCTGTAGCGTTTGACCCGATCCCCAAAGATTTGTTCCCGCCAGAAGACATCATGTCGGCACTGCCTCGAGCCCAGAAGCGCCTGGTACAGCTCCTCGTCAAGGGGTCCACGAATGACCCATCCACGGCCCAGAAAAGGTGGTCGCTAGATTTCCTCCTCTCCCCTGAAAGCCTTCACACGTCGCCAGAAAGCCCCGACCGACTCTCCCACGTAACCTTTGCCAGAAACCAGTTGGGCGCATCCGACCCATACCTGGGCAGTGCCAAAGTTACACCTCAGTACCTTCCTAACGGCGAGAGAGCGACGGTCGATCTCCCCTCGGACGCCTTCTTCCGCAGTGTCGGATACAAATCGTTGGCGTTGCCCGGGATGGAAGACCTGGGAGTCCAGTTCGATGCGCAGCGCGGGGTGATTCCCAACGACGGATTCGGGAGGATCACCAGCCGCACAGACACGGGGAATCGCCAAGAGCTCCCAGATGGCTCGATCATCTCGCACCTGCCCGGGCTCTACTGCGCTGGCTGGGCCAAGCGCGGTCCCACGGGCGTGATTGCCACCACCATGACGGATGCATTCACGACGGCGGACGCGATCGCCGCCGACGTGAAGGCCAAGACCTCCCTCAACGCCCCCAACCAAAGCACCGGGCTTGGCTGGGAAGGCGTGCGTCCGGAGGCTGAGAAGCGCGGCCTGCGGACAACGACCTGGGAGGACTGGCAGCGGATCGACCGCGCCGAGCGCGCGCGGGGCCAGGAGAAGGGGAAGATTCGCGACAAGTTCGGGCGTGTAGAGGAGATGCTGGAAGTAGTTGCATGAACGTGATGATTATCTAGACCTGTAGTATAGAATAAAATAACTCTCTCCCTTGATGGCTGGGCTATCTGCGCAGCAGACACCCTCACGCTATCATCCCACGCACCGTATGAAGCGCTACATGCCAGCATATATCCTAATAATAATCGTCAGCTACATGTCCCGAACCAGCATAAACGACGCTATCCACCGTCTCCGTACCCAAGTGACCTTTTTTGAGTCCGCAACCCCAACCTTGGCAAAGCCCGACCATTGAACCTTTCGCTGCAGTTGACTTTCGTCTCTTCTGCATCTCATATTCCAGCCTCGCAGGACTTCAATTAGACCGGCAATAAACTTCGGACGCAACAAGACACAGTTGCCAAACAGAGATCACCCGAATTCATGTACTTGCCTGGAACATCAAGCGGGGGTTCTTCACAGCCGCCGGCTGAGACGGCCAACTGTTCATTAAGCTAGACCAGCTAACAAACGTCCATATTGCGACAGTGCTAACGATTCACCATAGAGAGAGAGCAGGCGGGCTTGTCCTCAATACCCAACCCAGCGGATCGCTACAAATTGGGGAAGGCGGGAGAACTGCCCGAGAACAGTATCGCAATCCGTCTGAGGTCGGAAGGTAAACCCAAAAGGTACTACCGTATGCCAAAAGTCCAGACCCAACTACCGCATACTCAACTGAAAACCCCCCCTCTCCAGCTGCAAATTGAGGCCAGACAATGAACAAGCCAGAAAAAGGCACCAAACGTACTCACTCGTGCCCACTGTCATGGAAGTACCTCCAGAAAACAAGTATATATCCAACACGTATATCCACTACCAGACCCAACCCACATAGACAGCCATCACCAGATAGTCAACCTCCAAAATATCCTCCGAACCCCTTTGATAAAAAAGACACTCAATCCAAATTCAATCTACAATAATCCCCAACCTCAAATCACCCCTTCAACCGGTCCACTCGGCCAGTCAATCACTTAACCAGACCTCCACCAAAGTGGATACAATTACCACATCACAACAGAGCCTCCAAATCTCGAACTGTCGAGATTTTCACCCGTCCGTTCCCCTGCCTCTGTTGTAGGTTAAAATAAGTGAAGCTAGAGGTTAGGGCGACGCGGAGGCTAAGTAAACTGAGGCTAAGGGCCGACGGTGGGTTGGTTGGTAGGATGATCAGGAGGTTGTGGTTTGGGATTTTATTTGAGGGGTTGTTCCAGTTTGTTTGTGTTGGTTTATCTATGAGATATAATTTGTCAGAAGATCAGATAGTGGAATGGCTGAGGGGCTCTGTCTTTGATGTATGCTGCGATGCGATGTTGCTGGATATATATCCTGTCCTATCCATGGACGAAGGAAGGGTAAGTTTCGGGGGTTCTTCGGCTGGACTGCTGCATTGCGTGTATAATTCTTGACTGATGTCAAGAAGAAGGCGTATATCTATGCATCAATGTATGAGAGGCTGTTGCTGCATTATTAATTGCATTTCTTATATGCTCTTGAGGCGAGCGTTCAGCTAGGCAGTACCAGCACATCTCTATGCAAGTATGTGCTCGACATCTAAGATATATTCGACCCTAGCCGCCACAAGTATTACTCACGACTAATCTCCAATGGTAGACATAGACGAGAGCCGAGAACAAGAAGGCCAAGCATTATTTGCCCAAGCGACGCCCTCATTGAGCTGTCTGAGAAAGTACCTAATATGCTCGTAATTCTCGATCTATCCAGCTCATAATCCAATGACAGCTTGCCGAATGACCTTAGCCCCAATCATCATCAACCGGGACCTGATCGCCAATGGCTTCTAGTAATTCTCCGCCAAATATGCAGTGCTGCAGACAGGGCCATTCTTTTAGTCTAGGTCAATATCAAGCTGTTGCTACGCCTGTCGCTACGCGTGTCTGACTTGAGTCATGCAAAAGTCTCATCAATAATTGCGATCTCTTTCACCTCGCTACAACTGCTCATCGTAGCCGATGCGATCATCAAAACACGGCAGAGAGATTCACGAATATGGCCAAGAAAACTTGGCACAATCATTCTACCCACGGTACAACTCCAGCCACCAAGCCACACCCACAGTTATGGTACCGACCTTCAGCCGCAGCCACTCAGCGCATCGGCTTCCGATAACACTCCTACCAGAACTTGGTGAGTGCTCGGCTGTCATTTGCCAGCTGCATAGCCACGGCCACAGCCAGTGGAGTGCGCGTGTAAGTGGATATTTTTCTAGGCGACAGACGCGAACGATGGCTGCTTAAGTCGTTTCACAAAGGGAGTCGGCAAGAATTCCCAGGTTGGGCATGGTTGCCCAGGAAAGAGGAAATTTTATTGAGTTGTCGTCGAGTCAGTTACAGAGTTGTCAGCGACGGCGGCAGCGGAAGAGACAGGTGCTTGAGTCCATAGCCAAGCATAAAGTATGCAGTTGGAGTCAGATATCGGGGACGGTGCTGGAAACGTCAGCAGCGTCTCGAGCAGGAAGGTAGCCTTGTGAAGCGGAAAAATGCATGCTTTCCAGATGAACCGAGCAAACGCAGCATGCAAGTAAGCTTGATCCTGAACCTCGGGTAGATGAAGCTTTCCCTGCCGTGATCACTGCAGCTTCCCTTGCTCCGGACCTGCCAGCATCAGCACCGGTAGCCCCCTCGTATTAACGGTCAACTGCCGAGAAGCTGGCACCCAAACCTTCGTACCCATCAGAGACTGACGATCCAGACCCTGTTTCGTGACAAGTGACTTTCGAGGTTGGAGCTGGGGCCGAAGGAAGTTGCCGAAGAGGGAAAAACGAAACTTGTTTGCTCCATACCGAATGAAGCCTAGTGTCACACTGTGGCAACCAGAGCTGAACGATCCGATGAGTTGGAATCCAATCATATTGCTCGCTGGCTCAAGCTTCAGTTGAGTGGGGCCGGCCTGTCGATCTTCATGCGGATTGCTTTTCAGCGTCACTCATTGGCCGGGAACATGCCAGCCAGACCACGACGGCTTCGTATCCGGGTGGGTGTCCGTCGGTGGGGGTGATGATTGAACGTGCAACGAGAGGGCAAGGGGAAATTAGATCTTGCGTCCGGGTAGTCACACAATGACAGGCATTCAGAGTCAACATTAGTGATTATTGGTAGTCCTCGTTGGAGGACTAGATATATATAAGTATGGACATTGGTGTAGATAGTATAGTGATCATGGATATTCTCGTAAGAAAGATCGTGATAGGGTATTGAGATGAAAGAACGACTGTATCCACTGAGGGTAAAAGGCAAGATGAGTGAGAGGAAAAGCCAAAAGAATGAGTGGCAGGTTGAGGTGGGCACCCGGCTGAATTCTCCCCCTGTATCACCCGCTGTGGCGAGCCTTCTTCTGGAACTCTTCGGGCTCGGCTGGCTCGTGCGAAATTTCGATAGTCGTCTCCTGGTACACTCCATGCCCCAGATTGGCGAGCTCCATATCGGCCTTGCGCACAATATCTTCAGTAGATGAGTCCCGGTTGTCGTTCACGGTATCGTTGATGCTCTGTAGCCCTCGCCGGAATCGAGTCTTCATGCGCGGCTTCTTCGAATCCCCGCGACCGGTCGTAATATGTGTTTGGTATGCGGCCGAGTCCGTGTAAGCATACATCCTGTCCGACGCGCTGAGGTCGGTTTCCAGCAGCAAGTGGCGGCGGGTCAAGGTATACACCGCCACATCTAACAGACCCGATAGAGCCATCAGGGTTCCAGCACCCGCAAAATATGCACGACTAGGGATAACATGTCGGGCTGTCGACATTCGTCCGGCTGCTAACGGGAGCGATAGGATCAGATACACCAACGGGTATATAACCATGTAAATAACCACCCGATTCAGTCGCTTCAGGTTCTCCTGGTGATTCTGGCGAAGGGAAGCTGCCTCTTTCATACGGCGTCGAAGGTAGAAGAACATGATGCCGTAGAGTATAATAGTGCCGAATTCGGCAAGGAAAATCCAGAGATAGTGTAACCATAGCCGCTCGATCTCATTTTCTGGACTAAGCCAACACTGTAGTCAGGACAGCAAGGTTAGTAACAGATCGCATCTCAGCTTGAAGAACACTTACCCAACCTGCTTCGGAGATAACAAAGGTCTCAGAGCCGAATAGGCCAACAGGAATCAAACCAAGGATGATAATAAACACCCAAAGCCCCACGACGCTGGCGACAAATATAGGAAACGGTAACTGTCGACCTCGCAGAACCACGGCACCCGTATGCATGGCAATCGCCAACACAAACAAACCACTTCCGGGATCTCCGGTCTGGATCCACCAGCCTTGAAGAACACAGGCTGCGCTTGGATAGTAGACATGGCCTTTGGCAACCCAGTGAAGACATAACAAGAATGCCGTTGCTTGTTGGACATCGACGAGGAGGAGGTTGTAAATCAAAACGACGTACTGGTTCTGTGCCAGGGGACGCTTGTAGTATTGACGCCAGAAAATGAAACGATATGTAAGGAACGACAGCAGACCCAACGAGGCGATGAAGGAACAGAGAGCGACAATGCCCATGGCGAGAAATCCTGCTTTGTCGCTGGCCGAGACGTTTCCAATTTGCGCGGTCGACCGACCCGCAAGATGGGCGCGGCCAGCATCACTGCTGTAAAGCAGGTGTGACAGTAGTGACAGAGCAGGCATTGTTCATCTCCCTGTGCAAGGGTACCTAGATGGAAAGTACTAGGGAGGCAGAGGTACCAGGGTCCAAATTGTCCGGGAAGGTGACAGCTGCAGATTTTAAATCCCGGGGCTGAAGGTTGCTTCGCATGTTAAGGGACTAGCAGACCTGAAAAATTGGGTTATCATGCATGGCAACGTCTAGTCGAAAATCTCCGCGAAGCATCCTTAATTTCGCACTTTTTTGCCAACGCCGATGGTCCTGGTCTTTCACACGTCTTGCCTCTTCCGAATGGAGACCCAGATAGGGGCCACTCACACAGATCCAGTATGGAGCATCCGAAAATCTGACAATGGGTCAAGCTTAGTGTGGGTTAGGGAGTGGAACACAGGGACCATGTCTCTAAAGGTTAAAGCTCGCATCTTCCTAGTGCAAGATCTAGCTGGAATAGTCTGCACTCTGCACGATCTTTGTTCTCGGGTTCCACTTCTGCGCCGCACCAGATGGTTGAAATGTTTGGACTCTCCCAGTCGGTTTTGCCGTTGCGCAACTGTCGAATTATAGGACGTTGAAGAGATAGGCATTCAACCAGAGCATTGAGAAAATGCTGTTAATCCTCTCTAGCTATATGGCGTACGTAGAATTGGTGCAACAAGAATCTGCTTGATTCGCTTGCTGGTGTGGACCAAGCTGGCGGTATTGCTCCGACTGGGACCAGAAAGCCAAACTAGAATAGCGGTTCCCCTGAGATATCTAGTCTCATTAGAGAAAAGGACCGAAAGTTCTTTGCAGGACCGCCGGCAGGAATCGATCTAATCTGCACGGGGAGGTCGGTTCCTTGCGCCATTGATCTTCGTCTCCGGAGTGGACGCCCTCCAATGAACGCGAAGGATGTCGAATGCGGCTGGGTCAAGTGGTAATTCACAAGCTCAAAGCTTCTGGCAGACTGCTTGTAACTTCCAGCACGCCATCGAAGTCTGTCGACGCGGGATTTTACGTAGACACAAAGCTTCTCGACCTTAAAACTTGCGTCAGAGGAAGGTTATCATGAACCAGTACACTGGAACCTATCATGATAGGAAATTGATGCTTGTTCTTATCATATTCTCTGCGTTATGGCAATAATGATTGACAATTCTATCAAGATGAAGAAAGGAAGTTGGTAGTACTCGTAGTAGTGTTGGAAGAGTAAAGACGAGAAACGGCAGCAAGTCAAGTGACCTTCCCGTCTCTCTCTATTCTTCCCCTTGGAAGCATTGGACTGTCAAATCTCCCGATTCTCGCTTCTACAAGTCATTTCAGCCATACGCTACCGCATCCTTTGCATCCAATTCTGACTCATTGGGGATTGTGTAGTGATTCTCAAGGATGAGCGGACCTTTACAGAACCGTGGTCTCGAAGCTTAGATGCTCGGGATTTCCCCTGGTGGGCAGTAGTCGACCCGATCGGCTGGGTAGCACCTCGTGAGGCTCAGAGATAGTCAAGCTTCAGAAACAGCCATGTGATCGCTCATTCATGGTTACTGGACCATACCAAACTTCCCTGCCGCGAAGAGAGAGTCGACGAACGGGCTGAATCCAGGAACGAGCTTTTATCGGGAACCGTGGTTCACTCAATGCCACACAACGTACTAGCATAATGTTGCTACCCTCACGACTCCATTATCATCACCCGGAAGGAGCTCAAAGCCAGTACAGCGATATAGTTGCTTGAGACCAAAACAAGACCAGCCTTCCTACCCTTGGTCGACGTGGAGGGCGGCATGGGTCATTGTCACAAGAAGCAGCAAACAACAAAGGTATTAAGGGCTAATTGTGCTGGCGGGGTTTTCAGCCGGTCGGCTGTGGGACTTGCTTACGACTATCACCTATGATGGGTGCAGATTCGAATGTCTTGACCGAGCCCTCGCGGCCCAACACGTACCCGGCCTTCTTCCTCCATCCCAGAAGTTCGACGCGTCCTACACTGTGCGTATCCGAAGTCCTGTTTGGGGGTTACTCCGAACATCGGATCTGGAAGGATTGATCGACGGGAGGCGTCGCGCTTGTTCGTCTCTGGAAGCGAAGATCCCTCCTGAATAATAATCAAGATATAATTCATAAACTGTTTATATGAAATAGTGAAGCTTTCAAATTATCTAAACTAAATGAAAGATTTTTAATGTAGTCAACTAGTAATTATTCTCTATACTTATATGGATATAAAATAGAAATATAACTAGATAGATTATAATACATATAAACAAGCCTTAGGATGCTCGCTTCGCTCGCATGTAGTAAGAAAGGGAGATATATCCTAAATAGGCTTAGTTTTAAAGATTCAAAAAAGTTTATTTGGCTTTTTTCGTCCTCTTGGCACGTTGAGGCCTTATTGAGGCCTTGTTTATGTGGCACGATTCTTCAAGTTACTAGTTTATTTTTTGCCGAGCAATTTCAGTTCGTGGTCGAAAAGTCACGTCTCTATCTGTGCTCGAACTAATCAAATATTCATATGGATGACTACCACCATGCGACAAGCTCCCTTCACTTTCCAAATGGATTGACGTAGTACCCGATTGAATACGGGAAGGAATGCTGAGTCGCTTGGCATAGGGTTGCATGACCTCGCCATGCTGCAGCTGTATCACCTGAATGATCTATGAATAGGAGCTATTGCCAATCAACCCACAGGTTACCAGACGAGTCACCTGTTGCCTTCCAGTCGGAGCTGGCCGGATGGGAGGGAAACAAATGCCTCTAAGGCTGTATGTCTCAACTCAAGGCCGAGCCGGTCTGCTCTAACTGGTCCGGACAGGCTGACCTGCGGTCCCTGCCATCCCCGCATGTCTCTCCCGCTCACTATTGATGTGGTGTTGCCCTCCGCCAAATGAGGGGGAGTGTCTCACTTCCGCCTCGTTGTTTGCAGATCTATACCTGTCAGTATCCTAGTTCGAAATACGTGGATGTTGTCTGTGATCATGTTACTATTCGCAGCATCAGGCCTCCAGGCCTGGGCTTATGCGGATGTAACGGATCATAGTAGCACTTTGGCCTATATCCAAGGCAACTGGGGAGCAAAGTCGCTGCCAGATATACACCGCTTCGGCCGAATTAAGGACGAGAGAACTATATAAGCAGCTCCTCCCTCCCCCAATTATCTGCTCATCAAGCTCATCTCAGATATCCTCAGTGACCAAGACAAACGAGCACGGCCGAGCTTTCATACCACTCAGAAGCACATATCCCTCTATCCTCAAGATGAAGTCTTTCACCTCTGCTCTGTCTGTTCTCAGTCTCCTCTGCTCCTCCGCCCTGGCCACACCCGTTGAGGCGAACACTGAAGCCACTGAGGCCGTGAGCGTGTCTGTCTCCTACGACCCTGTTTTCGACGTCGGCAGCCAATCCATCAACACCGTGTCCTGCTCCAATCTGAACTACGCTACGTTCGCCAACATCCCGGGCTTTCCCAACATCGGAGGCGCGCCCACCGTCTCGGGCTGGGGCAGTCCCAACTGCGGAAAGTGCTACCAGCTGACCTACGGCTCCACTTCGATCTATGTAACCGCCATTGACGCCGCACCCGGTGGCTTCAATCTTGCTCAGGCAGCCATGGACAAGCTGACCGGCAACCGGGCAGTCCAGCTGGGTCGGATCACCGCGACCTACACTGAGGTGGCTTCGTCGTTCTGTGCATGAGCGACTGAACGTTGGTCTTGAGGTGAATCCGTCGAAATGGGTTATGAATTGGGTAATGGTATAATGTGTTGTGATATATTAGTCTCCTGCATCTCGGATATATTAATGTTCTAATGTCAAATAATTGCATGAGGCGTGCATAGTCATGCAAGTCTCTAATCCGACAGGTCACGCACCTGGTCACAGAATAATATGCTGGAGCTTTTCCCCTGAGCCTTTTGAGTAGAGACTTTCGGATGAATAGTAAGTAACCTTTACAGGATGGTAAAAAGTCGATATGATAGCCAGTAGTACTCACCCAGTAAACTGGAGTCGTTGCCCGAAGACAAGTCTTCCTACGCCAGTTCCTGAGATGTCTGCTTCCCGCCCGTAGCATCATCAAGACTCTTACATCCCTGCTCGGTTTTCATACAACGAGGACTCATATCCACCCTCGTTGGCGATATGTACCGCATTTCCCTGCAACTGGCTACCTTAGTAGATAGATAGTAAAGAAGAATTGATCTGCCCACCAACAGAAGACATCACCATCAACCAGCCTTTCTACAAGAAATTTAACCTAGTTCTGCGATGGTTTCCTGACAAGTGAAAATCCCACTCTGTAACATTCTCATGCGCAGCGGGGGTTCTCTTATGTCTATCACAAAGCATTAGTATATCCTGGAGATCATTCCGAGCCGATCGCAATCCAAATCGCTTCGAAACACTGCGGCCAGATCTTATACTACTGCACGGAATCGCCCTTGCATGATCGATTGAGCAACGTACTCATGATATCTTAGACTGAAGAAAGTGCGTTTTATCCGGACCGACGGGTGTATCTGGTGCCAGGCTCCCATGACAACACTAATATGCTCTGGAACACGGCTATTCCTTGCTTTGATACACGGAGTGTATTTCGAAAGGGGTGTGGACTTGTGATTCTATGACAGCTGATTATACCAAGAGTTTCGAATAGTTTACCTCGAAAGTCCTGAGAGTATCGAACATATCACGGGCCAATTGGACTTTTCGCCCGAACAGGGTGCACATCGCGATCTTGAGCCAACCCCTCTCTGGTCTTCTGGTCGACCTCATTAAGCATCTTCTCCTCGCCCTCTGCGCTTCCTTGCTCCAACAACCGCCGCGCTGAGTCAGTGCCGTCTAGACCAGCCGCACGTTCATTATGCATGCGTTCCTCCTCCTGCTTCCGATCCTTAGCGGCTAGTGCAGCCTCCTCACGAGCCACTTCGTCGGCGTCGATACTCTCAAGTCCCACCACGCTTAGAATGTGCCCGACCAGGAATTGATAACGTAAGTGTCCGCTGATGAAATCGCTTGCGTCCACGTTCTCGACCCCAGAAACGCCTTGAACGGGCTGCAGGCCGGCAACACCGAGTTGAAGACTGCTGGTCCGATAGAGTAGTGCGAGAACGGCGTCATTCTCAGAGTACACATTGACCAATCGTCCGCTCACGACACTGCGTAGACGGCGCCAGTGTGGTGCGTTGGAGGGGGTGGGTGAGCCCATAAGAACCGCCGATTCCACTAGGCCAAATGCCTGCCGCTTTGCCAGCGTCTGTAGACAAGAGAAGATGACCCTGGAACCCATCGAGTAGCCGATCAACGTGACAGATCTTTCACCCTGTACTTTATCGATTAAGGCATCCGCAAGTGCCTCTCCGGCTTTGTCTGCACGTGCCTTGGCCACGCTAAAAGGGTTGTCGGCTACCCGCGCAACCTTGAGAATACCTAGGGGTAGCATGACGGCGCTCATGATTTGGGCAAAGATGGTGCGTTTTAAGACCTGACCGCCAGCGGCCCAAGCGGCACTTGTGACGAGGTAGTTCATAGCGTTACCAAGTTTCATCAGGGGCTCCCTTTCCCAACGTAGACCAAACACCTCTGACTCACTGCCAATCACTCGCCACGGGACAACGTAGTTGTCTTCTTCCGTGACCCAACCTGAAATGCCGATAGTGACTCGTAACATGTGATCGTTTTCGGCCGCCTCCCTCTCGTCTTCCGACCTTTGATGGGTGCCGCGGATAGGCAAGAAGGCGAAGTCGTCCACTTCTCGCGCGTATTTGTCGACCATGCGACCTGTCATACGGCCCCCGTAGGCACCAAAGAGACCCCCGACAATGACTCCACTGCCGGCTAGGGCACCCAAGTAACCGGCGGCGGCTGTGGCGCCGAGACCGAGCCCGCCCAAGACAGTGCCAAGGCCAGCCGCAACAAGAGGTGCTGCAAGCCCGCCAGTGATGCCGATCAAAGCGGCTCCAGCAACAGATGCTATTCCAACCTTCCATTTCCTGGACGAGTCACGGTGCTTGCCCTGCTCTTTGGGCTCGGCCTGAGAAAGCTGAAGAGCTGTGTCGAGCAAGCCCCGCGCGACCTTGACCTCGTCTCCATTGAGGATCTTGACATCAATGCTCAAGGAAGACGATACATACAGCATCAGCACCCGAGAGCGAGCATTGTAGTGTTCCAGACTGAGAAGCAAGAGTAGCAAAGAGTGCAGAATAAGCAGCTTCTTCGCTCTGGGTAGCTGCGCGAGGGGTGTTTCCACTGGAGGGTACACCTCACGCAGTTTCATCAAAGACTTTTCATCCTCCTCGAGTCGAGGTTCTGGTAGCTTCTGCGATGAATTGCCACCACTGGGTTCCTGCTGATTCTCGTCGTCCCGGTTCACAACTGCGCCAATCCGGAGCAGAACGGCGTCCCTCCAGTCATCGAAGCTCGCCAGGGCTTTGGTCTCTAAGTGAAGGTCCTTGGCTGAAGGCATAAGCTCGGAAGGAGCATGATCGTTCGAGCCTTCGTCGACCTGATGTTCGAGGGGATCAAACAAAGGATCCGTGTCTTCCTCGTCTTCTTCATGCGCAGAAAAGTCATGTGCATTATCTTGGGCGACTGGTGGGGCGGTATGAAAGTCAGCAACAATACCCCTGCGCATCTGCTCGATGGCCTCAGCCACCAGCACTGACAAGTCGGCGCGTTGAGGGCGGTCCAAAATGGTTGTAAGATCAGCTCCGCGGTCGCTAGGGGACGAAGCAGGCGGCGGAGTGGCATGGCCCGAGCCGAACTTGCTAGCATGTTTCTCTTTAAGTGATTTCCACATGATTGCGGATGGCCACAATCAGATTTTTTACATCAATCGATGTTCTGAGGTGTCCTGCAAGCTGTAATCACGTAGGCATCAGTGAGTGAGACAAGAATCAGGAGGTTGCCGGTTGCAGCAGCAAGATGATATCACTGCTGAGTCAGCGCCCAGGCTGCCCCTGTTTTGTCTTCTTGAAACAATACTAGATACGTCCCATTTGGGTCCAACTTCCAGCTCGCAAGGCGATTAGATTTAGACCATGTGCTGTCTTTTCGATACGTATGATTAATTCTTGGTGTCCACAACGAAGAATCTGCCTTTAGTCTTGGAGGCATAGCCCAGAGCGTTACCATCCCAGATATCCCCGTCCGGTCGCTCGTTTCTTGGCGTCTCGATACGCTGAATCTTCTTGTTGCGTCCGACGACCCGCTCCTTGGACAAGGCTTCCCTGAGTTGTTCCAATCCAATTGTGTTCTCCTTCACAGCTTCCGGGGTCTCATCACGAATGCTCTGCAGAGGTTCAACATCGCTAGCGTCCACGCGTTGGATTTCCTTCACAAAGTGGATTTGCGACTCCAACATGTCGAGCATTTTCCTCTCCTCTTCCTCGTTGGCGGGTTGAGGCAGTGCAGACAAACGAAGCAGATGGCGAAGCTGTTCGGGGGTAACTGAGGGCGTGGGCGGCTTTGCGGCCTCGTCGGGAAGCAGAGAGCGGACGGACCATGTCGGCTTAGCAAGTACAGCGTCAATGTCGTCCTGTCCTTGAGGCTGAGATGTAGAATACAGCTGGCGGTTTGCGACGAAACGCGACGGGGATTGACGGCGAAGCGACCCGAAGAGCCGTGAGCTACTGCTGCGTAGGAACATGATGGAGTTCTGCGAGATGGCGATTGATGGTATCGACGCGTGGACACGTATATCGTGCGATATAGGCCGAGAATAAAAGGTTATAAGCTGGACAAGCTGGAAAATGATGAATTTCGAGGGTGGATGAAGAAGAGCGATCGAACTGGAAAAGCACAACAATTATGGTTGTTCTCCAATGGCAGCGCGGACTGGTTCACCGCCTACGTTGATGTGGAGGGAAGCTCTTGATTCAGTGACGGCAACCGCTGCGTTTCGCCCTCCATCTTCTCCTCATCTTTCTGGCTGAGCCGCTCAAAACTCACTTTTCTTCTCAACTTGATCTGGCTTGATTTTAGGAATCTGTTTTATTTTGCGATCATCAGATACAGCTGCCCAACATGGCTCAAGACCCTCGAGTCCTTCTCCAAAAGGTAAATCCCCTTATCCCCCGCCCCGCTGTCCCTCCACGTTATCAGACCGGGCTCCCAAAGAATGACGATCACTAACCATATGCCCGCCCGCTCTCTAGGCCGACCAAGCGCTGAGTCGCGCATCTGGTGGCTTCAGCTTCTTTGGTGGCCGTACCGAGAAATACGAAAATGCCGCCGACTTGTACTCACAGGCCGCGAATGCCTTCCGAGTTCAGAAGCAGAGTAAGCAGGCTCTCCGCGCACTGCGCTTCGGATCATCTCAGCCACTAAACCCCTGTCCCCTCCGCAGACAAGGAAGCCGGTCTTGCCTTCGAGAAGGCCGCATCCATTCAATCGCAAAACCTCAACGAACCCGACGACGCAGCCAACACCTTGACCGAGGCTTTCAAGGTCTACCGCAAGACCGACCCCGAGGACGCCGCCCGCGTGCTCTCCAGCGCTATCCAGCACTACGTGCTCAAGGGAAACCTCCGTCGCGCTGCGTCGCAACAGCAACACTTGGCTGAAGTGTATGAGGTGGAACTCGGGGACACCAAGAAGGCTTTGGAAGCCTATGAGAAGGCGGCGGAGTGGTTCGAGGGTGATAATGCCGAGGCGTATGTTCCACCTCTCTATCAGGAATCCAGGACGATTTAGCGGGATTGCTAACTTTGCGAATCAGCCTCGCCAACAAGCACTACCTCAAGGCTGCGGACTTGGCCGCCCTCGAGGGCGACTACTACAAGGCCGTTGAGCACTACGAGCGCATCGGCCGCTCTTCCATCAACAACAACCTTATGAAGTGGTCTGTCAAGGACTACTTCCTCAAGGCTGGCATCTGCCACCTTGCGACGAACGTTAGTTTTACCTTTCATCTACGGAGTCGTAAAAACCCCTAACATAATGCCAGGATCTGGTCGCTACCAACCGCGCCCTCGAAAGCTACCGCGACATCGACACCACCTTTGCCTCCACCCGCGAGCATCAGCTGCTCGTCGACCTGGTCCAGGCCTGTGAAGCAGGCGACCAGGAAGCCTTTGCCGATAAGCTCTTCCAGTACGACCAGCTCAGCAAGTTGGATAAGTGGAAGACGACGCTCCTGTTGCGGATCAAGAACAATATCGAGTCGCAAGAGGAGGACTTCTCGTAGTGCTCTGTTCGGCGCTTTTTTCTGTTCTCGTTCCTGTTTCAGCTAGTTATTTTGGGTTCTGAAATACTTGATAAACCGAGGAAGAGCCAGCTCTCCTGCTTTCGAGTTTCTAATTGCATGTGACCATTTATTCCTTCGGCCGGTTCCACGCTTAGATGAATCTTGCACTGTGCTTATCTTTATTCCTTTACCTTCCTCCACTTGAATCACTTATCGTCTATTCATGATGACCTGTTCAGCATCACATCGACCCTACTTTAGGCTGTCATTCTCAGCTGCATCTGTTGAAATCTGGTGTGCCCAATAAGCATGCAAGTATATCCATGACACGATGCCAATTGAACACTGCTCCCCAACGATAGGGCTTTCACGCTCTTCATAACAGACGCTAAACAACTCCAATGTGGCCAGCCCACACGCTTAATCAACCGCCAACCCACCAACAATATCTCCACCGCAATGGTCTTCAAACCAAGCCCCAGCTAACAGCAACCTTGAATCTAGAACGCCCGCGCCATAACAGCCAAGCAGAATCGACGCAACTGTACTCCCCCGACCCACTAAAAACTACAGAATCCCCAGCAGGATAACAAACACAGGTAAACCCAGCATCAACGACCAAACCAACGCTAATAACAAAGACGCGGCCGCACTACAAAGAAAAACAAATAGCGTCCGTCACCTCCTCCGGCTGGGCCACGCGGGAAGCCTTTCGAGACTCGTCTGCATCATCGGCGTGTCGGTCCACGAGGGACAGACTGCGTTGACGCGGATGTAGTTTTCAAAATTGTCAACCGCTGACACTCACAGAAGCTAGGGCTAGTTCTAGCATACGTATGCGTTGTTCTGGCTCTCCAAGACCATCGTCTCATGAAGGAAGAAGGCTTCTGGGTGGGGAAGGAAAAGAAAATGCAAATACTTGCTAGCGGTGTAGGGCATCATACCAGGCGCGGCAATCACCCCGTTGATGGAGGACACCACCACGATAGCGCCGCGGCCTAGACTACGGGTCGTCTTGCTTCGGACGCTGGTGTATGTACGTGCGGGACGGCGCGCAGGACCAGCATTGTGCCGCACTTGTTTGTCGCCATCGTTGCGTCGAAGGTGTCGATGTCGAGGGTCTCGGTCTTGTTGCGCGAGTGGCTTGCTATGCCTGCCGAGTGCACGCAGTAGTCGATGCGGTCGAAGGTCGCGAGGGCTGTGTCGATCATGATCTGCACGTCTGATTAGGTCGCTGACGTCTACTTGGAGGGAGAGAGTGCGGAAGGAGGCGTCGGCGGTGGTTGTGGAGGTACGGGGCTACAGGTCTGCTTTGATTATGGCCGCTGCGCCGGCTTCAACTAGGGCGAAGCAGACTTCTTATCCTATGCCCGAGGCGGCCTGTGTAAGAGATAGTGAGGGGGTTCTTAGGTTGTCGGTGTGGATGTGACTGTGGTTACAGGTGAGGCGTTTTTACCTCCGGTGACGAGGGCGATGCCGCAGTTGAGGTTGATGCTTGCTAATGACATTTGTGGTGAGGTTGTGGGGGTATGTTGGGGGTGAGGAAGAGAATTGCGAAGAAGTCTGTCCGAGTTTAGAGCAATAGAATGCCTCGACTATGTATGAAGTGATGCTGTTATTTTATATGCTCTGAGGTTCTGCGGATAGGGGGGAAGGGGGCGTTGTCGCTACATCCCAATCCAGGTACGACCCATTAGTACTATATATGTGCTCGAGAACAAGACTAGGGAAGACCCATGTTCGTTTAAACTATAAGACCTAAGAACTACTTAGCGATGTTCCTCGAAAACATGTCTGGCTTGAGCTTATAGCCGAGTCCGATTACTCTACGGTAGGCTACTGACTCTGGAGCCGACTTCTTAGGGCTCCGAGAAGCTTATAGCCGGCAACCCGCAGGGACCGGCGGCGCCACCTCGTCGGCTCCACCAGGGCCATTTAGAAATTCAATAAGGGTAGATATTCCATGAATGAAAAGATAAGGCGGGTGAAATTATACACATGAACATAAACCCAGGTTTTTGGGTCTCTCTCGCTTATCGACCCAGCCATGGCATCACCAGGTACAGTCCGCAGCGAGGAGGAAAACAAGAATTAAAAGATTCTAAGAAGAGAGCTGTTGCTCAACTCCAAGTTCGCCGAAGTCCAGTAACGCAAAATGCCTTGCCAAGAGCTAAGGAGAAGAAGAAGAAGAAGAAGAAGGACATTGTGTAACCGTTGTCTTGATGGCAATAGTCTTCGTAGTGGTGAACGGGATGTGATTTGTCATGGTTGCAGTGTATACGGTATGAGTTGACATGATCGACGCGGCAGCAGCCGTGATTGGCACAGATGTCTCGACAGTGGTAGTAGCAGTCTGCGTGACTGTTTCAGTGGCGGTTTTCGTGACGGTCGGGGGGACATTAGCGGGGTTCATTTGCGTAGCAGTCTGCGTGACTGTTTCAGTGGCGGTTTTCGTGACGGTCGGGGGGACATTAGCGGTGTTCATTTGCGTAGCAGTCTGCGTGACTGTTTCAGTGGCGGTTTTCGTGATGGTCGGGGTGACATTAGCGGTGTTCATTTGCGTAGCAGTGTGGGTAGTTGTTTCGGTGCTGGTTTCAGTATGGGTAGCTGTTTCGGTGCTGGTTTCAGTATGGGTAGTGGTTTCGGTGCTGGTTTCCGTGGCAGTCTGAGTGATCATGGCGGTGTTCATTTCTGTGGCTGTGGTGATCGAGGTTTGAGCGTTAGTGACAGTTGCGGTGATTGTCGTGGTCGCAGTGGAAGTAGAGACGGCAGTTGAGGTGGTAGTTACAGTAGTTGTGGTCGTCGCAGCTCGGGCGCCGGTCGATGCTGAGGCGCCTGGCAAACACATGCACCCACTGATCCCTCAAGTTAGTGATTCCATTGATCTCGGAGTGAGATTTGGGCATCCCGTACGGTTGTGCCTGGCCTAACAAATCGAGGCCAAGTAGTTGAAGAGATGGATTGCTCTCATTCGCGCACATTCCAGATGCAAATCCTTGTGTCATGCACTGCACAAGTCAGTCGGCTTCCGTCTATCAGGGTAAGGACTGCTTCTAGGTACTTGCCTGAGTGTTGCAAACAGAGGAGTCACAAGCTCTCTTGGAAACTCTACCCTCTTTCCATGATGATGGGCCTGCGGGTATAGCTACAGCGTAGCTACTTGTCGCAAGAAGGATGGCCAAGGTAGAGACACGCATTTTGTTCCTGTGTTTGCGAACGCCTGGAAGCTACAGAACTGAATGGTGTTGAGGGGGATACTGAGTCGATTTGGTCGTTGGTTGCTGCGTATCGGGTTTGTGGCGTTTGTGTTTCTTGATCGGACAAAGAAATACAGCGAAAGAATTGGGGCATTTATGTTCCTCTGCCTTCCGGAACGTTTGATAACAGTCGATCTAAGCATTCGGTTCTACGAGTGTGGAATTTGAAAATGATACCTCCATACTGTCCAATCCGTAGCTCAGATCTAACTTAGGTATAATTCGCACGAAAAAGACCCCTTTCCAAATCAACCCTTCGGCAGAAATTGAGAATACATGTGTTTGTATAGACCGGTTTGGGTTGTTGCCGGAAAAGTGAGGTATCAGGAATGCAGTCTGTCAAGGTTACCAGGGACACCAGAAATGCAACTAAGCCCAAAGAATTGCTTGAACATCAGAAGATAAGAAGTAGGTGGGCGGAATGTCTGGCTTAGCTATCGCGCTATTTCAGGTACCCGAAAGCTATAGTGGCCATCCCTTGCATTGCACAAGGCACAACACAACAACGGTGATAGTCTCTCACAACAGTAGTGTACCGAGTAGACCCCTTCCACATTGTCTGTCAATCATTCACCAACAGCAAGGGCGAACGGCATAACAGAGCTAATAGTACTCATGCATCAGAGCTAGGTACTGATCTTCGTAGTCAATTCTAGGACAAGAGAGTCCCAATGAAACCGCGCAATATCCATAAGGGAACTGAGCGCAAAGAAAGGCAACATGCCTACCAAACAAAGCAAATATTGGAGATTAGGGAGAGCATCCATCTTAGCCGGGAGATATGATAACAGCATAAATGGAAAATATCCCGGAAAAGGCAACCTAATTGACTCAAGCCCATCCTGGTTAAGATATCTCCCATGGACATTGAGAGTAGTACTGTATACATGTACCGCGGGCCGAATGACCAACAAACTCCACCTGTAGCACAGCCCTAGATGCAGTATTGCTGTATCTACTATGTCTCTACTATCATAGCCTTGACTACCAATTAAAGCTCTCTTTCTCTCTCAAAACTGCACCACGCACCTCCCACTAACCTCCCCACGCCTCGACGCGCATCATCCGGGATGCGCGAGGTATATCGAGCCGGCAAGGTAATGTGTTACTGGTAGGTACCATTTCCTCATAATCATTTCATCACGATTTCTATCCAGGAATACACTCAAAATACGACAAAAAAATGAAAAGAAAAGGCTATACCAGATACCTTGAAGCCCGTCGGAATTGCTTCCGGGCAATGACACTCCATATTATCAACGAAATGAGGCTACTCAGGAGATGGCTTCGGAACTTGAGATGTTGATTCCTTGGTGTTGACTGTGTTGGTTGCTAACTGACTTCTGTGGGGGAAACTCGCTTATAGGCCTAAGTCACGTGGCCAGATTACTCAGGCGCTGATACATATCAGTGGAACAGAGCTGACAGCTCATACAGGTATCCCAAGTGGAAGCCACGCCCGCCTGATCACCGGATTTTCACCCGCAGACATTGCGACCCAGGGCCACGACCACCCCGGCGCCTTCGTGGCCGGGCTAGCAGACTCCGTACTGACTCATGCGCGGGAGGGGGTGGTTTCCGAACATGTAATAGATATCGCCGAAGCAGAGTCCGGTGACGTTTAACTTTATCAGAAGGCCATTATTGTCGATATATTTTGTGAGCTGCCTGTATCTGCTGCTGGCGATGAGGTGTGGCTCGTACCTGGTTTAGGGTTGGGGGGCTTGGGAACTTCTGCGACGCTTAGTTTGAAGGCGGTGCCATGCTTGGTGACTACCCCTGCTTTGCCGATCTGGGGGTTGATAGAGTGTGGATCTAGTATAGTACTAGACGTTTAGGTTAGAGTTTATGTGAGCTTGAGCTGTAGAGAAGTTCTCCATAATCGAGAAAGTATATCTATATCCGCAGTCTGGGGTAACACAATCCGGAGTATATCTCCACCGGAGGATACTACCGGAGTGGGTAAGGGTCCGGCCCTGCTCCACCAGAGCTACCTCCCTCTTCGGGTAAGGATATAGTAGCCTCGCCTAATTAAAACTATACCTACCGACTGAGGAGAGGCAACCCTCGTGTTTCCCTTAAACAGAACCAACAACATTGAGAAACCATTCTTCCTCTCCAAATCCATCTATCCCGAATCCCAAACCCTTCAACAAAAACAAACCCCCAAAAATGCCCACAACAACCCACTGCATCCGCCACGCCGAAGGCGAACACAACCTCGAACCCCAAGACCACACTTTAGTAGACCCAAAACTGACACCCAAGGGCCAAGCACAATGCTTCGCCCTCCGCGATTCAGGCTTCATCAATCACAAGGAAACCTCTCTCGTGACCGCATCCCTGATGTTTTGCACTCTGGAAATCGCGCACCTGGTCTTCGGGCCCGCGCTGCAGCCCGAGAAACAACCCGGGAGTGAAACCAGCAGCCGCAACAAAACCACCTGCAACCCCCAGATCTTAGCGCTACCCGACACCCAGGAAGTGTAGTCTTCCTACCTGGTACGATGTAAGATCTTAGCTACAGCCCGCTTCATTAGCTCTCATATACCATATCATAAACCTACATGCCATTGATGAATTATCATCAAAGGCTCAGGTTTGGACAACTCCGATCGCATGACTGCACAAGATCCATCTGGAGAATCGATCTCACGAGCCTGGTGATGACTCGTGCTTGGGTCTTGTTATCATGGACGCGCTCTCTTGTTAGTAAACCGTATCTGTATTTGACTCCGGGTGAAAGGCCATTGGTTATAGTAGGGAAAGATAACATATACCATTTTATTATAACAACACCTCAGATTTGACTTGCAAGGCAAGCTACAATTATCACCAAATGCCACCAAAGTTCAGCCTCTATCTGCCACGACAGATCCCACAGAAAGGGTAAAAGCAAGCTGACAAGCAATACAACTTCTCTCAAAAAGAAAATGCCTTCCCAGAACCACTCGTGGTATATAACACTGGGCACCGCCCGTTGATTCCCCGGGCGAAGGCATCCTAGAAATCAGTATATAGTCTGTGGGAGAGAACGACAATACATATTTCTTCTTCCCCCTCCCCGTTAGTCTTGAGAAACGTACCTATGTCGATCTATTTTGAAAGCGAGCAGGCGGTAGAGTTACTACACGGGAAAGACCTAGTGATGAGAGGCGTCTATGCTTAGATGAGGCTTAGAGCATTGATCAGTAAGTAGGATGTAGCTGGAACGCGGGTCCCCTGTTGCACTGACCCTAGTAAGTCCCTTGTAAGCACCATTGAACAAGATTGTTCAGTTGACATTTTGGAGAGGCGAGGAGAATCTCCAGGGCAGGACTGCATTGAGACAGAAACCAAATTCCCCTATGGCGAATTGGTGGTATGATATCCACGTCAACCTGGCCACCCCCAAGGAGTCTAAGCACCCTTTCCCATCCGGGCGAAGCCCAGCCCCCATTGAGTGAGATCTCTTCAATATTAGAGCCAAAGTCCGGTATTCACTAGCTCTCGTTGCTCCAGGCTGGACACTCAATAAGGCGCGGCTCCAAGTAACACATTATCGCAGGCCAATCTGTCATCCAACCAAGCATGAAAAAGCTCCCTCTCCTCTCTCTCTCTCTCACATATTCCTCTCGATAAAGTAAAACACCAACCCACCAAATAGTGTGTATGTCAATCTATTCTAAAGCTAGTTCTGAAAAAGAAAAACCCTGTATCGCAACGTGAGTTCCTACTTTCATGAGCTTTCGAAAACTTCCCCCAAAATTGACTTCTCCGGTCATGCCCTATATGTCTGAATCATAGGCTCCCCTTGCATCGCCAAGAAGAATGAGCACGAGCTCTGGCGTCTCAGGGTTTTGCATCAACCCTGAGTGCGGCCATGCCAACGACATCTACGAGTACCGTGTTTGCCAGGCACCGGGCTGTTGGATCAACTGAAGAGATGTACAGTGCCGGTCCAATGCAGTGGCATATACCTAGGATCTGCAAGACACGCGCGGCTCACCCAGCCGGCATGCCGGACGACTGAGTGACAACAAGCAACCAAGTTATCCAGGAGCGCCGAAGTCGTGATTGATTGTGAAGGCGATGGAAGCAAGACCGAGAGTCAAACTTTGTGGAATGGTTATGGATTTACTTTTTTCCTCGGAGAAAAGTCGTCGGGTTAGCTGGCTATCACATTTGTTCTATCTATGTCGAGCTTGGAGCAGGCCCTTGTGCTTAATTCGATCAGATCGGAGGCCTGTCATTCAGGGAATTGTATCAAGCCATGACTGAACTCGATCCTGAAACTGACCGTCAGGCTCTCGCGACTCTCGATTGTCAGCATCACCGGCTTCCAGGACGCTCTCTTCTTGGTCCCACGTGTCTCGAATCCAATCATCCTGGAAGATCTTTTCGGGTGGGAGGCCCTCGCCGTTGATAAAGAGCCAATGAAAGATAGTGAACGAGGCTTCTCTGGAAGCCTTCTGGTCTACATCAAGCTTCTTCTCTTCAAAGGATACAGGAACCGCAGGTAGACTAGGAAGAGCATAGGCACGACTGCTGCGCTTAGATGTCGAGATCCCATGCAAAAATGCATAGTCCTGAAGCACTACATTACCCTCCAGCTCCCAGGTCCAGTGTTCATATCGATAAACGTGTCGCTCGCATTCAAGATGTGACGTGACTCGAAGAGCACAGTCTTTCGTCAGAGATCGCCCACAGGGTTTCCAAGGCGTGGCAGGCCGGAACCTGAAACGTAGATCATCATTTCCGGTGTTGTTTGGGAGGTGTAGCAACCGCCAGACGTCGGACCTCAGTATGTACTCAGGGCTCTCACAGGTATATGGGCCTGAACCTGGAACATCCATGAAGCTTTGGGGGTAGCCAGTCCAAGCACATGCATTTCGATTCAAGGGAGGCATCCCGCTCCTCACTCGAACCACAATTGTCGGGCCTAAGCCGCTGGTAACAGCTCCGAACCAAAGAGCACTTATATTTGGCCGGCGCACCGCGCACATCAACGCGAGAATTTCTTGATCATGTGCTGAGATAGGCGAGTCACGCATCACCTCACTAAGTGCCGGATGAAGCCATGGAGTCACGAGGTTGCAAGGGATCCCGAGGTCCCAGAAGGATCCACAGAACATCGATATCATCAGTTCCGGATTGCAACTCAGGGTCATATAATAGGGTAGTTCTTCGAAAAGCATAAGCCAAGCCTGTGGAATAGCATCAGGAGTAGCAGTCAACCTCTTGCTTGTTTCGCTTGGGAACGGTAGTTGAGCAGTCGACCCACAATATTTATGTAGCGGAATTGTCAAGGCTGCAGCTAGCGCAATTGAAAATTGACTGCCTACTTGGTGCAGAACAGAAAACTCAGCAAGTGCTTGGAAAGCCTGTTGCGAAGACAGAGGAGCAGAGGTAGATTTCGGCGAGCGTGTCTGGTGTCTGATAGAAAAAGATGTTTCGCAGTTGCGGGAAATTGACCACGGAGCAAGAAAGTCCTGAGGTTCCCGTGTCACAAAGGCTTCCCAACCTTCCCCTGGCGCAAGGATCGCGAGCCACCACCGAGCGACAGCTTCGTCTACTTCTCCAATATCCAAGGAATGCTGACTCGAGCAATCGAGTGGAGGATTGCCACTGTTAGATGCCATAGATTTGGTATATCGCATAAAGGCACCCTCTCCGCGTAACTCAACGAGGTGTGCCGAGAGGATATAGCACCAACCAAGAGTGAGAATCCCCAGATAGTTTGAACTACTGAATGTCTCCGTTATAACTCCAATCCAGGAGCTGAAGACCTCTCCCATTAGTGTAAGTGGCACCGAGTCAGCACTGCCAAGTTGTAGCAATTGGAATCTCGACATTTCACTCTTAAGTCCATCGCAGTTTGTACTTGCGGATACTTTCCAAGTCGAAGAGGCTTCCAGGCAAAGGGCGAGATGTGGCGAAAACCCCAAAGGGCAGTAGTGAACCTTTTTGGGACGGGCCTGGAATTTTGGAACCTTATGCAGGGCATAGTGTGGGTCTATGGCATCGGGGGAAAGTCCATGATCTCGTTGTGCATAGGCCAGTGATGCTAGAGAATACCAGTACTTCCGGCTTCTTTGGAGGGCCTCGTTGAGTTCTTGTTCCTCGGGCTGAGCGACATCCTTTTCGACAATCTGATGGCCACCATGTTAGCCTCTTAGCATGTAATGTATTTACTTGTAGAAGATCGACAACACCAACTGAGGAAAGCGATGGTGGGGTCAAGGAATGATCCATATTCTCCGTTTGCAAGAAATTTGCAAGAGAGTGAAACTAAGAACAGTCGCCTCTGACGGAGATATCGAGTTGTGGATGGAAGGAGATTAGTCGATGTCTATACTTAAGGCCATCGGCTATCAAACGCGTGTCACGGTATGGAATGTCATGATTCTGCCATGGACAGAGTTCGGAACCTTGAAGCTGTTGACACTCCCGACCGAGGCTATAATCACTCCACTAAGCCAATATAGGAAAGATGGGAGCACGTTTTAGCTAAGCCTATAAAGGTATAGCCTTACCCAGCCCTGAGCTTAAGGACATATCGGAGTGTCAATAAATTTAGGCTGCTTAGAGCTATTAAAGCTATTCAAAAGCAAGGGTACCACTTTTTCACACCTACTTCACACAACCAGGTAGATATGGTTCTTGAAATAGGAGATAGCCGAAAAAACCAAATTGTAGGCATTGATTGGCACTGCATTGCCAGAATTTTATATCCGTCCAAATACGTCGAAGACAGCTTAAGAAAATCATATTTTTCCAACAGATTATCACTATATGTGAAGGAATCTGGACTCATCAGAGGCTGAAAGACACTTTTTCGAACATGTTAATCACTTCAAACATTTTTTACATGATGAAAACATGTGGTGCAGACATGAGCTGCTGTACACCACCAAACAGTATATACATACACCTCAATCACACACATCAGCTCAAGAGAAGCGCGCGGCCCAGCAAGTACTCGTCAATATCAACTAGATCGCCAGCCGTATTTTCGTTGCTTATACTGAGTTCTCGAATTCTTCCATTTCTTGTCTCCTGAGATCGCGAGGTCGAGCGAATGGTAGCGCCTTTTTTTTTTCACAGAGCCGACTCAGTGTGTTGATAAGCTTCAGGATTATCCCAAATCTGATATGCTCTCACGTTTGTCTTCGCCCTCATGTCTCTCTAATTCCATATGTCGCTTTCATGCCGCAGACCCTGAGATGCTGAATAGACAGGGAACTCAGCATCTGAAGCGCGATCCCTGACCCGTGTTCATAATCCCATGTCAGTCTTGCCTCTCTCCACTCCTGTTCCAATTCTCTGTATTACTTGTCGCTTCGTCATCGGCCTGATCGCCGTCAGACCAGGTAACTTCAACGGCCCCAAAGCATCAAGAAGCTTTTGCTTAATAGTCAGCGGATTTCCATGCCTCTGTGTTCTGTCAAGGATGGCATTGATTTACCTGTCGCTTGCCAGGAGCTTCTTTGGTTTGACTCATGGGCAGGGCAGCTGCCATAAAGCAGATGAGCAGCACCAGTAGAGCCGGTTACGTTATTCTGAGAAAGGGGAGCATATCTGATCTGTTCCTTCGCGGTATATAGAAGAGCAAACTAGAGGAAACACGTTAGGAAAATGATTTACAAATTAAAAGAATAGGTTACCAATGGTAGGATGTTCGAGTCGTCTCGGTATTGTCACTCCGTATGCACTGTTATTATTGTTGATAATCTGTTTGATATGGCTCTAGCATTCCTTGTTACCGGATCAACAGATCACACATACCTACCTGTCCGTCTTTATGTAGCGGGCACTTGAGGCTGCAACTCTGCATTTTTTTGCAATACCAGGAATGTGAGGGGGTTTTCCCGAAAGATGCTCTGAGCGAATCTTCCAACGAGCACAGTCTTTCTATCACCAATCTATTCGTGGTAGCCGGAACTGGAAAGGATTAAGCAGAATGATAGGCTAGGATATAATTGCCGAAGTAGTCAAATATCTTACCACAAGTAGGCTTCCCACGACTGAGCACAATCCGCCACTGATTCAAGTCGCTGACTTCAGTTCTTGTTGGATGAATGTGATATGATGCGATTGCAAGTTTCAACCGTATGCTTCGCTTCAATCCACTCTGAAGGACAAGGACATCAATGACGAAAAGACGTATCTTAAAAGATTGACGGTACTGCATGTGCCGCTTATGGACATACGAATGTTCGACAGACAGTATTGCTGATCGCTTCAGCGCCGTGGGCAATGTTCGCCAGCGTTATCTTGCTTATATACAAATTGCCAATCAGCGCCTGCGCCGTTCTGGTGGCTGAGTAATAACGGGAAGTCACATTCATTCCAACAGAATTGAACATCAGTTTAAGATACGGCCAAAGCTTAGCTAAAGTCTACCCATACGCCACTTACCCACCATTTGTACAGTCGACTACAAAGTAAGGATCTAAATGCAGCTAATGTTGGATAACTGCCGATGATTTCGACCACCAAGCATCAAGTTGATTGGCTGGAATCACATGAATCTATGAGTAGGAGCCTTTTAGTAATGAGAGCCCTACCAACGGCCCAGAGGCAACTAATGTCTGCATTGAGCAAGCTATTATCTCAGCAATCTAAGATTTTGAATCATAAAAATCATGAAAACCCGTTGGAAACGTTGCGAAATCTGCAGCTCAGTCACCAGCTTCCATCTAACCCCCCTAACATGCTATCCTCAGCTATAAATGGGAAATTCGACCTTAAACCCAACTTATAAATCCTCAGTCGCACCTCAAGAGACATCGAACAATTCCATCGGTTCCTGGCCACCGACGAAATGGAACGAATTCTGCAATCAATTCCACAATTCACCATGGCAGCGCGGTAATCAGGTTACGTGGAGCGGCATTTCTCGCCAATCTGCACAAAATCGGGCCGACGACCATCAGATGCAAACACTGACCTCTGCAATGGGGCCTCTGGTGGACCATACCCATCCGTTATGCCTCCACTTCCGTGAATCGACAAAGAGTTGGACACGATATATCAGGGGCGCCGTCCGCGATGCTCGCGTACCATATTGCGCAGGATGAAGGTAGAGTTACGGTGCTGTCGCCTCGCTTTCTCAGAGATTTAATCCTTACGGAGGCTAGAATTATCAGGTTCTTGAGGAACCGCTTCTGGAAGGAAGATTGGGGTCTGAAAGAGTCTCCAAGATTGAGATGGCACACCCGACCGTACCGGGTGCTGAAGACTTTCGGTATCTTTTCTGGCCGGTGGATGAGGTCGGCCTCTGGTATTCGACCTTCGGACACATTGCCTCAAGAACGGACTGGCGACGCGTGGGGACAGATCGACCGTCGCCTTGAGGATGGTTGATCATATATCAGCTTCTATTGCTACCGCAGAGACATGACCGCAGATATCTCCTATCGCAGCAGGTATCAGGATCATCCTTAGACCGTCGCGGTAACAGGAGTTCCAGGTTTCAAAAATGATTCATTTCTTGACAACTGTGCCTCAGGTGAGAATTATGGACTACACGATTGCCAGAAGCAAGAACACAGTAGTTATTGCAGGCGATCTTGATTCGACTAATTTATCGGCTATATGATGGAGGGAACTAACGCTCTTTGAAATATTTTGATCCGTCTCAGAGTCGGATCAGTAAATGGGAGAGTTCTGATTTCAATGACAGGGTATGACGGGATCTCACAAGATAAATCCGAATGTCAAAGTGGTTTGAGGTTGTTCTTCGGAATTTTCAGGACAATGAACCAAGAATGGAGCCATCTATGAAACCTGGATCTGGTTATCATAGGTGGCATCTGCGCAGCTTTAAAATCGCACTCAGTGGCATGATGACATCTGATGCCGTCATGAATCCGCATTCTTCTGGATTAGAAGACTACTAAGTCGGCTTCATAACACAAAACCCAAGAATGCAGTAGTACACTTCTTCAAGGTTTAGTCGGAGTCATATAGGTGGAAATATACCAAGCTGGCAAGAAACGATAGAAGCGGCTTCTTTATGTCAACCCTATCAAGCATCTCAAGCGTTATGGAGAAGGGCGCGCACGATACCTCGTATCTTGTATTTGAGCCTTCCGTCAGGCAACAAATATCGCTTGTTTATGGTGCGTTAGTCCCCGCTCTTCACTAAAGCCGAAGCCTCGACAGTGTGGTCGAGCTTTTCATAAACAAGGGCTCGGAAATTGAGCAAGTCAGGGTACTGGCTGTTCTGCCCATGTTGAAATGGCCCATAAGAGCATTCTGTAAACTCCACATCAAATATGCTCCTGTCAGCTCCATTCAGGCGCTTCTTGGAGATGGCTACGCTCATTTTGTTGTGTTCATAATACAGTGAATTTTCAACATATCATCAATGGTAGATGCACTATCAAGACATTATAATAACACCCCTCTCCCCAAACAGAAAACAGAAAAGCAGAAACCAGCATACACATTTGAATCCTAGTAGAGACCTTGCAGGATTGCGCCTCCTGCACCGATGCCGTCGCTATTGGTCCCTGAGCTTTCCAAATCCTGCATGTAACCATCCAGTTGAGGCTCTCAAGTCTCTCTTATACTCCATATGTGAAGCTAATTCCGGCCTTCCCGATGGGGTCACTTCCACTAGGTCTAGAATCCAATTCAAAAAAGAAGAACTATGGCAGCTCTTACGGTCGATTTGTCGCTGATTCCAAATGCATTGCTTATGCTCGAGTCTAAAAACCCCTCCTTCATCCGTGGCATAGTGTAAATAGCGGATGATTTTGCCAGTCACCCAACGACCCAATCAAAGTTGCTCATCGCGTGCGGATACATGATACATAAGACCCTCTGCCGTCTTTTCCGTCAAGACCGAATTCGTCCCTGTTCCACTTCCTCCATCGCAGTCGCGCAAACTGCGAAGCTAACCTCAAAGAGATTGCAGCTGGAGCTTCCTCACCCCCCGTTTCCGAGACCATGGCAATCTTCTTCCACGGGTGGGTCCTTATGGAAACCGCGTTCTACAAGTATCACAGAAATCTCGCATGAAGGGTATAATTCAAGATCGGGCGCTCGTGTTTCTTTCGCAGATAATGCAGCTTAGCCCCGTGAGCTTTATCCGCTCTCGGCAGGTCCTCAGATATGGTAGACTTGATAGCGATGTTTGAAGTCGTATCCTAATGAAGGAGACTTGGCTTCTTTCTCACGGTTCGATGGCATAAATGGAGGAATCAACGTCTGCCTTAACAACCTGCTTGAATAGCCCGCTTCGTCGTCATCTGTTCCGTCGTCTCTCATTGGAGCATGGCAGAGACCTAACGGTGAAGCAACTTTAGGACTTGAGATTCGAGTCCTTGGTCTCCTACTTCATTTTGAGCGCGCAGCGCTATCTTTTGACTTTAGTCCTTGGAAATGATAGATACGCCCACTCGTCCGGACCCTAAGAGCGGTGTGATTGGGAGTCATCGCCCGATAGCGAGACTTGTACACCCGAACTTTCCTCCTCGTCTGTAAGTGAGCCACTGTGTGCTTTATATCATGAGTATCGAGAAATTCCCAAGGTACCGGATCAATCGCGTACCGCTCGGTTTGCCACTGCCTTGGCCGTGAGAGTGGTCATCATCGGGGCCATCTCTCCTTAAAACTGCTTCTCTTCCTCTTTTCCTGACGGCGCGAGCGTAGTCGTAATTCCTACTTCTAATCCGCGATCATATTCAGCGTGGTCAACTGTAGCACAGACGAATCTAGTGGAAGCATTATTTCCCACCATAACCGAGAACGAGAGGCTGGGCTGTCCAAAATGTCGGAGGGGGATGAGTCAGAGTCGGGCCCAATTCTGATGCTAGGTTGGCGGGTGAGACGTCGAGGTTTGTCCGGATCTTCAGTCAGAGAGAGACCATCCATTGTCTCGAGATAAGAGTCTTCTGATTTCCAGCTTGTATCTTGATCGGAGGAACGCGGATCCGATGAATAGAAGAGGTGTGAGTGGTGATCTAGAAAAGGTCCAGAACAGGAAAGAGGCGGGGCCAAAAGGAAGGTGCAGTTCTGAGTGGGCGATGGACTGCAAATGCCAAATATCGAAGCTAACCAGTAATAGTAAGTATGTATGTGCCTACACATCATGTTGCAGAAGATCTGAGCTAATTTAGTGGACATTCCTGCCTTTTCTTTGAGAAAAATTGTTCTAGCATCCAAGGTAAGATCCGGGCAAAGTTGGTGCGCGCTGACAATACAAGCCACGAGGGTTGAGAAAGACCCCGTGATTATCCTTCCGACGGTCATTGTTATGTCTCTAGGCCAACGCATCATTCAGCAGTGCAATAATCTGGAAAATCCTGTACCACATTTCTCCAATCCTCTCATTGTGGCAATAATGAAGGATGAAAGTGCGTTCACGCCGATTGTGGCTGATTCGGAGCTCTCGGTGCTGTCCAGAGTCTTGGCTAAATTAGGGTACCGGCGAGGGGAGGTCCAGAAGTTAGTATAAGGGGGTCGGCAACCACACGGGCATATATATACTCTGACCTTTCCAAATTCAAATATTCCCTAGTCTCATCAGTAATTTTGATTGACTTACACATGAATGGAGCCTTTTCTTTAAAGATCATTAGGGTCCTTCTCAAGGGCAAAGGTATTTTCATATGAAGTTAAGCATGCGGCATCTAACATATCCTCTTATATTAGGGTATCTTCGGTATTTTGTCTACGATTGGTATAATTTATGTATTTCGTTGTAGGCTTAAGAACTTGAATTCTAGGCTATTCTAATCCTCTTACGCTAATTCATGAACCCCTCGAAGCTGATAGCCCGGCTACATTAAGCTTTTGTAAGTCAGACTTTGACTTCGTCATCGACTTGTTGTCACCTTCCGCTTGCAATTCAGACTCAACACCTGGAAATGAGGATCCAGCCGTGTGTTCCCGCCAGAATTTCTCAGTCGGGATGGTTATTGGCATGACAGCATGAATATCGCATCGCAGTCATGATGTCAGCGTAGTCCTTTAACGGCTCCCGTTGCTCAAGTATTCATAGATGACAGCATATCTTGGTAATTAGTAGACCCTTCTAGTTGTACAGCCTAACATAAAAGGCAAACGATTCCCTTCTCAGCTTCGACAAAGCCTCCTCCTGTCTCAACCTCCGTCATCCAGACCTCTTTGATCCTCCACTCCAAAGCGCACAAACTGCCCACAGGCTGCTTGGAATATCCGGCACGATGAAGCTCATGGCAATTCTTTCCCTCTCTTTGCTTTCCTCGGCATCTATGATCACAATCAGACCATCGGAATATGCCCCAAATTGCGGCTCAGTGGCCGCATGGTGTGCCCATGGCAGTGATTCATATGAAGGCTTTCACAAATGTGTTCAAGATCGACTATCGCGTGATGGGTGCGGCTATAGTGGCTAGGTATGAGCGCCAATTCACACTGGAGGAAATGCTCCCTCTGAAAGACACCTTGCATGTAGCTAATGATTATTAGACTTGCCTGCCGATGCAGTTTCCTTACAACAATGAAACAGGGTTCATTTATTGGTGGGCCAGGTTTGTCGCGATGGTCGTAGTCTCTGCTGAAAGTTCGAGCATCATTGGGGAATTGGGAAATTGGAAAGTCTAGCAGAAATTAAGAGGATCTATTCTTAGAAAAACTCCAATGCCATTGCAGTGACTCTCAAGAAGTATTTGAGCGTTCAAAATCAAGTGCAAAAGCACGCAGGCTATTCCGATCTTCCGCGTAGAACCGCACGGGCTTGATATTCACAGCAAGTAAGTTGTATTGCTAAGTACACACGATTCTGGCTCCATTTAAGGTTGAAAGTAAGGTGCTCCAGAGTATCTTTTCCGAGTCAGGATTTAGGGACCCAGGGCCGCGGTGTGGAGTCCCCCGTTCATAAGCAGCTACAAGACCTCCGAGCCGATGCGGCAAGATTACCGGAGCGCCTGGAACAGGCTATGGCGAGAACTCAGAATCAAATGGGCCGACACTGAGTCTCAGACGGAGATGATCAAGTCGATAGTTCAAGGTACGCGGACAATGATCAGGATGCAGCAACAGCTTCTGCCAAGCTAAGTCCTGCCGCAAGACTGAGCCCTATGCTCTGGCGATGGTGATAGTGATGTGCTCGTCACAATCTAATCAGAGTAATGTGGAGCGAATACCGGTACGCCAACCAAACATTGAAGCATTAGAGATAAGGCGCTTAAAATTTCGCACACTTGTTTGCATGCTGATCATAGCACAAGCGGGCTGATAGGGGCTTTTTTAGCGCCAAAAGGACTACGAGATGCGGATTAAGACATTGTCCATTCGTGTCCCAAGAAAAACCAACAACTGCCGCTTATCCTGCTAACGCAGGACAGGATCAAGGAGCCGAGGTAGGCTGCTCTGGCCTATGACGGCTGGGACCGGCAGCTTTTGAATTCTCGGTTATGGCCACTTTCATGGAAGATGATCATTCCTTGTTCTTCTATGGTGTGCCACTAATACCCTTGTCGCCCCTGTCACCAGGATAACGAATAACCGGCTATCATCCTCAAAAAGCAGGCACCTATCAGGGGCTTTACTTTAGCGCCAGGATTTGAATCATTCTCTCGTAGCGAAGAAATGCCACCATCAATATAACAGATCCTTGTATGTGATGCGGGGTCGCTGTTGTCTAGGCGCTACGGTATGCATGGGCTTCTGAGCAAAGAATAGATGAGGGTGTATATATTAAGCTCCGACTACTAGGGAATATCTATCAGATACTCAGACGTGATCCACTTCAGTTCTAGTCAAAAGAGCGCAACGTTTCACCTGCAGTAAGAATTCCCAAAACAATTTTCGTGATAATATACTGCTAACGCGCTGAGTCAAAGTACACCGTCCGAACAATCCACCTCTATCAGTGAATATGACGGCAAATCCTGGCCAGGCAGGGTCCAGCAGAAATTCGAAGTGCAAACACTAGAATGATGCGCATAATAGATATACCTGCAAAGAAACCGGCTGCCGAAAGCAATGGAAAATCTGTCAGACAGGAGATCATGGTGACTCTGGAAAATATGCTATTTGCTCCAAGTGCCGCGACCATCCCGGTGGTGGCCAGCCATTCGTCCACAAAACGCTTTGTGTTCGCACCTCCCGTTGAATCGGATTCAGAGTCGTCCATGGGATCTCTGTCAGAGCTCTCAATATCTATCCACGAGTGCTGGTATACTGGTTTATCATTAGCCGGATAGCCTGTTGACCTTAACCAACCAAATATTTCACGGGTAGCAGCCTCAGATAGTAACTGAGATTTCATACTATCGTTGAGAGAGACTGAAGAATGTTCCTCACGTGCCGGCGTATGTAAATGAATTCTATCCGAGCCCATCGTACCGAAGCCCAGATTTCCTGGGTCTTCGATCTCTTTCCCATTTGAAAGAGTCCATACCCAGGTTCTATAGTTCAGCAGGTGACATCCGCAGTGAGCATGGCGCCGAATCGTCAGCTCGGTGTCACAGAGCCGAGTCTCTCCAAAGGGCTTCCAAGGCCAGCTAGGGACTCTGTTGTGGCCCTCTGATCCAGCCAAGAAGAGCAAACGACATTCATCTTCGCGGTAGATGGTCTCTCTATCGGTGGCCTGGGGTTGCGATGTCAGAAACGATTGTTCTGTCCCAGTCCAAGCACCAGCGTTGAGGTTTAATGCGGTAAGGCCAATTCGAATATCTCGCAAGGTTGACTTAACGATGCCCACCAGCGATGCACCGAGCCAAAGACTGCCCAATTTTGGGTCTCGCTGCCATAATCGTCATGATAACTGAAAAGTTCTCATCCTTGACCAGAGGATCTATTATCGCAAAGGCGGGATTGAGCCAAGCGCTGACAAGGTTGCACTCGATATCGGCATTGAAGAATGTGCCACAGAGAAGAGACCTCATTCCCCATACATTGGAGCTCAACGCCATATACTGAACTAGTATCTTCCCTTGTTCCTCTTTTGGAGCAGGAAATGGTTCCGGAGAACAAGAGGTAGGTGCGTTAGTAGAGAGCCGCTGGAATGGCCTTGTCTTGGGAAGAGATGCTGAACTTTCGCTAAGGAGCGGCATATAGAGTACTCCGGCCAGAGCAGCTAAACACTGGCCATAGAGGCGATGGTAGGAACAGAATCGGGTCAAATATTCGAGGGCAACTTTTGATGACGGGGGTTCCGCGCTTGCCATTGAAATGTTCTCGGCCATCGATGAACCAACCTGCTGAGAGGCTGAGACGGCCCAGGGAGAGTGGTATACGCTTTCCTTGTATTTTGTCGTTGTCGCCCCACCCCTTCCAGAGGAGAATATGGCATTCCACCACTCAGCTTCAGATTCCTCGACACCGGGGCCCAGATCAATTGGAACATCGCAGAGTTCGGTTCGTGAAGCATTCTCAAGATTGCCAACAGTGATATACTTGTAATCACGGCGCTGGTTCGTCGAAGCCTCCAATAATTCCGCCCATCGAGCAGACAGAATATATGCCCACGCAACGAATAACACAGCGAGATAATTTCCTTCGTCATATCCAGAGAGGCCCTGGGTACCCGGCCATTCCGTCAATGGAGCGCTGTCAGATATTTGTGTTTCATACCCACCAGCTGGGAACCTCCGGAAGACTTTTGGTGGGGACGTCCCCTTAGTAGTGCAGGACTAGATCGATTAGAACTGTTATGGCGCCCTTAGCGCTTCGATAGTTTGGAATGGAATGCGCCATTCTGCTGGGCCAGGCGAAATTCCTGCCAGAGACAGTTTCAGCTCTTAGGGCATGTTTAGCAATTACACGCGATGTCACGTCCCACAGATGAAGACCCTGATTGACAGCCATCCCGGCCCACAGAGCTACTCTGGGAAAATCGGAATCGAATGCACTGTCCAACCTCTATAAAATAAATCGTGCCACTGACACATCCAATCCCAATCGCTGACATGTTTAATTAAAAGGTCTTCGCGCGGCTTCCAAATATCCTAATGTAGCCTTCCCTCTAACCATTGTGTCAATTTCATAGCAAACAGGCACGTACTATTTGCATCTCCAGCTCGCGCATCGACCTTAAAGGTCCACATTCCAGTCCTCAAAAACATTGTAAGAAATTGGAAATCGAGTAAAATCTCACTGTCGTCGCTACTGGGCATGTAGTCAACCTGAACCCCATGGGTATCACGAATAGTAAGGTGGGCTAGCTTATTAAAGGGTGTAGTCCTTAATGGCCCTGTAGTAGACGTTTCGTTGTCGTAACTACCATCCGGGTAGACAACAGAGGCGCTTACTTTCACGGTTGCATTAATAAGACCCTCGTCGGGAAGCGCCAGCTCCTTCTTCTTAGACTCCGGTAAATAACCGCTTAGATAGACGAAGAAGACACGGTCGCTTTATCCGGCTGTTAATATCGAAAGATTATGAAAAAAAAGTAAAAAATAAAAAATAAAAAACAAAAAATAAAAACAAAAAAAGTGGGGGGAGGGGGGGGGAAAGAATCTCACGCGATAATAGGAGTCGGTGCAATCTCAAGGGACTCGATCTTGAATATCTGGTCATTTTTAGGCACGGTGTCGGTGTCGTAGGTGGCATCGTTGTGGCCGGGGACTCGGTTGTCTAGTTGGGCCAATGTATACTGCGTGGGGTCGGTCTTGGCAAGAGTAACGAGTGCAGCGGTGCAAGTACAAAGAGACAAGATTTGTGGGAGAATTGATTTCATCGTGTCGTGGCGTTGAGACAGCTTAGGATGAAAGAGCAACGAGGGACGAGAGGAGGGATGGCTGGCTTTATGTCACTTGACTCTCTCGATACCTACCTCGCTAACTAGGTACTACAGTAGTACGAGTTTGGAAATTGCCTCTCGATACCTAGTAGGTACCACGGTATTTGACTACGCAGGCCCGGCGGAGAGAGTCAGGTAGTCCCAGAGTAAAGCTAGCGTGTTGCGGAGCGTACAATTGATTGCCTGAAGGGCCGCCAGGTACGAGACCGAGACCGAGACCGAGGCCCGTACCTTAACACAATCAGACCCACCCAGAGCGGGGAAAGAGCTTATTTCATGGAGATCGCGGCTGAACTCAGCACGGCTATCAACGCCAGACATTTCGGACATAGGCATCATAGATATTGCTTCTCATTGTCAGAATCCAAACCACAGACTTGGCAACAAGGATTGAACCCGCCATGGCCTCGAATTTAGATCCGTACCCATACCACCCCACTACCTCAACTTCCACAAGAGGTGACAGAACCCAGCTCGAGCTTATCATCACAATGCTGCGAAGAGAACAAGAGCCAATCATGCGATTCTGGCAAGAAATACGACTGGAGGATCTTTTTAGTGGAGATAGCATTGGCCCTGGACCGTTAAGTCTAGAGTGCAAACCGGGCAAAGTTACACGGCTACACTACTTCATCAATATCTACCTCAAAACGATACAGTTTTTTGAAGAGTATCCACAGTTTGATACCGTTAGGGAGAAAGAGACACTAGGGGTGACCTCAACAACCATGGTACGAGGGGCCGAAAGGGAGACTTTGCCGCGAAGCACGGGTTTCCGCCATCAGACATCCTGGTGGCGCTGAGCAGAGGAGTACGAGCCATCGAGAGTCATCTCGAGAAGCCGGGAGTTGTACCATTACTTTTCAGTGTGGTCCAAATGTTAGACCGACTATCTCTGCATGATATAAAAGAGCTTGCGGTTCCCTCCGGATGCACTGCCCTGACTTGATGTCAACCGGTTACTCAATACACAAAGAATTGGATTCTGTACTTGGAATCCTACAGCAAATGGGCACTGATTGACACATGTCAGAACTCAAACGACGGCCTTTCTCTCAGCAAGTAGCAAGTAGCCAGCAAGTAGCGCAAGCTGATGTTCTCTGAGGGTCGGGGGCAGTTTTTGAAGGAATGGAACTACATAACGATCGGGCTGGATGTCAAAGCGTGTGAAACTCTCGTCGCCACCTGCATAGCCCATACAGACAAAGGTGCATGCCTTCGGCTGGAATCGGACGATTGTGCCTGCTTGCACGATCAGGACCTGGCTCGGTGCAAGACCACAGGTGGCCACTCTAGTGCAGTAGTGATCGGATGGGATCCCTGGAACAGGCTGCCGACATGCTCGTCACTCCACTCGTGGGATCCTGGGACAATCTGCATGAAACAGCCGTCGTCGCCATTGAAGAAGGTGTCTAGTGGGAAGAGCAATCTAAGTCGACTTTTTTTATCACCGAGTGATCCGAGCACATAGGCTTGAGTCGTATCACTACTACCACTGTACCGCACGGCTCGAGGCTCTAAGAAGTTATGATACTCTCGCAGGCCTTGATAGAATAGCAGGGACTGTGCCTTATCAGCATAGAGCTCGTAAGGGACAAGCGTGATATACCGGCTCGATGCGGTGGAAGCTGATGACCAGTCCTTCGATGATTGTGCAGAGGATGCTGCTACTGCTGCTAACCGAAAAGACCAATAATCCACTCATGTACCTACGTCGGAGCATCATACTCAAATCATGGGGATATCATTACTCATGAATATATAAACCTAAGATAGTAGCGTAGTCAATCCCTGCTCATTCATTAATCTTGCAAATCGAGGGAGCCAAGACGTAGGCCTGTACCAGGAGACCTCATTCGTCCGCCTCCTCCTCGACAAAACCAAGTCTTCCTAATATATCCAGGAATTTATGAGCCGCATCTGTCAACGCAAGCAAAGGAGATTGCTCGAGTTGGGCAGCCACCGCAGGTTGCATCTCGACTTCTTGCGGTTGGTGACCGCCTCGGCGGGTGAAGTAGTATTTTCCCTGGTGACAGGACCAGTTCTCGTGGATGTAGGACTGCAGTTCGCGGGTAGCGCTGCGGCGGAGGTCGGAGAAGAAGGTTGGGGTTGTAGACGCCGCTATGTCCGAAGTAAAGGCTGCGGCGGAACAAGTAAAATCGCCAGATGAGGTGGCTGCGGAAAGATGAAGTTCGTCCTCTCCACAAAGTTGGGAAAGAGTAAAAAGAGCGAGTTGACGGAAGGCACGAATCTGGAGAATGACCTTGTCAACAGCTGCTTGGCTGTTTATGGTTCCGCGATCGAAGTAGTCAATGATGGGCAAGGCGGATGTGATCATGTCGAAGAACGAGGCGGCGGTGATTGCTGTAGCCGGGTTGTTGAGCAAATTCACATTATTAACAAGAGCAAGCTGCAATGAATGATACGATGGCTCAAAAACGGAGGCAAAGATATTCATAATTGATCCAGTGCACGCAGAGTCTGTAGAGTCCAGGTTAAAGAGAAGGCTTTTGAAGACGAGGCTAATGTTCAGGATAACCGGGCGACTTAGAATCCAAGCTGCCCGGCTACTGAAGGCTATTTCGAGATAAGCTGGAAATACAGCCTGCAACAATGTCGATCTCAGGGTGGGCTTGACCGGGTTGCCTCTTTCATAGGTCTCTGCCATTGCTGAATGGAGTTGATTGACGAGGTAATCCTGTTGACCATCGATGGCAGCTCTCTCCGAGACACTCTGCACAAACACAACGAGGGTCTTCGCAACCTTCTCGGACGAAATCTTTGGCTCGTAGCTCTTCAATCTTGCGACAATATACGTCGGGTCAGCAGACGGCAGGGGGAAAGAAGCGGGATCGGTGAAAAATGGATCAATAGGGCATATATCTCTGCTGTGTTGTTGAAGGAACCCAACCACCCGATGGACGAGATCAACATAGGTGCCCTGCACGCTCTTTGTGCCATTCCCTAGCTCTTGGTAATTGGCTTTCATCGAGGACATCATTTTTTGTATCATCTCCCCGTATTCCTGCTTCGTGCTCGAGTATTCGCGTGCGCCAGCATCATCAAGGTTTTGCAGGTGCGAGCGCATGTTTGACAAGAGACTGGATATGAGTGACAAGCGACGCTGAGTGATATCTTCCAAGGTGAGCGAATACCGTCCCTGCTTGCAGTCCAGAGCGAAAGGTAAGTTGCGCAACACAAGGTCGTCTCCCGCCTGGTTCAACAAGGCTTCCGTCAAGCGGTGCTGGAACTTCAATAGGGCTACCCTCTCGACTAAGCTGGCCATCCACATGCCGAGTATATTAACCCTACATTCAACAACAAACCGGGCGTCTTTCTCGATGCAGCTTGCCAGGAAGAAGGGCGTAAACTTTCTTGTTTGCATGGTTGATCGAAGTGCTGACCATGAGTCGCCACTGTAAGGACTAAGATAGCTGTCCCAATGGCGCAGTCCGTGCTTGGCAAGCGTTTGTGCGATAGAGGTCCAGCATTCCACGGCGCCAAGAAGTATGGCATCCTCAGGACAATAGTCTTCACCGAAGCAGTTGGATACAAGCCTGGACACGGCCGGGTGAAACACTTGCTCCACGTACTCGATTTCAGGTTTCGATATTGTTGTAATCTGATCGTATACGGCTTCGATATCGGTCCAGTCCCCATACTCTTGACTATCGTCGTCCACTGCAACAGGAGCACTTGCTACCTCTGATGCTTGCGCTTGAGACACGTTGCATTTGTCAAGATAAGCAAGGATCACTAGGAGGGTTTCAGTAACAATTGTATTAACGCGAGCTAGCTGCGGGTTAAAGAGCCCTAGCAGCGCTTTCACTGGCATCTTGGACACTAGCTTTTGAGCATGCTGTACTGTCGGCGCTGCCCTGACGGCACCTTGTAGGCTGCTCAGAGCGATCTTCAGCAAGGACTCGATCTGTCGCTGGTTTTGGGCTATTGTTTTCTCTACCAAATTGTTCGAGAAGTGGTTGCCAGCCGTATTTTGCGCCTCAATTTCTTGACGGGCCATCGCATGCTGCTTGAGTAGCTCGGTCACGAAATAACAGTGCCAGTCAGCAAATGGCTCGAGCCCCGACACCTCTTCATCGGTCGAAAGCTTGAAGCGGACTAGTCGATCCCAGGAACGAAGACTTATATTGCAAGTCTCCCTATGAGAGCTGGCAGGCTGAACAAGATCCCGAATGGTTTCCAGCCGGGGCCGACAGCCGTCAGGAACGGCATAATATAGCGTGCAGAGGAGGTCGTGATGATTTCTCAGCGCGTCTAAATCTGTTTGTTGAACTGGTTTCTCCTTCGGATACATCCGGCCATGGTTTGGCAACAAGCGCCAAGCAAAGTTCCGTATCTTTCTCTTGTCATAAGACTTGGACAAGGACCTCAGTCCACTTGCAATGATCTTCAGCAATATATGGAAGCATGGTTCTCCAGGCTGCACGTCCAGTGAAGGGTTGCGATCGAGTTCATCAAGGAAAGCTGGCGACCTATAACTCTCCTCATGTCTCAAATTGTACAAAGTATTCTTGGCGAAGAAATCGTACAGCGTATCCAAGACTGGTTTGCAGTCTCTCCAGCCCCAGCCATTAATGAGATGGAAACATCTATGGAACAAGGCTCGGCAATAATTGTAGTAAGAGACGGGTTGCACCGCAGAAGTAGCCTCGTAGCTCTCTAGCGCAGGACATAACAGCATCTTGATCACGGGCCAATTGTCGTTCTGCTGACGGAATCGAGAACCAATTTGGGCAATCCCACGTACATCGAACTCATTCAAAGGCAAGGTCGTGAAGACGCGGTGCCACGCAGCTTCCAGTTCAGTCACATTTTTTGAGTTGCTCACGTCTCCCTCATCAGTCATTGTGTAGGACTGCGCTAAAAGGTCCTCAAAATATCCTTTCAAGATGTCCGTGTTACGCAAAACATGTCGAACAATTACATAGGCTTCAGCGGGAAAATTTCCGCAGCGAATGCCCGCTTCGCGCCGCTCAGTAGATTCGAGGTCGCCAAGGAGTCTGCGAATACTGGATTGGCCCAACTCGCTTGCGATCATGGAGACAGCCTGCTTGGATGCCAGCTTCATTGAAGTCAGCGTTTCATGGGCAAGGCTCCCTTCGACAAGATCATGTCCAGCTATCTGAAATATCACATTCGCAAAGACAGTATTGTAAGTAGAAATGGTCAGGAGGTACTCCATATCCGACTCAGTTGTCGGAACTAGCGTGGCCAGAGTATCATTGACCTTGCAAACAAGGCTTTGCGCTCGCTTCACAAACCCTGTTCTATCAACAGGGTCAATGAAAGACAAGTTCTCCGTAATGTACTTCACCAAAGATCTGTAAATGATGCAGCCCTGCTTTGCGCTACTTACAGTGAAAGAACCCGCTAATTCAGCGACGAGTCTATCCAGTTCTTCGACAATTTTGTCGAAGGCAATTCCGAGGCCGGAGGATACGGCATCATTCCAAGCATTCCATCGATAACGTTCATCTTCGATATACAATGTGAAGAATCCAGCCTCGATGTCAAGGTTTCTAGCCAGAACATTGAGCGAGCGACGGAATTCTCCACTTCCAATGAAAGTTGACTCGTGGAAGAAAGTCCCTGCAATCAATGGAGTGATGTTGAACTCAATGGTATACGTTCGTTGCAGACCTTCAAGTGCCCCAACGGGACAGCTTGTGGGCTGTAAATCCTCCGCTCGCCAGTGTAAGTCCGAAACTACAGTATCATGAAGCTGCGACTGCGATTCTTGTTCATGAAACGCATTGATGTCCAGGCGCCTTGGCGGACGTTTCCTTGCTTCGCGACGTTGTGACTGGACTTGTAATGGAAGCGTTCTGGCGCCCGCTTTATCAGGCATGTTGGCACTGGCGCGCTCATTTGACTTGTCTCTAGGCACAGGGGTCGAGCTGCGGCTTGAAATGAATCTATCCATAAGCAAATTCCCACGTCTCGCTTGAAGAAGGTGTTGGCCGCGGTAGTCTCGGTTCAAGAGCGATAATGTTCGTTGAAAAGACACGGATGACACTGGCCGTCCGGCGAGGTTCTCTTTCTCAACTAAGGCAGGCCTGAAACCGTTTCTCGTAAAGGATGTTACTGCGAAATTCCTTTGAATAATCCATTTGTTATTTGACCGCTTAGGTAGGCTTTTGTTCTTGGCCACGGTGTCACTCTTCAGCATCTGAGGCAGGGTAGTCGAATCCATATTAGATCGATGCTCATCAACACCGGCTTCATTTCCTCGAGGCAAATATGCTGGCAATAGAGAAGATGTGGTGATTCCGCTAGGCTGTGGCCTCGCTCGAGAGCTAAACAGACTTTGTGTCTTTCTGGAAACTCGTGACTGGGCCTGCGACTTGGAAGGTGGTTTAGTCTGAATATTAGGCAGTCGAGTTTGTCGAAGATTCCCAGCTCGCCATTCGCGCAGCGAAACATTTGCTTCTTCAGTATCTGCCCGTGAATTTAACTTGAAGACCTTCCGAGAGGGGCTTCGCCTTCCCTTATCCTGGCGAGAACGTGCCTTTCGTGCTGCAACCCTAAGAAACTGCGGCTGTTCGCTTCGAGGGCGAGACACAACATCTGGGGCATCTAAAACGCCGATTTTAGGCAAGTCTGGGGCCTTTTGCTTCTCTCGCTTCTGCGCCCGATATCTGGGATCCGTCAGTCTTGCTTGTCTTTGGAGGCGAGACCGTTTGCCCACGAGCTTAGAAGGAACTCCATCTATCGCAACGCCTGTGTGCTTTTTCACATGCTTTCGGGCTTTGATACTTGACGTGGAACGGGGGACTGGTGGAAACATGTTATCGATTCGGTTATCTTCTGGGATGTCATCATCCAAGTCTTCATCCAAGAATGGGTTCTCCAGTCCTAGTCTAGCCATCAATTGACGCGAGGCGGTTTCGTCGTCAGCTTCTCTATCCTCCGGGTCTTCTTCACTATCAGAGTCGGCAAGCTGTCGCAGAGCATTTATGGAGCTTGGCGGTCTAGCATCCCCGCGATTCTTCATTATTTTCCTGGCAACGCCTCTCGAATCGTCCGCTCTCGACGTTAGCCTTTCATGAGCTCTTTGCGCTGAGCTAAGCTGTACCTCCTTCTGCTTCTGCTGATCTAACCGCAGCCACGATGCCGGGAGGACTCCCTTGATGCGTCGTTGGTATCGCCGCCTTATTGCAGCGTCATCCTCGTCGTTTTTTTCGTTGTCTGTTTCCTCTTGTTCTGCTTCGCTAACTACCGCGTGCCTTTCCTCTGTCAGAGGGCTAGGGGCCGCCGGGGATTGCCCATCGTCCAGACCGTCTTCAGTACCAGGTGCGGGCCAGTCCATAGCATGACGATCGGTAGTCTCAGCACGTGGCCCGGTACTAGGTGTATTCAAAGCAGGTGTAAAGCCCCTAGGAAAACGGAAGGTCTTTGAAGGTTCTGCTTCAGAGGATAGATCATCATCCTCAGAGCGTGGTGGGCTGGGAATATCAAAAACAGGCACATCTGCCTGGCGTGCGGGGAATGAACCGTTATCAATGACGACCTGTAAGCGGGCCTTGGTTTGAGGAGTTTGATGGTCATTCGGCGTTTTGGACAACTTCCGCCTCTTTATATGAGGGCCCACGAGGCGGTTAGTGGATTGAGCTGGTAGGGCCTGATGATGATGGCGCTCGGGAGACAATTCGACGGATCTTTTCTCGACAGGACGTCGAGGTTCGAGCGGAGAAGATGGCAAATACTCAAATTCAGCTCCCAGGCTATCCGACATTGGTTCTGCTTGATCGACATAATCCTGGTTCTGGCTTTCTTCGGCAGCAAGACGGTTGATTTCCTGCTGAGCCACGCGCACTGGTTTGACTCCTCGCGCACGCATAAGATTTCGATACTTCGCATCCTCCAGCATATAAGGATGCAATTGAATGGCTTTGCGCTCTCGAAGTGATCTTCGCGCCGGTTGGGAGAGCTCATCTAGTAGGTGTTCAGGAATATCCAGCGGCGGGAGGTCCTCTAGTGTATCTCGCTCCGCTAAGCCCTGCTCAATTATGTCTTGCTCTGTCACATTTTGCGTTGTTAAGTTATGCTCCGCCATTTTCCGCTCAACTGTATCCTGCTCGATCAAATTCTCCTCCGGCATATCCAGCTCCATCAAATCTTCTAGCGCCGTCCGGATGTTGGACGTCTCCTCTCCTTGCCGTGTCTGACCGTCAAGATCCCCAGCAATATCATCCGCGTGATCGTGCTCATCGTCATCCTCCAGACGCAAAGAATCAAGCGAAGACAGAGGCGACGACGGTGTTGAAATATCATAGTCCATTTCCGGCTGTTGCGGTTCACTAACACGCTTGACTCGAGTATACACCCGGGCTGGCTTTCGGGAACGCATGTGTTCAAACTGCAATTCATCCTCAGAGCTGGAAATATCCCGATATCCCGCTTTCTCCGGTGCCCGTGGCGTCGACGAGGCGCTGCCATGCGCATCTTTCAAGGCCTTATCCCCCTCAGCCAATTTCCCGCGGGCGCGAGGGGTATTCTCCTCATTCTCATCTGCCGCCTGGTGCGGCAGTGCTTCCTCGTACGAACGATCGGCGGGCGGCGAGGGTTCGTCCCCAAGGTGATCGAGCGGGGGGCCATCTTCATCGATCGAACCAAGAGTCGGCGAATGGCCTCGAGTGCTGCCGGTCGGTTCCTGCAGAGGGTCTGTACCTCTGTTTTGAGATCCGTCAAGTCGTGTGTTGGCTACGACACCAGCCGAGGTCGCAGCAGCAACCGCGGATCCTCCGACACTATGCTCGTCATCTTTGCGGGAATTGAGCGTCTCCTGGCTTTCGAACCCGTCCTCCGAGTCTGAGTCCGGTACAAAGCCTCGCTCCCGCCATGATTCCATTAGTATTCCTGGCACGGATGGCCCATCTCCCTAGCTCTCCATCCCGCGGTGGCGACAGAACTCGGATGGTTGGATGGCAGACTGGGTTCGCGTGTGTAAGAAGGACAGGGCTGGCGGACGGACGATGACGGCGGGTTTTTCGCGACCGAGGATGACTCAGGGTTCGGTAGATTGTGAGGCAAATTATATAGACGTTGAGGAGGATGCGACGATGCAAGCTTCCACGGGCTTCTAGACCGGGAGTCAATGAAAGGGTGGCGGGTTGTTCTTCGCAGGGACGAGCTGGGCTGGACTGCACTGGGTTGACGCGTCGAGATTGTGGGGAGACGCGCCTCAATTAGGCGATGCGGCCTCATTTTCGGGGCAGTCATTTCCCGCCGTTCCGCCTATACTTCGGCTACTTCGGAAACTCCTTGTCACTGCTGCTTCAGTTTGACCTCACTTGACAGAGTTGGTTTTGCATAACCCAGAGGTTTTCATGTGCTGAGCTGCAAATTATTATCACTTTCTTGACAGATCTATTCCTATTATCCTCGACATGATGCCTGGCAAATCATACAGTTATGCGCAATGCGACGGGCGGTTCAGCCGAGTACTAGGCTGCAGGACGCTTACTGAATAGTATATATCAAGAGCAGCCACAGGCAAAGAGACGCATGAGATCTGCCCTTGACGCAACCCCTTTGTTAAACTCGGAAAAGAGATAAATCAATGTCTTGGGTCACTTCGCGAATTGCACCAACGAGATCGTCCCTTGTGTCTGGTTTCGTTCAGCGCTCCCCGAACATAACATATACCACACTGCACACTGAGAACATCATGATAAGATTTGTCAGAAAATCGCGCAGCTACCACTGAAGATCCTTATGAGGTTCTGAACAAGACTTCTGATCTCTGGACCAATCGTACAGCCCCCCTTTGGAGATAAAGCTCTTCTCATCCCAATAAACGCACTCGAGCGCCTTTTGGACAACTTCCAAAATTGACGAAGAGGGTGCACGGCCATCTCAATCCAAAAAAACTCGGGTATTCATCCAAAATCAGATATGACTTGGCCATTAGAGCATTCGACTCGGGCACAATCGACGCCTGACGGCGATGAACGTCACAAAATTGCGCAAACTCCTCGTCTCGGATCAGGAATTTGCGTGCATCGCGGAGACGTTGCTCCGATTCGTTCTCTCCATCAACGAGCAGAACCTGAAACCACTTCCAGCGGAACGGCTGCAGCTCTGCCACTTGCTGGTTCATGTCTTCCTGGAAGTTGAGGCGGCACACCACGGTGTTGATCTTGAACTTGATCCCGTACTCCCGGCAGAGATCCCGGATCTCGTAGAGCTTGGTGACCTGGTTGCCGGAGCCGCGGCCGATGGCGATATCGATCGACTCGTTGAATGAGTCGCATGAGACGGCCAGGATGTCGATGTTGCGTCCGTGTCGGGCGAGAAAGCGCCTCGTAACTTTGCTGCCGTTGGTGACGATCGAGACAGATTCAAGACTGAGTACCTCCTTGCAGTAGTCGACCATCTGGCCCAGTTGGACCGGGTACAGAAATGGTTCTCCGCCGGCGAAGTTTATCTTCCGCATCCCTGCGGCTTGGAGGAGGGCAAGTCTCCGTTTAATATTCGTCATGAGCTCGATGTGCGAAGAAGACTCCGTGTGGAAGCAGAAGCCGCAGGCTTTATTGCACCGTCGGGTGAAGTGATATTTCACCGAAATTGGACACTTCGAGGGCTTCGAAGGCTTGCAGTTTGGCCATCGGCTCCGGGAAGCCAGATACAGGGCAGTTCCAACAATCCATGATAGGAGAAATGCCAGATAATGCATCCTTCACATGCGGCGAAATGATTAAATGATGAGGGAAAGTAATCCCTTTCAGGAGTTCTAAGATCAAAAAAGAAGTCCGAAACGCAGTAAATGATTCACATAAGTAATCAATGACACGATCTACAGTGATGCGGAAAATTCACCTTGTTTCACTGTTCCGGAATGCGTAGGTTCTCGGCCTCTTATAGCACCACACAGTCGACTCTCTCATATTGAAAAAGCCATCGAATGGGGCTCCCTGGCCATCTTAGCACCCTGTATCTCATTTGATGTCATTTGTTACGTCGAGAAAGAAGAACGAAACTCATATCTCAGTACGCCTTGATCCATTGATATCACGATGGGCTTCAAGCAAGAACCGCCAAACACCTACCTTGTTGGCGCGCATTGTACCGGTAAAATGACCCTTGTGAAAGGCCTCCGAGCACATTTATCGACCAGTCTAGTCTCCCAGATCTATGGACACAAGACAGAATGCCCCGGCGATCATACACGAGCTTGTTCGCGGTATAATGCGCACGGACGGCTGTTCTGCAACTGATGTCTGAGATCTCACCGCGGGGTTGGAACTTCAGAGACGCACGATCATGGCTCAGCATGCAGCTGAGAAAGGGCTGGAAGGCAAATGGTTTATCTCAGATAGATCTGGACTCGACCCCATCGTGTAGGCTGAAGTCTTTCTGGGGCGAGCGGCGGCAGAAAAGCTCGCAGGCCTCAAAGAATGGCACGCCCTTTGAGAGAACATGAAGAAAGCGGTTGTTATTCTTCTTCAGCCCTGGAATGAGACTTGGCTATCGAGCGATCCAGTCCGTGTTCAGTGCAACGATATCGAGGTATATCGCGAAGGCTTTTCGAGCTGCTCTGGAGGGACATGGAATCTCTTGTGTAACGATCCCGGGAGAGGTCGAAGACTTAGAGCAAAGGGTACAAATTTGTCGAAGAACTGCTCAGATCGTTTGCCAAGATGCTGAAGATGATTCTGAGTTCGCGATCTCCAACTTGGAAGCCGTGAAGCCAAAGAGCCGATGAGCCGAGCAGACTATCTATCCCTTGATGTTTCTCGCTTGACTTTTGCAAGCTAGTGGTGAGACTTCCAAGATTGCATTGTATTTCTCATCATCGTCAGTATATAGCTTACACTCATCAAATCTAAGCTCTCATACACAATTCAGGCTCGCCACGAAGTGATTGAAATAGGAAGCACATGAAATCTCTTGAGAGTCAAGGGTGCATAATATGCTAAAGGAAATGGTGGGACAGGCACATTCGCAACGCTCTACTGGACACACAATCGTGATAGCGGAAAGAAGACAAATATACACACATTCAAACCGAAATGTCTCAAGGCAACCAATACCAAAACCTCTTCCCAAGCCCCCAATCTACCTCCCAAGCCCCTTCTCAAAGTAAGCCGTCAACTTCCCCTTAGGCACACCGGCACAGAACGCCCACCAATACCGTTTCATAAACGCGGTAATTCTCTCATCCATCTCCGCCATCTTCTCCGCTCTGCACCGCTCAACCTCACCCTCCGAGCGACCACCGCCATTGGCTGCAGTCCAAAGTTCTCTGCTGCGTTGGCTCTCGTTCCCGTAAGCTCGGCCAAGTAGGCTGAGATGGCCGCCGGCGTGGACAGCTCCTCGAACTTCGAGTTGAAGTAGTCTCCACCGCGCCGGATCTTGGCTTGCCAGTTGTTGTCGCGTCGGCGAACCCAGACGCCTTTCGAGGAGAGGAAGTGGGCGGAGTCGTAGTAGGTGTCGTGGATGGTTTGCTTGCCGCGGTACTGGAGGCTGGTGAAGAACGGGTGGCCGCTGTCAATGAGGAGGCTCTTCACAGCTAGGCGACGGAATTTGCGTTCGACTTCTAGGAGAAACATTTCTGGGGGCTCTGACTTAGGAAGTGGAGGTGGTTGTTTGTTGTGTTGAGATACTGGGCCGAGATGCTTTTGCCTTCTTTATGGGATGCGCGGATCGAGGTGATCTTGAAGGAGCAAAGGGGTTGATATAAGGCTCTTCTTCGTCAACGTGGCAGGGATTCAAAACAGCTTTTAGTCACAAAGGTTAATCTGTTCATCACTAGGAGGAAGGTAAAAGTTCTGTTCTGGGCGAATGAAATCGCATGAAGAGCGTACAAACAAACGTGGGGTGGTCTCGGACATCTGTATCATCTAACACCCAGGCTTAGACCACATTCACTACCTCCCCAACATCCCATCGGTTGAGAAGTAAGATTGTTGGTGGAGTGTACATCTACGTAGTTTTACATAAGAAGTTGTTGGAGGGTTTGTTGAGATGCTTCGGTTCATAGATTGAGACTAAGTGCTGTCTGAAAGCTACATAGCTCGATTCTACATGTCTTTCTCAACTCTCTTGGTGGACAGTTGGAGACCACCGGTGTCTGCATGTTATGTTGCGATGCGGTGATAAGTGCGAACCGAGTTACTGCAGAGACCTGTGCTTCCTCTTAGACGATCAGAAAGTTCATGTTTGATATAACCCTTCTACGTCATGCTGTCTAGCATTCAATTCTACTATCAGGCCCAATCGAGAAACAAAACACCCACCGTGCAAACCCAGCACTCATGAAAACACACTACCCCACGCATCCAGCAAGACTCTCACCCTCTCAGACTTTGTACTTACTGCGAGAATGAAACATGTGGTCTTCATACTCTCCGCATCCGTATCATGCAGCGCCAGCTCGAACCGAGCAAAGAGAAACGCAGGTCATCGCCATGTCCATCCGAGCCAACCTTCAAGGGAAGCCGATACCTCATCACTCGCATCCTCACAAAGAGCTTGCAAATGCCTCTCTGTCTCATGGAATCCTTCACCGGCCTCCTCAACGAGTATAGCTACCCTTTGCATGGCGGACTGCAGTCGACGTCACGGTTGAGCATCAACACTGGAATAAGATTCTAAATTTGCTCATCCGTCTGAGCATGATACCTCAGTACAGACAAGAATAGAGATATTGATCAAGCATACAATCTCCTTGGGCCATGAAAACAAATCATTGAACCTACTCCAGCGGTTGGCTTCGTGGTGGAACTTACTGACATGTGAACCAGATGCGATGTATTCTTCCACAACACATGCATTAAGACGCCATCCAACTAATTCAGAGCAATCCCGTGGAATGTGATCAGCAGCTTTGCTCCAGCAGAGCAAGGCATTCTATAGCTGCTCTGTGAAGCATGTCTCTGGGGAGTCCACACCGACGAGAACAGCGCGGAAATACTGAAAGGCTGTTCTCTGTAATCGGGGCCTTCACTCTGTCCTTAGTCAAGGTGTCACAATTGAATACCGCAGATGTTTCGTCAGTCAACAAGCCTTGCGCAATTCTTATTCCTGAGATACTACACATGCAAAGGAAGCGCACCATCCACCAACTAGCCGCGCCCTGGTATGTGACGAAGGAAACCAACCCATGCGAATGCTTCGCACGCAGCACACAAAACCTCAGACGAAGAACTTGCACAGATGATAGCAGCCAAGACTCCAGAGTCCGCCTTTTGAAACTTAGAACTCGTCGCCCGGGTTGGCACCTATCTGTCCTGACGGGAGGTTAGGGATGGTGGCTGACAACAGGACTGGTAACCCGCCGTTCGATCCACGGGTTGAGGACTTCATCCCTGGCTCTCTTATAGTCAGGATTAAATTTCCGTCCTTCACTCGGGGAACAAGGCATAAAAGTCTGGAAACGTTGCTGTTTGCCCACGGATTAACTGCCGGAATGCGGCAAGTCCTTCTTCAGCCGTGGTCACCTTGTCTGGATTTGATCTACTCGCGGTTCGTCATGTTCTCAGCTACAGGATTCGTGTACGATCGTGCAAGAACTTATTATAATCGGTTATATTAAGAGATCCAGTGAGGTTTCTACGAGTAAGTGCATCAGTATGATGGGGTGGCTGGCTTCAATGGGAGTATCCGATCGAATTCGATTGCCTAGGAGTCAGGTCGTATCCATCTTGTTTGGTTTTTTTCTCCACTTCAACTATGCTTATCGTCAATTTGTGACTTAATTTATCGCAAAATGGCTAACGCCCCTTTGAAAAGACGAGCGCGTGAGTTGGTGGCGCAGCTGGCGAGAGACTCCAAGGAGGAATATGGCTTCAGCTCCATGGCGCCTTCGATCTACAATACGGCCTGGTTGGCGATTGTGGAGCGCAAATCGGACGGAGCAAGCGAATGGCTCTTCCCCGAGAGGTTTGACTACCTGCTCAGGACCCAGAATTCAGACGGAGGAAGGGATGCGCTCAAGCAGTCGGACCAAGCTTTCAAGTATCCAAGTTTTTTCTGGCTGACGGACTGCATACTCCACTCGCTGGCAGCCCTACTAGCTCTGTGCCGACATGCTCGAATTCCTGATCCACCAGCCGACATCTCTTCTCGAATCTCCCACGCCAGAAAGTTCCTGAATCATAGGTCCTCCGCTTGGAGTTTGCAAGGGATCACTCACTTCGGATACGAGCTTCTCCTCCCTGTGCTTCTACGCCTCTTGCAAAAGAAAGAAGGCACCGTGTTTGCTTTCCCATGCAAAGCGGAGCTTCTTCAAGATTATGACAAGGCATCAAGCGTGGATCTCGACTGGCTGTACAAGAATGAGCCTTGTCGGGTGCATTTCTTCTCCCTTGAGGCGTTCATCGAGAAGCTGGGCTTCAGTCGACTCGACCATCTGGTCACTCCAGCCGGAGTGACGGCCTCGCCTGCATCCGCCGCGGCATTTCTGGTGTATTCCCCGAAATGGAGTGCCCAGTGCGAGGGTTATTCCGACACGTCGTAGTCCATGGTGCTGGACAGGGTAATGGTGCCGTTGCAGGGGTTTTCCCACTGGAGCATTTCGAGTCATCTTTGGTAGCTCTTCCTCCATTCTTTCAATGACAACCATCGGAACTATATAGCATCTCACTCTTAACGTGACACATGCAGGTCTGATTAACCCTACAGGAGAACGGATTCACAACCGACTCCCTGGGAGCCGAGCAAGTAAGCGCCACCCTCCGATCTCTAAGACGCAACCTAACCACCGGCGTCATCGGCGCAAGTACGCCTATCCCATACACGTATCGCATTACCCACTGACTTAAATATAGCCAAAACCCTCCACCCAGACGCCAACACCACATCCCGGGTCCTAACAACCCTGAGCCTAAACGGCTACCAGCTAGACCCCAAAGACCTAGTACGCCGCTTCGAAGCCGAAACCAGCTTCGCGACCTTCGACAACGCAACACCCAACCACCAGATACCAAGCGCAAGCACCAGCACCAGCGTCAGTGTCAACAGCAACATCCTCCACGCCCTCCTGCACAGCCCAAACCCAAACGCATATACACCTCAAATCGAGAAGCTGCGCGCTTCCTCTGTAACCAGTGGAGAAGGCAAAAGGACCATCCAGACATATGGGTACGTGTCGCCCCAACCGAAAGCCCGAAGTCGCTTTGCTCAACGATGGCTCGTAGAACATCTCGCCATACTACACCCTCCTACATATCGCGCAACCGCTCGCTCTCGCCTACAAACAATATCAAAATCAGAAGCAGAAGCAGCTTCTTTCGGCCCCGACCTAGCTCACGAGCTTATACCCACCGTTCTGAAGGAAATCCGCGCCCATATTCTGGTAAACCAGCACGGCGACGGCTCATGGGGCTGGCTGCATTGCTGCGAGGAGACTGCCTACGCGATCGTGGCGCTGGCGCGTCTGGATTCTGCGGGTCCGGTGGGAGAGGAGGATGGAGGGCATGTTGTGCGGGCGATTTCGAGGGGAAAGCGGTTTCTGTGGAGGTATTCGGTGCCCAGGAGTCCGAAGCCGGATCGGTTGTTGATGGGGAAGGTGCTGCAGGGGATCTCGTATGTAGGTGAGGCGTTTGTGTTGGCGGCGCTGCGGGTGGAGCTTGAGGGGATGAAGGGAAAAGTAACGGTGTTTTAGGTTTTTGGATGGGTGGTGTTTCTGGGGGTGGTGGAGAGATTGTGCTCGTGGTTTGCTTGTTGTTCTGTTTGTTGGATGTCTGATAGACTGTAATTGCCTCGGTAGGATGTAGTTCTGTGGTGAATGGCGCGCTGTGCTGTGTTCTTGTTGCTTGACGTGGGCTCAGGATGGCTGAGCTGGGGCTGGAAGGGAGGAGAAAGGTCCACGATGTTCTTGCTGAAGCGAATAGTACCCTGGGGGAAGAAGCCATTACTACCCACAAGATCAATTTATCAACCTGAACCCGAACCAACTAAGATCTAGACCACATTTCAATTGCGAATCGTTGCTGCTTCAGTCATCTGATAAAGTATTATTGATCAGGCTATCTGCAGTGCATAAACACATACAGTCACGACAAATTGGGATATGCTGTATCCTCTAACCAGAAGTGAAACGCATAGTGAAATCAATGCATGATACTAGGAGAAAGGTCCAAACCACCACCATCTTACGTCATAGAGTAAATATTTCATAAAGTAAATAGCAATTCGAAGCATGCAAGACCAAGAAACGAGCAGAGTATCATGATTGAATCATAAGCGTACATACGTGGCATATGAAGAAGAAAGTCGTCATTATTCAAGAGGGAGGGAAGGACACCTCATCCCACAATCCGGGACACATAGGTAGAAACGGAATGCGTATGCTCATAAATGAGCTGGGCCGACATGGTGATGCTGCTGCTGGTGCTGCTTTTAGACTATTCCTGGACTATGAGTCCAGCAGCTGCAATCGAACGAAGTCTCAGCATGATTGCTCAAAACTCACTGCGCGATATTCGCTCCGGACTCACCGCCAGCTTGCGTTTGTGCTTCATTGTTCTGTTGACTCGAAGATCCTCTCCGGTGAAACGGATGGGGATGAAACCCTGAGAAATGGAAGACCTTGCGGACGGCACTGGCGACACCGCTCCGGCGTTTCGACTCGGGCGACGAAGGCGCGCGGTCCCCGCCTGCTGCCGTCGTCGTGCTGTCTTCCGGTCGACGGGGGATGGTGGCGTCGTCTTGTAAGACAATCGACGTCGGTTTGGGGGGCCATTGGCCATCAGCTTTCCAGCCTTGGACCATAGCTTTGGTGACATCGGCGAGGTTGATGGGGACGGTGGGCGTGAGACCCTGGACAACGACTTTGGAGTAGATAGAGGGGTACATGGCTGGGGTGATGGAGGCGCGGATGGGGTTGGTGCTCGAAATCAGGGAGGGGACGACTGGGATGAACGGCTCTTCAAGTGCTCGAGGCTGTTGTTGTGCAGTGGGATGATCTGATAAGGTCGTCGTGGTTGCGCTCGATGCCTCTTTGTGGGGGCCGGGTTCGATGATGGTGGTCTCCGTGGAAGCAGTCGGTTCTTTCTTGTCGTCTGCGGTTGCTGATTGCTCTGTCTCAACGCCGTCTAGCGGCGCCAGATCTTTCGCCTCTCCGAGATTGAGAGAGGCTTCCGTCCTGGCGACGAGGTTTGCCGCGCTGGGGGAAGAAGACCCTTGCTGGTTCTGCGCCGCGTCCGATGACAGCGACGACGACTCGGCGCCGTGTTCTTGCTGGTGTTCTTTCAAGTGTTTGGTGCGGATTTCGTCCTTGGTCTGGGCTCCCGACCACGCATCTCGTCGCTCAACCCACACTCTTAACCCTTCGTTCCAGCGCATCTCCTCCTCCATCTGGCGGCGACGTTTGCGCCGGCGCTCCGAATCATCTCCCAGAGGTGTCGCGATGGGGCTGAAGAGTTCGGAAGGGCTGAAGCCAGGCAGCTGCTGAATGTCGGCCGGACTGATCGTTGGGGAAGACTGGGGTTCAAGTTCGGAGCCGGAGCTGTCGTATTCGCGCAGGCGCCATTCGAGCACGTCCTGCTCCGGGATTGGGGGTGACGAGAACGATGGGACACCGTATTCTGGGGATAATTCGAAGGCCCAATCATTTCGCACAATGTCGCGAACATATTGCTTCGCCTCTCGGATGGCCGCATCGCGGGCCTCGGTGGTTGACATGGTGGCAATGCGATGTGACGGATCAGACACAGAGGGGTAAAAATAGTAGCTGCGGGGAAGAAGGAAAAAATTCAAGGATGAGGACGCCGATCTGTAAGGGAAATTAAATTCAGGCCGGAGAATCTGAAACCAAGCAGGAGAGATGAAATAGAACAGCAATCGGGTGGGAGAGAGAAAAAGGTACGCTCAGGCGAGAGAGGGAGAAGCAAGCGTGCTGGGGTAGTGAATTCGAGTTGCAACTAAAGAGGAGCCGAAAAGGTTGGCTGATCCAAGGGGCGGCAGCCGTTCGTCGATGTCATTCTCGCCGGCTTACTTCTTCCGGAAAAATACCTACAGTATGGGCCTGCTGACTTGGTTTCACTTATGTTCATTCATTGCAAAAGTACCGGTTCCATTTCTATGTACCAAGCAAATTCTATTCCAAAAGATATCGGGTGTAATGATACAGATTCATGTCGCTAAAGTAGTGTACAACCGATCGTCATTGCCTGCCTTCCTTTCCCATCCCAGTCCAATGCTATACCTATAAAGCCAAGTAGTAGAAGAATAACAGACGATCTATATAAGAACATCCACCCAAAGACTTACTCAACGGGGTGGCCCCATAAGTTACGTCCGTACGCGCGCAGCGTCCTCTGCTGCCGCCGATGCGTCCATGCCGGCCGGCACAAATCCCCAGCCGGGACTCTTCTTCCGTCGTCCTTTGCGGTCGCCGTATTGCTCGTCGAACTTCCGGATCGCGGACAGGGACGCCATGTCCTCGCTGATCGAGGCACTGATCTCCTCCATACCACGCTCGAAATGCTTCCAGGTCAGGGTGCGTCGGGCTGGATACTGGTAGGGTTCTTCGCCTTTGTGCTGCGTCGCCAGTTCGTTTTCCTCCCGCACGCAGGCCAACGCGGCAGCCACCGAGAGATTTTTCAAGTCAGAACCCGAGTACAGCGGAGTCCGACGCGCCAACTCTGCGAGGTCGATTGAGCTGTCGAGATGTTCATCTTTCAAATGGATCTTCAAGATAGCAAGACGATCCTGTTCAGTGGGGAGATCGACGAGAAGGCGTCGAGGAAGACGTCGGAGAACAGCATCATCCAGGTCAAAGGGTCGATTCGTGGCAACCATGATGAAGGCGGAGAGGTCATTCATCCCGTCCCATTCGCGCAGGAACTGATTGATGAGCTCCCGATGCGACGTGCGGCTGCTGGCGCCGGTCCGGGAGCAGAAAATAGCATCAGCTTCGTCGATGAACACAACACATGGGCTGAGCTTCTTCGCTAGCGTGAAGATGGCCTTGACATTCTTCTCGCCTTCTCCCACGTACATATCATAAACTTCCGAGCCGCTGACTTCCAGGACAGTGGCACCGCTCTCGCGAGCTACAGCCTTGGCCAGGAGGGTCTTACCCGTTCCAGGCGGGCCATAAAGCAGCAAACCGGGGATCTTGTCTGTAGCCAGAACACCGTAGGTGAAAGCTTCAGGGCGAATGAGAGACAGCGATGTCAGCGTTTTGAGAGCATCAATAGTCTCTGTAGGAACATGGACGTCCGCAAATGTCGTCCGAATGCTTTGGGCATCAACAACTCCGTTCAGCAATTTCTTCTCATGCGAGTTGCACGTTTTGCGTAAAGAGCTTAGCAAGCGCTCCCGATCATTCGCTGCATCTCCAGTCTTGGCTTTAGGCGCTTTTTCTTGCAGCCAATCATTTTTGGCGCGCTCGCTCTGCTGCGTCATCTCAATCCCTCGACAGATGTGCTCGAAACCGAATTGTTCACCGGGCTTGAGAGAACCAAGTGCGAGAGTACAGGCCCAGTGAACTTGAGTATAGGCCCAATACCGCTCCTCCAAACCACTCTTCTCCATAAGGGATGACTCCAGTGGCCAGGAACGATCACGGAAGATATCGTCTTTAAGTGCGGAGGCTTGTTCACTGAGTCGGGTGCGAAGCATATCCTGGAGGTGGCGGATGTTGATATCTGTCGTCCGCTTCCGGCGGTCCTCAGCGAATGTACGCGCTGCCGCCTCTGATCCCATGGCGGGCGTCACAAGCACCATTTGAGAAAATTGATCATCGAAAGCGTTCTGCATCAACCGAGAGGCATCGGAGTCAGGTGCAGCTTCTTGTGCGACCGTCCCGACGAACAAGACCCGAGACCCGGCCTTGCGCTTCTCTTCGATCGCTTTCTGCAAGAGGGCGATAAACTTAGAGCCCTCACGAGTGTTTTGGATTTCACCATAGTCTTGAACCTGGATGATAACGTCGCGGGCAGTGTTGGTCTCGCCAGGCTCGGGATCTTGCGATTTAGTAGACGTGTCGTCCTTCGCTTTTTTCGGAGTTGACGGGGCAGGCTTCTTGCTAGCAGGGGAAATGAGCTCATGGGCAAGTCGAAGTCGCCTCGCCTCTGTTTTCGATGCGGCATTTTGTCCCCAATTCGTCGCGTTATCTGATGGGACGTTGAACGAGGCCACCAACGATTTTAATCCCACGAGACTAGGCAGAGGTACGTCAACACCTTCTCGTGAACTTCCTATGATGAACCTTGGGCGTGCGCCCCGAACACCAGGTGATAGGTCCGAGGTTTCGTCTTCCATGTCGGCCTCGCTCAGATCGGCCATGTCCAGTGAAGCATCTGGCGAGGTAGGTCGATATACATCGTATCCGAGCGATCTGATCGGGTTAGTGAGACCGGTGTCTGCCAGGTCCTGCTCACTGCATAACTCAGCGATGTCCTGCGCGTTCAGCGTCACCAGGTCCGCACTGAGCTCATGCGCCAACCTACTCACTATCGCATCCAGAAACAATATCCCATCCGCGCCCGGATAGTGCAGCACCAGATGTGATTTGCGGGCTGAGGGTTCCTGGGCGTATCTCGCCGGCGGCAGACGCATACCAGCGCGTGCGGACGCGCAAAGTTCCTCCCACATCGCATCTGTCAAGGCATAGCGTGTTTCTTGTGGCGCAGGTTCGCCAGATGATGGCGGGGTTACTCCCTCTCCACCTTGACCGAGTTGTTCCACGGGTAACTCTTTCTCCGCATTGATTTCCGATGACGACCGAATCTGCACTTGCTGTACGGAGACCCCAGCGCTGTCGCCCTTCCTTTCATGGACCACGATGTTGCGCTCACGAAACCAGTCGGGTACCGTGGGAGCAGGATCAGCCAATTCTGCTGAAGGTTTCCGGTTCCTCATTGCTCTTCGGATCGCCGAGCCGTAGGGTTTCGCGTCCTTCTGCTCATTTTTGTCTGACGCCGGTTTGGTCTCGGTGGTATTGCGCTGGGAAAGGTCTGGCTCAGCATTGTGGGTTGGAATTCCACCAGTGATAGTGTCTTTCGCCGAATCATGGGGGTGGTGCGGATCAGAAGGGGTGGATGAGAGCCATGCTGGCGAGGGGTGGAATCGTCGTGAATGGGTGAGGACCGCGGCGGGATAGCGGCGATGGGCGATGAACCGACAGGGTCGGGCCAGGGTCCGAAGGAACCTGCCTGACGGCATTGACTGATACATCCACGGCAAGCTAGGCCGCCAGATTACCAGGTACTGAGTAGACTGCTAATGCCGCAGGAAGGCGTCGTCTGCATTAGCGGAAGAGACGCAACTAGAAGCTCGGACAAGGACTTCTTCACCTCGTCGGGTTCCTGCTGGGCGGAGAGAAGAAGATTGTCACGTGATAGTACCGTGATCTGCAATGAAAGCCGGCCAGCGCAAAGTCTAGAACCGCGCCATCAGAGATGATGCCGCAGCAGATCTATGATGGGGCAGCACGATCTTGCGCAGTACGGGTCAAGTATTAGAAGCTATAGGCGCGGAATTGTGAAGACACTACTGGAGAAGAGCCGATGTATCTTAATAACGCGCTGCATTTGTGCTACGAGACACACTGATAGTAGAATCAGCACATGCAACAGAAGTAGCTCAGATACAACTACAACAGAGCAGGAAACTACGGCCAGTATGCTGGCAAGCAGTAAAGGATCTGCCACGAAGTCTCACAGTGGAGTGTTCCCAGACGTGATGCTGGGCAGCCCTAAACAAGCAAAGATTTCGCTGGACATCAATGACTACGATACGTATGATGTGAGAGAACAGGTATGATCAAGAATCTTCTAGCATTTCAAAGTAGCTAAAACTATACTTTCGGAGACCGCCACGAGAAAGACCATGATCAACGGCTAGCCGACAGCCTGATGTCACCCGGATTTTTGTAGCGCACGATCCGGTCCTTCGTGCGCTCGACGTCACTTAATTGTCGTGATACTCGAAGAGGCAAAACTGCTTTAGTATTCATTAGCCAAGGTTCAACGAACTTCAATGTTTGAGGAAACAAGTAGTGTTGATCACAGGGAATGATGCGAGTTGTTTCTCAGACTAAATATACTGGCAAGTAGCAGACCAACCGGGAAAGGGAGGTCCGAACTATCTCCTCATGGACGATTCAGAGGATAAAGAAGTAAAAAAGGTTTTATCATCTTCGAAACAACTTGCACGGTGATGAATGAGTGAAAATAGGGGATAGGACTAACCCTGCAACGAAGAACAGATCTGCTGATGTGACCTGATCAGTTAGCGAAGTTGATGGTCTGATTGCCAGAACCAACACGGTAGCGGAGATGAGATGAAGCCTGTTCCCCGACCTGCAAGGAACCGATTTCAAAATCATGCGCCAGACAACATTTTGCCTTTTCGGCTTGCCAGCTTCGTGGCTTCTCGCTTCCCACGGATTTTGCAGCCGGGACAATACTGTGTTGAAGGAAGAGAAGAAGAGAAAAGCAAAAACAAAAAGCGGTTATAAGAAGAAAAAAAAGTGAAGCCCACCACGGAGCGATAATGATCCGTCTATCACGTGGTAGCAAGCCTTACCCGACTGGGATGTAGCGTGACTCTGAACAAGGAACGGGCGGCGATTCGCCGATCGGAGGAAAAGGCAGAAAAAGGCCTCATCAGAATGGAGAACGGGAGGCAGGAAAAGATACCTACCTACCCGACTACTACCTAGTACCTACTATTATTGATTGTACTGTACTGTCGGTCGGTCAAGTAGAGCTGCAAAGAATCATCTCTCATTATGAGTGTCATTCTCTGACTGAATTCAACTTATCAATTCTCTCTTTTCCACCACGGGTCGTTAAGACATCTACAAGTATTTGCAATTTCGTTAATTCCGAGCGAGTAACTCTGGTCGACTGACTGCCAACACGTCTCCGTCCCCGTCCATCTCTCTGCGATCGCGCGACTTGAGGAACAGTGCCTGCCGGTCCGTCTCTCTTCCCTCTCTCTCTGTCTGTCTGTCTCGACTCTCTCGACTCTCCCTCCCTCCCTCCTCCCTCCCCTTCGGTTCATCATTCTTGTCTCCCCATCTGATTCTCTCTCTCTTTCCTCTCTCTTCTCTTCCCTCTTTCTCCCCTTCTCTCCCGCTCTTTCTCCCTCTCTTCGTCTTCCCGTCGGCCCCTAAAGCGGTGGTGGTGGCAGCCCCTCCACACTTGTTCTTCCTTCTCCCGCCTCCCCCTAACTAACCATTAAGTCTAATTCCCGTGTATGCATTATTGTATTCTCCATCCCATTCCTTTCCTTTTCGCGTTTCCCATTCTCTACCAAAAACTGCTACCCCAAATCTTCCCTACGAACCGCGCCCTCACCCTCTGTCTCTCCCGCCTATATCCTCTCTCCTTCTCTCTCCCCCCCCCCCTCTCCCAACCTCCCGCCTCTTCCTCGCCCACTTCTCTCCTCCTTCTCTCTTGCTTTCTTCCCCTTCATTTCCTTCCACACACCCTTCTGACTAATCTGTACTGACGCTACAGACATTGTACAGAACAAGGAATTTGTCCACCCCATTCCCCACCGATCTGGCGGGCAACAGGTGATTAGGCCGGTCCGATCCATGCTGCAGATCTTGGGTGGTCCTGGACGATACCGACGCAGGCTCAATCGCCTGTCAGCTGCGTCTTGGCCTCCGCTCCGGCACTAAAAACGGTCCTGTTGTGCCCTCCACGTCAAGCGCGCTCGTCGTTCAGTCCGACGTCCGCTTCGACCGGTCCCCTCCCCCCAAAACCTCTCTCACCTCATCTCCCTCTCTCTCTTATTCTCTCTTTACCTCCGGCTCCTGTCCTTCTGCTGTCGGTCGCTTTATCGCTCAGCCTCTCCTCTCTGGCTGACTTCTTTCTAAACTTTTCGCCTCCCTCACCGATTCCGAGGAGTCCCGTCATCGGCGGCTTCGTAGCACAGCGATGATGATGGCGCAACCGTTTCCCGCCCATCAAGGCATCCCACAGCATCCCAGTATGCCGCCAGGTCATCCAATGGCGCCTGGTCAACATCCCAATGCTCATCCTGGGGCCGGGATGGTGCAGGCGGTGCACCCCGGTGTGTCGGCTCCCGGAGGACCTCAGGTCAGTCAAGGTGGACCCATGATGGCAGGCATGCCCCCAGGTGCTGGAACAACGGGGCCTGGAGGACCAGTACAGGCTCATGCTCTCTCTCACTTGGGCCCGGCTCAGGCACATATGTTTCAGCAGCCTCACTTTGCTCAACAATGTAGGTTCTCTTTCCCCAATCGCGCCGCGAGTCCGTAAACCGTCCTCGGGCTGGCGTGTACTGCTTCTCAGTGGTCGATCAGCGTGATCTCTTGCTAATGTGCTGTACTCTGCTCTAGTCGCCAACAATCCACAACTGATGCACCAGCAGCAGCAACAGATGATGAGACAGCGCCTTATGCTCCAGCAGCAGCAACAGCAACATCAGCAGCAGCATGGGGGACTTCCAGTGTCGTTACCCAATGGTAATCCCGCCGGCTTGACTGCCGCTCATGTCGCCGCCATGCAAGCGAACCAAGGAATGCGACCCGTCAATATGCAGATGCAACTTCAGCAAATGCCCCATGGACAAGCGCAGAATATTCAACAACAACAGCAGCAGCATTTGTTTGCTATTCAGCAGGCCCAACAAGCGCAACAAGCGCAGCAGGCTCAGCAAGCTCAACAGGCCCAGCAGGCTCAGCAGGCGCATCAAGCTCAGCAAGTCCAGCAAGTCCAGCAGGCGGGCCCCGCCGTTCAACCAGGACAGCAGACTCCCCAGCAAAGAGCGGCACCGCAACCGCAGAGCGTGCACGACGCACAAAGCGCAACGCCCCAGCCCCAGCCCGGCCCTCCACCGCATCAGGGGAGCGCGACTCCGCAACCGAATCCGTCGCAGATCCCTACCACCCAGCCCCCGCAGCCTCCGCAGCAGCCCCCTGCTCCGCAGGCGCAGCCTACCCCAAATCCGCCTCCGCAGCAACTGCCGCAGTCGCAGCAGCCCGGGCCGCAACAGCAGCCTCCGCAACCCCCGCAACCGCAACCGCAGCCACCACAAAACCAGCAGGGCCCTGCTCAAGGCCAACCGCAGCCTCCCATGATGCCTCAGGAGGCTCAGCTGAAGGCAGCGCAGCAGCAACAGCAGCAGAACTCAGCGGCGATGATAATGCAACAGCGAATGGCAATGAAAGGGGCGGCAATTCTTCACCTGAACAGCTTCGCAGAACACCTTAGCGGCTTCCAAGTATGTCGATCGAAGTATACGCACGTCTAAAGGATAGACATGCTAACGTTTCACAGAGCCGTGGTGAGGCACATGATCTTCTCTATTGGCACAATTTCGTGGGTCGGTTTTATGCTCCTGGGGGTGTCTTGCGTCAAGGCGTCTACAACCACCAGACTGGTTCAAAACAGTTTGAGATCGGGACTGTTGCATTGCCTCGCTATTACTACACTCAGTTCACGAGTGGTATCCGCCAGATTCAGATGGTTGTGGATGGTGCTCGGGAGCGGGACTCGCCAAATGGAGGTCACATTGTGGAGAGCCCCAAAACTTCCTTCATTTACTGGTTCACCAACGATACTCAGGTAGGAATTTCAACCGGTGAAATTTGATCAACACAGAGATCACTGACAGCGCGGACAGCTCTTTGCGAACGGAACGATGACGGCACATTTTGACATCAACAACAAAATCGAGATGTTGGACATTGTTATGTTGAACCATACGGAATATCTGCCTCGCAGCCAACTACATGCCTTGGAGCAAGCAGCAGACCAGCAAAAGCAAAGCCCCAAGGTTACCAAGAACGCAGGCAAGCGTGCCCAGCAGAAGCAGCCGCCACCGCCCGCGGTCACGTTACCTGAGTCTATGGTGACTTTGAATGGTGTTCCAGGCGCCGTGATGCAGTTCTTGGAGGTGAGCGGTCACTTCTCGACAATTCCTGGGCTATACTGATACATATGGCAATGCAGGTCTCGGAGACGATTGCTTCTATGCAATTTTTGATGCAATTCTCCCAACAAAACCCCCAAATGACACCGTGGGACTCGCTGCGCAACTTGGTGAATAATATGCAGAACCAAGTTCCTAATACTGGCTTTATGCCCGTTCAGATGAACCCGGCCATGCAACAAGGCCAGCCTCGCGCTCCCAGCATAAACGGCCCCAACCAATTCGCTTCCCCCGCCATGGCTCATCTAGGCTTACCCCCTGCTCAAGGGTCACCCCATCTAAGTGTTTCCGGACATCCCAGTCCTGCACCAACCCACCTGGCGGGTCCTACTATGCCGCAAGGTCAAGTTCAGAGCAATGTTCAGCAAGGGACCAGTGCAAGTGCCAGTCCCAATGTGGGAAGCAAGCGGCGCCGGGCTAGCACGGTGAAGATGGAGAACGATGATACTGGTCCGGATTTGAACGGGGCGCCCGGCCCCGTGCCGGCCAAGGTCAAGGCTAGTCCACGCGTGGGAGCGAAGAAGCAAAAAGGAGGCGCTTAATTCTAGAATAATAGTGGTTTGGATTGCTTTTTGTTGCCTGTCATCTCATATTATTGCAGTCTCATCAGGCGGGGAAACGGCGTACCTTGAGGATACCTGTGCGAGGCCTCTCTTTTATGATGCTTTCCTTCTCATCTGCGGGTTTCATTTTTGTCTCCTTGGCCATTGAACATACTTGTTGGGTTTGGTTGCTACTTGCTGTTCTTTTTGCGGAGGTTGGGTCGATATGGACTGGTTCAATTGCAAATAGAAGAGCGACGGGCTCGATTGGCGACGCGCTATCTGAGTCGGTTGTACTTGTGATTGAACCTGATGACATTGCATCTAGACCCGATCATTGTCCGGACAGTCATTTTGTGTTTTCCTTTGATCTCCTTCCATCTCCTCAAGCGTCGTCTTGTCGGAGTTGACGTGTGTATGAACGTCGTTGCAGTGAATGTTGTGCTTGTGGAGCTGCTTTATTTGATATCCACTTTTACCTTGGCGATTGACGTGATCTTTCTTCCTCTTATCTCTGTGTCCCCTTGCTCTGGCGTCAGGCTTGTTTTTGGAACATAATGTTTTGATAGCTGCGTTGCTGCATTGTTGTGTAAGAGAGCATTTCAGTTCATTTCAATTTTCTGATGCAGTGTGTTGCTACCGTAACTTACATGAGTAGTTCTCTGGTGCATTTACTACTTAGGTTGCAACCGCCCGCTTTAGCCGTCGGATCTGGGCGCCAATCGCGGGGGGCCATCGGCAGTGGTCGTCTAGTAGTATGGATGCTATGCCCCTCCACCGCCCCGCCATACTTATCTTTTATCTCTCTTTCTTTCTCTCTTCCATTCCCCGCCACTTTCCGCTGGAATCATTCAAACCACTCGTCGCCATCATGTCTCACTCTCACTCTCACGATATCGGCGTCAGCCACTCCCACGACGATGCCACCGGCGGCCATGGCCACTCGCACGAGATCCTTGATGGACCGGGCTCTTATATCCACCGAGAGATGCCATTGTCGGAATCCCGGGACTGGAAAGACCGTGCCTTCACCATTGGAATCGGAGGGTGAGTGTTTCGTGTCGGTCTATGAAGCCGGAACCGTCAAGCTTATTAACATTATTTAAAACCTCAGACCCGTTGGATCCGGCAAGACCGCCCTGATGCTGGCGCTCTGTCATGCCCTAAGAGACGAATATAACATCGCAGCCGTGACCAACGACATCTTCACGAGGTAAGCGAGCAGCACCACTCCTAGACGTACAAACCCACCATACCTAAACATAAAAAATACTCCCCTCCTCCTCCTCCTCCTCCTCCTCCTCCTCCTCTCCCTCTCAACTTCCACTAAACTAATCACCCCTCCCAAAAAAAAAAAAACAGGGAAGACGCCGAATTCCTCACCCGCCACAAAGCCCTGGCGCCGAACCGCATCCGCGCCATCGAGACAGGCGGCTGCCCGCACGCCGCCGTCCGCGAGGACATCAGCGCCAACCTGCTCGCGCTGCAGTCGCTGCACAAGCAGTTCCAGACCGACCTGCTGCTGATCGAGTCCGGCGGCGACAACCTGGCGGCCAACTACTCGCGCGAGCTGGCCGACTTCATCGTCTACGTGATCGACGTGGCCGGCGGCGACAAGGTGCCTCGGAAGGGTGGGCCGGGGATCACGGGCTCGGACCTGCTGATCGTCAATAAGATTGATTTGGCGGAGATCGTCGGCGCAGATTTGGGGGTGATGGAGCGCGATGCGGCGAGGATGCGGGAGGGTGGGCCCACCGTCTTCGCGGAGGTGAAGAATGGGAAGGGCATGGAGCATATTGTTGGGTTGATTTTGAGTGCGTGGAAGAGCAGTGGTGCTTATGAGGAGTGTTTGGGGCGGTGGAAGGCGGGCGGGCCGCGCGGTTCGGGGAGTGTTGATGCTTAATTTTGGGGTTAATGTTCATTGGTGTTAGGAGGTCGGTGAGGTCTGTCGTTGGGGATGGGGCTGGTTTAAGATTGTGCCTGAGATCCAGGGAAGTGTTGTGGCGGCTGTTTACACGAAAATTACCTAGGTAGGTAGCTGGGATTGTTGACCCTGTTGACCCTGTTGATGTATGTATATCATGACATTTCTATAAGGTACAGTACAACGTAGTTATAACTTTTGTTGATCCTCATCCGCTAAAACCTCAACGCCATGGGGGAAATATGCAACCCAAAAACGACAGCGATGGAAGCCAGCAACGCTCCAACCACCAGGGTATCTGAGAGCTCAAGTCGCAGGATGAACACCCCACAACCCCAAGCAGAAACAAACAAAACGGCACACGAACACCTTGAAGCTCGCTCTTTTCACATGTCCTTCTTCGCAAAGCGCGCCAGAGCAGGGCCCAGCTCCTGCCGCTCGGCACGCAACTTGTCCTTGGCCCGCGCCGTGCGCTCCTTGTGCAGCAACTCCGCCTTGACGCGCTTCTCGTCGATGACGTTGCGGCGGCCCTTCTTGCGCAGATACTTGCGCAACGCACTGTTGCGGCCGCGGCCGCGGTTCTTGAGCTTCTCGATCGGGTCCTCGGGCTTGCGGTCGAGGTCGCGCTCCTCGCGGTTCTTCTGGTCGCGGATCGTGTCCAGCTTGCCGATGAAGCTGGGGTCCAGTGAGATCATGTCCGGCTGCAGCTTGTTGAGCAGGCCGCGCACCTCCGCCTCCTGCCGCTGCTTGGTGTTCTCGTACGGGTTCGCCTCCAGGGCGTCGAAGTTGGGCTCGCCCGCGCCGGGGACAATGATGCTGGCGAAGCCCTGGTCGTGGCTGACGCCCAGCACATCCTCGAAAGGGCACCAGCGCAGGTTCTCGATGCGCTGCCCGTCGCCACCCCACGCCATGTAGGGGCTCTGCACCTTGCCTTGGTCGGCCTGCGCCGCGTCGAACAGACCGCGCCACACGCTGACCTGCGTGCCCCAGCCAACGGCCGTCAGGTTCCGGTCACTGATCGACACCGACGCCCCCGGCTGGTAGCACGAGTACGAGTGCACTTCCCGGAACATTCGGATATCCCATACGTTCATCTTCTGGTCTTGACCCGTCGACACCATGTACCGGCCCTGTCGGTCGATGGCCATCGAGCGCACCGGTCCGCGGTGGACGAGTGCCTTCACTAGGGCCGTCTGCGAGTTCGGCGACCACAGTGTCACGCTTCCGTTCTGGTGGCCGACGTGCAGAATGGCGTTCCAGGGGTTCTGGGCGAGGGAGGTCGGCGCACCCATGCGGGTGGGCAGCTCGGCCACCATTTGACCGGTCGAAGTGTCCGTGTACTTGAGGTAACCGCTCATTTGCTACAGACCGCGAAATTAGTGAGAAGACATGCTGCAATGGGCTTTGAAGTACTTACCGCGCTAGCGAGAAGGAAATGGTAGGGCAGGAATTCGAGGAAGAGCGGTTCGAGATGCTTGCTGAGACAATGCAGCTCCACACCGGCGTGATCGTAGATATAGACGGATCGCTTCTGCGCAACGGCAAAGTATTGATTGTTGTGCAGCCATCGGGCGTCCCGCACCGTCTCGTTCAACTGCAACTCGCAGCCCAGCTTGCCATTCCGCCAGTCCATTGTCGCAACATGACCCTTGCGGCCCGCCAGCAGCAGCTCCCGGCCGTTTCTCGTGTAGTCGCACCGGTAAGGGCCCAGGTCGGTCAACTTCAATTCGAATCCCTTCTTGGCCGTCTCGATTCCCACATTGTCCCGGACGTCGCCCTGGCGAACCTTGTACGTCCGTTCCAACTCGCCCTCCGTCTCGATGAATCCGGCTTCGTGCTCTAGCAGGATCTCCGCATCCTTGGCCCTAAGGGCGGCCTCCTTGAACTTGGCTTCCACGGCCTTCAGGTTACTGCGTAGTTTCTTGTCCCGCACGCTGTGGGTGTGAATGGCCTTGCCACGGCCGTAGGTCTTTTGCGCCTCCATCACTCTTTTGCTTTCCTTGCGCTTATTGTTGTTGGCCGTCGGCGCAACGGCTTTTGTCGGCGTGGCTTCCGACATTGCGAGCGTGGGTGATCGCGAGGAAGCGTGCAGATATGGCGTGAGATAGGAACCTCCTGGATTATCGAAACTTGGAACTAACGCCAAAAATCACAGCTGTATGGCAGGCAAAGGATTCTTCTTGGGTTCGAAGAGGGAAAATCCGAGCCGAACTTTTCTTTTTCTGCCGGTCGGTCCCTCGCTTGTGTCTCCACCGCCTTATTTTTTTCTTCCCTCTTCCCCAGACAAGTCAACAACTGCCCCAATTGGATTGAGTGCCAACCTCAGGCTCTTTTGGTTGTTGCTTCGGTGATCGGATTCTGCAGGATCGTATCGCTCTGTAAATCTCCACGCTGGCCTCTCTTCCCTTCCGGTTCAAAGCGCCCAGCGGTGCCAACATGGCGCCCTCCCAGACGGTGCAACACCACCACCGCTCCACCACGAAATCCTCCAACAAGGCATACAAGACTCGCCATGCCTCTAAGAGTGCCCTGAAAGATAAGGAGAAGGGTGCGTCTATCTCTATTCGCATACATTTTTTCCCGTGGTCCAGAATCAGGTCACTAATTATACTCTTCAGGCAAGGTCGAAAGGACCGAGCGGGGCACCCGCAAGACCCCTCACCAACAGCTCATGTCGAAACTCGACCGGAGAAACCAGGCTCGCCAGAAACAGCAGCTGAAGCAGCAAGAGAAGGCTCAGTCGACCAGCATCTTCTCCGGTCAGAACGGTGCCCCCCGTCATGTCGCCATCGTTCCCCTCTCCGTCGACATCGATGTCGCGGCCATTATCCGGTCCCTCAACGAAAGCGTCGACGTTACCGCCGATGTCTTTGCCGATCAGATCTCGCGTGTGCGCATCGAGCGATTCCGCCAGAGCCTGCAATACATCCCGGCCAAGTACGATCTCATGAGCGCGCTGGATGCGTGTCGCATGGCCGATTTCGTGGTGCTGGCGCTGTCGGCCGAGGTCGAGGTGGAGGAAGAGGGCGAGTTGCTTCTGAGATCCATCGAGGGTCAGGGTATCTCCAACGTTGTTGCTGTCGTCCAGGTGTGTTTTGTTGGTTCCAGATGATGGTGGTTGACGGTCTTACTAACTATGTTTTCCGCAGGGCCTCGACAAGATCAACCCACCCAAGAAGCGCCCCCAGGTTGCTGCATCCCTCAAGTCTTTCGCCAGCCATTTCTTCCCCGCCATCGAGAAGGTGCTATCTGTCGACTCCCGCCAAGAATGCTCCAACACCGTCCGCTCCCTTTGCACAGCCGCTCCCAAGGGTATCCGCTGGCGCGATGAGCGCAGCTGGATGCTTATCGAGAATGTGCAATGGCCTGAGAACAACGCCGAGGTTGTGGACGATGTGGTCGTGACCGGTGTTGTGCGCGGAAAGGGCTTGAAGGCCGATCGTCTGGTGCACATTCCCGGCTGGGGTGACTTCCAGGTCGATTCGATCACAGCAGCTCCCCTTCCCACCACGCGAAACAAGCGGGACGATGCGATGAATGTCGATGATAGCGAAGCGCCCCAGCTCTTGGACACGCCCACCGCCGATCACGACGACTTGGCTCTAGTTGCGCCTGAAGAGATTGAGATGGAGGACGACGACTACTCCTTCGCAGGGGAGGAACGCAAGGGTGTTCTTCTGGATGATCACCACTACTTCTCGGAAGACGAGGAAGATAGCCTGCCCAAGCCCAAGAGGTTGCCTAAGGGTACCTCCAAGTATCAGTCTGCATGGTTCTTGGACAACATCTCCGACTCTGGATCCGACTGGGAGGATGAAGAGGATGTTGCAATGGGTGATGATGCGATGGACACTGCCGGAGCCCCCGAGGACGGTGTGTTCCCAGACCACGGGGATGCCATGACGGAGGCTGGCCCCTCGGAATATCCCCAGTCCGAGATGTTCGTTGATCAGTCGCCCGAAGACGATGCCCAACAGCTGGAGGAATACCGTGCCAGCCGCCGCAACGAGGCCGAGGAGGACCTGGAGTTCCCCGACGAGATCGAGTTGCACCCCAACGTTCTCGCCCGCGAGCGCTTGGCCCGCTTCCGAGGTCTGAAGAACTTCAAGACCAGTCCCTGGGAGACTTCTGAGGACCGTGCGCACGAGCCCGAAGACTGGCGCCGACTCCTCCAGTTCGCCGACTACAAGGGCGCCAGAAACAAGTTCCTCCGCGAAGCTCTCGTCGGCGGCGTCAACCCCGGCGTGCGGGTGGATGTGCATCTGCGCGCCGTGCCCGCCACCCTCCGCAGCCGCCCTCAACCCATCTCCCTTTTCTCCCTGCTGCGTCACGAACACAAGCACACGGTGGTCAACATCAACATGCACCTCAACTCGAGCGTCGAGGAGCCCCTCAAGTCCAAGGAGGAGCTGATTATCCAATACGGCCCGCGCCGCCTGGTCGTCAACCCCATCTTCTCCGCGGGCGACAACACCCCCAACAACGTCCACAAGTTCGACCGCTTCCTGCACCCCGGTCGCAGCGCCGTCGCCACCTGGATCGGCCCCTTGACCTGGGGTGCCGTGCCCGTCCTCGTCTTCAAGAACAAGAAGCCTGCCGAGGACCCGGAGGAGATGGCCGATGCCGAAGAGTCACAGCCCGAGGCCCCCAGCCTGGACCGCCTCGAGCTCATCGGCAACGGCACCGTCATCGCCCCCGACCAGAACCGCGTCGTCGCCAAGCGCGCCATCCTCACGGGCCACCCGTACAAGATCCACAAGCGGGTCGTCACGGTGCGGTACATGTTCTTCAACGCCGAGGACATCCAGTGGTTCAAGGCCCTGCAGCTGTGGACCCGTCGCGGCCGCAGCGGTTTCATCAAGGAGTCCCTCGGTACGCACGGTTACTTCAAGGCCACCTTCGATGCCAAGATCAACCCCCAGGATTCCATCGGCATCAGTCTGTACAAGCGGGTGTTCCCGCGCAAGGCCAGGACTCTGGAGGAGGTGGTTCACTGAACCTGCTTGCCAGGTTCTATGGGGAAGTCATGGCTTCCTTGGCTAAGACAGTAGCCATAGGAATGCGTAAGGGGAAGGGAGAGAGAGAGAGTGCGTGTGTGTGTGTGTGTGTGTGTGTGTGTGTGTGTGAAGAACCACGATATAGAATATCTATGATACCACCGAACCTTGTTGCTTATCGATTTTGGGCCTATGAAATTCTCACCGATGATGAAGTCGTCATGTTTGTGGATGTCATCTCGTGAACATATTTTCGTTATAAAAGTACTTCATGTTGTTGCTTTTTTTCTCCTAGGCAGGATACTTAGATAGCAGGTCAGATTTTAATGATGAGTTACGAGATTTGCGTTCCTACTTATGCTTCTTTCATCGTCTCTGACTATTACTACAACCCTCTCAGTCAACCCAGTATCTATACCTCCTCACGTGACCATCCTCAAACCCATATCTATCTCAAGAATTCTGCCCCCCCTCCCCGCCCGATAAGCATCTCGATTCTCCAGCGCAAAGTGACCCCAAATCTACCTTAACCTGTATTTCTAGACAAGTGAATTTCACACGCAGTCCAATCCAGCTCCAGCTCCAGCTCCAGCTCCAGTCATACCTCAAGACCCAGATCCCCCAAGAGACCAGCATCAAATAAAATGTCCCGCAACTTCATCCCCGTCGCCCTAGCCATCGGCGCCGGCGTCTGCACCGGTACGTTCGCCGCTCGTTAACCACCAACACAAACCCGGTTTCCCGCCTACATAACCATCCGAAAACGAAGCTAATGGATTTGTGTGTGAAACAGGATACTATGCGTTCCAGCCTGCGCTGCAGGAACTACAGGCTGAGCGGGAGGGGAAGGTGAATGCGTATGTTTCTCTCTCTTTCCATTTCTTGCTTTCTTTCTATACTTGGTTTGACTTTTTGGTGGGCCGGTGGGGTTGGGATCTGGGGGTGTGGAGTTGGATGGGGGCGTTGGATTATATGTCTTGGGAAGAAAGGAGATTCTATTTTTAAAGGAAGGGGACGAGGTATGCTGGGGTGAATATATGCTTTGGTACTAACTGCTGTTCGGTGGGTGTAGGGTTCCTTCGGTTTCGGGCTCATCGCAACAACAACAGCAACAACAACTTCCTACGCCTCAGAGTGCGGGGGGAGCTTCGGAGGTGGGGAAGTCGGCGGGTCAGTGAGAGGGTTTTGGTTGATTGGGGAATGATTTACGATATGAGGTTATTATGTCGACGGGCTCTGTTCGATGGTGCTTGTCGCATGCTGCTGGGCGGTGCGGTGAGTGTCTGTTCTTGTGGAACGGACGGCGCTGGGTCTTGGGATACTGGACTTGAAGTTGCGGAGTGTCTGCTGGTAGGAGACGTCCATCCGTCATGCTGCTGGCTTCTATGATGAGGATGAGAATAAGCATGTTGGGGTCGAGGACAACGTTTCTGCCTCGGTTCAACCTCAAGGGAGCTATAGCTATCGTTGCACATGCTGCGAGGAGCTTGTATACTATCATACTGTATCATAAATTATATAGGTAACACCAGAGTCAGTTTAAAATACATGTCCTTTCCTGGTTGCCATCCGCCAGAACGCCTAAGCTCCAATTGTGCGCCGTCACCACTTCCTCTATACCTCTTGGACGAGCTTGCCAGGTCCAACGCCGAAGACTTGCGCAGCCGGCGTGCCGATCCACTCTTCGGGCACGCCCACTCGGCTGCCGTTGCGACCACTGACCCAGCGGACCATCGTCGGGTCCGGCTTCTGGTACGCTTCCTGGATCTCTTGATCTGCAGATGCATTCTCGGCGGCCTCGGCGGCGGGAATGCGTCCTCTTCGCTTGGGCGCCTGCTTGCGCAGTAGTCGGTTGATGGTGTCCATCTGGGATGGCTGTCAGTGTCCGCGGTGACAAGCTCTATAAGACAGCGGATACAGACCTTCTCTTCTTCGTTTCGCTTCTCGCTGAGGTTCTTGCGTCGACGAGCCATCTCCGCGCGGCGCATGGCGCGCTCCTCTGCGGTCAGGTGCTTCTTCACCTGAGGTTCTGTTTTACAATTAGCTGTGGCCGAATGCTAGCGATGTCGGAGACTTACCCATGGGGAGTTGCAAAAAGTCATTGCCCAGGTTCCCGCGCTGTCGTTTGGTCATGCGAGTGAGATCCGCAGTCGGAGTTCCGTCACTGTCAAGGTCATCCTCCTCATCCTCCTCATCCAGCTCCTCGCCACCATTGCCGGTCATCAGCATACTCTCGTCCTGATCGTCGGGCTCGCCCTCAGCATCGGTATCCGGCTCCGATAACTCCTCATCGTCGTCATCGTCGTCATCATCCAACCCCATCTCTTTCGCCTCGACACTCTTGACTGCCTTCACACTAGGAGCAGATGCTGCCGCCGCCGCCGCCGCTTTCGCATGTCGCTTGGGAATGGGAGGTTGCGGAGGGGCATCATCCATGTCGAGGTCTCCATCAGCATCGAGGTCCTCGTCCTCCTCCTCGTCCTCTTCATCCTCATCTTCATCTTCCTCATCCTCACCCGGAGCATCTTCGTCGTCGTCGACCTCGTCCTCTTCCTGGTCATCGAGGTCATCCTCGTCACTGGTGTCTACCTCTACCAGCTTCTTCCTGGGCCGACTAGTGCGAGGCCCCGTGATGATGGGGTTCTCTGTGAAGACGTTCACCGAGCGCCGGGTGGCAGGCGCCCCCCGGGTGCTTCCCCCGGTGACCTCTCTGAGCTTGTTAGAGGGCATCTTGACAGTCAAATGCATCGATCGCTTCGATGAGCCTCCAGATGCCTTCGATGGAACACACACCGCCGTCACTGCGGGGGTGAAAGAAGCAGTAGCCGCGCGGGTGCTTCGTCTGGACCTGGGAGGGTCGTTAATACCTATCGTACTCATTTGGTCGTTGATCCCCGCGCGGGAACGCAGGGAGCGACGGAGCGACATGGTGGGTTTGGGGCAGTGATGAAGGCGACAGGCAATTGCAAGGTTTAGGGTGAGAGTGGTTTTAAAACAATTGTCTAGAGGGATAAAGCGCGGGCGGATGATCGCTGCATCGCTTGCACGATGAATAGACAAAAGGAAAGTGAACAGGTATTCGAAAGCAAGACGCCGAAAAAGCAAACAAAGCTTCTTGAGGATTTGATGCGGGGAAGGAAGATTAGGGAGAGGAGAGACGGGGGGTGGTGGGTGTTGTGGTAGTGTGTGATGAGAGCCGGGCAGAATACGATCACGAAGGATGGGATGTGTTCAGATGTTGGAGGGGTGGAAAGGAAGAGAGAGAGATGGAGGGATAAATGAGGGGAGCGAGTGAAGTGTTAAGCATCTATCACAAGAAGAGGTCTCGGACTGTAATGCTCTGGGGTGGTGGTGTTTAGTTCCTCCACATCAGCAATTTCGTCGTCATCACCTTCCTTCCTTTCTTCCCACGTTGCTTCCTTCCATCTCTCCGTGGTTACTTTCTCTCTCTGACTCCCTCTTGCATCCTCTCTCTCTCCCTCTATACGACAACAACTCGGAGAGAAGAGAGGGGAAGCAACGAGGCAAAGAAGTGCAACGCGGCAAGGCACAGAGCATGGATAATCGACCCCAATCAGACGGCAATCGGACAGCCACTTGACTCAGTTGCTTCAGTCGATTCACATGGCATGGGAGCCAATGGGAGGATTCTCGGCCTCCCTGTCCTCAGACGGTGAACCCAAACGGCGCTGCAGTCCGTTGCTGTTGCGCAACCCCGGATCACCCATCGATGGTTTTCTCCGGGGTCTGACCAGGAGGAGAGGGGAAGAAGGGTGATTCATCCAAGGGAATTTCTCATGCTTCAGTCATGCAGCCAGTCCAGTGAGGCCGCGAGCGGATAGACATATTCAAGGAACAAATGAACAAATGAATGGGATAATGCAAGAGGAACAGACTGGAGCATCCACTCACCGGCTTCAAGGATAGATCGAACAGAAGCGTCCCGTCCCAACCAGTCACTTTCAGACAGATGGATCAATAAAGCGGCAGTCACGACCGATCGTGCGAATCAGTCAATTCAGTTGGTCTCAGATTTGAACCAATGCAGTCAGTAACTCCAGGGAGATCTCCTATCTTTTCTATTCCTCCATTCATCGAGGATGGGGCGAGATCGAATAATCTTCGGATGCGCCGACGGGCCTTTGTGCCGGGCGGTCAGTATCCTTGGCGTTCGCCCTGGTTTTGTTACAGCCTCTGTTGGTGAGCATCTGAAATGGCGGTAATTGAGTGCATAGTAGACTCTCCAGCTACTTCATCATGATGCGAGCACGTCTGGTCATAGGGCTGCGAATCTGTGAAGTGTAGAAGAGAAATGATGCAGAGCTATGGCCGCCTGGTTGAGATGAGACTGAGACCAGAGAATATATACTATTGAAGTATGTCTGCATTGAGAGATGAATCGAATCAGATAGGACAGAGCCATGCCTATAACATAGACAATTAGTACCTTTCGATCATGGATGTAACTTACCAGTGCTAATAAAGTATGTGGACCACTCAGTATAAAAAATAACAATAATTGTTGCTCAACAGCAAAGCTAACCCGACCTCGGGGTAATAGCACTGGGCCTTATCACGCTCGGTCGATACAGCCGAGGTCTATCTGCCAGTCAGTCCATCTCCGCATTTCCTCCTCTTCCTTCTTCTCACTTCAACTAATCACCTCACCCACACCACAACCTCCCTCAATTCTACCACCATGGCAGACTCCAAGCCGAAGTCCGCAGTTCCAGAATGGCAAAAATCCCATGCCACGTCCGAGAGCGGCAGCAACAGCAGCGACAGCAGCGAAAGCAGCACCACCACCGTCAAAGGAGCAGAAGATAACGAGACCGACGACCAACCCTCTCGGCCAGCGCTCCTCGACCAAGCCGCCAAATTCCTCCAGGATGACTCGATCCGCGACGCCCCGATGGACCGCAAGAGGGTGTTCCTAGAGTCGAAGGGTCTGCGCGACGATGAGATTGACCTTCTGCTCCGGGAGTCCTCGGGGGAGGAGACCAGCAGCAGCAGCAGCAGCAGTAGCAGCAGCAACGAGCACGCCAGCGACAATGAAACCACCACCACCACCGACAACAACACCAACACCCAAACATCAGTCCATCCACCCTCCTCCCCTCCCCCAACCACAACACCAACAACACCCAAGACCATGACCCCCCGAGAAATCCCACCCATAATAACCTACCCGGAATTCCTAACCACTCCGCCAACGCAACCGCCCCTCCTCACCCTGCGCAGCACACTATACACCCTCTACGCGGCCGCAGGCCTAGCAACAACCTTCTACGCAGGCAGCGAATACCTGGTGAAACCGATGATCGCAGAACTAACAACGGCGCGCCACTCGCTCGCGCGCACCACAGCCACAAACCTGCGCACGCTCAACTCAAAACTCTCGCAAACCGTCTCGACCATCCCACCAGCCCCCACTGACACTCCAACCACCGACCCAGAAACAGAAACAGACACAGAATCCATAACCTCAGACCCAACGGAGCTCTTCCACCGCGACGTGGCCGTACAAACCACCGACCCAGCACCAACACAACCAACACTCGTGGGCACCACCGAGGTCGACGACCAGAAACAAGAAGAGGACAAGACAAAGAGCGCGGTGGAAATAGCACGTACGCATACGGCGCGCATGCAGGCGTTAAAGGCGCAGTTACGCGAGTTGTCGGATGCAGATGAGAGGACTGCGGGCGTGGATACGGCGCTGAGGGGGAAGATGAATGATTTGCATCATTATTTGGATACGTTTATTTATAGTAAGCCTGGGGTGTACAATCCGATGGCTGGGTATGGGGTTTTTAGTACGCCCGGGTTGGATGCTACGGGAGCAGCTAGTGGTGGTGTTGGGTCGAATGCTGGTTCGGGCGGTGGGTTGGGACTCGGGAAAGGGGAGGAGGATGCGATTGCCAGTTTTCGCGCCGAGATTCGTGGTGTCAAGGGGGCGTTGCTGAGTGCCAGGAATTTTCCGGCTGGTGGGGGGAGAGGTGGGAATCGTATCGCTGGGAGATTCGGTCGTCCTGGTTCGGATTATTGAATGAAGGGCGGGAGTTTAGATGAGAGTAGGTGATGGGTAGGTAGATAGGATCGGGAAGAGGGAAGTGCTGTGCTGTGTTGATACAGGATTGTGATCAAGGGGACTCAAGATGTAAATAGATTCAGTTATGTATGCCATGTGCTTTATGTTCTTGCTTTTCCTAATCTCACGCATGTATCATACGCAACCGAGATCAAATACATGATAACTTCACGAATGAAATATCTACTTCTTTTGACTAAAGACCAGACTAACATAATACTAACATCGACAGCGGGAAAATAAAAGCAGACCCCGGAACAACCAACCGGCTCGAGGGGACAAAAGTCCAGTACAGTCAAACAATTATCAAAATCTCTTGCCTAGTACATACAACTCATGATCGTCACATACTCTACCCTCACGGCGTGGCTTTGCTCATGCTGATCAGACGCTTCACACCAACCTATTATCTGGGTTAGCCTATTCCTTAAATCAAGGCACACGAAACTTACCATCCAGTTGCCGCACTCATCCGTCCGGTTCGTCATGATGTTCACGTGGATCGAGCGCGCAGTCTCATAGTCGCGCGCTTGAATCGCGTGGGCCAACTGCACCATGTCCGCAACCGTATTAGGCTTGAGCAGGTCCTCGTTGTTCAGGTGGTCGAACAGGAGGTTCAATCGTCGTTCCGCGTCGTCCACCTGCGCCTTGAATGAGGACGGGGCGCGCGACTTCACCCGCTGCATGTCGGCCGACAGGATCTCGTACACGGGCAACGCGTCGGCAGGAATGTGGGAGCGGTCACCAGGGGCTGAGATTTGTTAGTGAAGTCCTCGAATGTGGTGAGCTGACGACTTACGATACTTCGGTGCGGCCGGGGCAGGCTTTTTCTGCGAAGAGGCGGTGCCGGGTCGGGATCCCACGGCCTGGGGCGGGGGTGGTGCATGCTGTTGCATCGGTGGGACATTCGGCGGAGGCGTGCTGGGGGCATACTGGTTTCCTACCAAGGATTGCATGGCGGGCAAAGGGGCGTACGGAGAGGCGGCGGCCTGCGGAGGGGGAGGGACAGGCGCCCGCGTTTGCAGCTGGGGGCTGGCGGCTTGAGCAGCCGGGCTCGGTGCGTACCGGTTGGTGGGTGGTGGCATCGTAGGAGGTGCGTTGTACGGCGAAGGTCCTCGAGGAAGTGAAGCCGGCACGCCCATGGCCGAAGGCGGAGACTGGGGCAGGGAAGCATAGGGGTTGGGCGGAGGAGGCATCGACGAAGGGGTAGGGACGGCCGGAGGCGGCGACATCATTCTAGGGGCAGGGGCGCCGCCCTTGGGCGGAGGGGGCACAGAGGGCGTCCGGCTGACGGGTGCTCCGACTGGGGGAGGAGGGCCCTGCGCGAGGGTAGGAGACTGGAACGGAGCGCTGATTGGTGCGGAGGTAGTGGTAGCAGGGGTAGAACGGCGTGGCGTGGGAGCTTTGGCGAACCCCTCAGGCAAGTCATTCCACGCAGGCAGGTTGGTTGCCGTGGTGTACGTGGTAATGGTGTTGGCCGGAGACTGGTTGGTCGCGCGTGGGGGCGGGGGCACAGTTCCGCCGAGAGGCTGGGCACCATAGGTAGGGGCCTGTGGTGGTTGATATCCGGCAGGAGTGTAGCCGCCGCCTGCGGTGGGAGGAGCGTATGGGTTCGTAGGCTGGGCCGATGCGGAGGCAGTCGGGGGAGCGTAAGGATTGACTGGCGCAGCAGTCGGAGGAGCATAAGGGTTGGCTGGCGCAGCAGTCGGAGGAGCATACGGGTTTGAAGGGACAGCAGCGGGAGCAGCAGGAGCATAAGGGCTGGGAACTGCAGCAGGCGCCGCCGGCGAGAAGGTCCTCGTGGGCTGGTATCCACCCAAAGCGGGCTGAGGAAGAGGCTTGTTGAGGTTTGGCCTGGCGGCTGCGCTGGTTGCAGTCTGTGCCCGCTGAGGAGCAGCTTGTCTCATTGCCAACCGAATACGGTTTCTGGCAATCTCGGCTTCGGGGTGCTTCTCGGGCACAAGATCGAGATACTTTTGTGCGACCTGCAACCGGCCATGGGTAGCAACAACGTCGGCATACTCAATGTATTTGTCGTACAGCGTACTGAGCTTCCAGTCCGATTCCTTGGAACGCTCGGTGTCCTCGAACTTCGTGACTTGGCGGAAGATCGTCACCTTCTCAATCAGGCTCTGCAGAGCACGGACGTGGATCGAGAAAGCAGAGTCGTCAGCAGAGGCTTCAATGGCCTTCTGCTCGCGCTCACGCAGCTCCTCGATCCAAATGGCGACAACCTTCTCTAACTTGGAACCGGCCAAGAAACAGAAGGAAGCATCCTTGCGAAGAGTCTTGTCATCCGAGCCACGGAGCTCCTCCTCCAGGCGGTCACCCAGAGCATCGCAGAGATCAGCAAACTCCTTCTCGTCGGCAAAAGTGCAGAGAGCTGCCATAACCTCCTTCCAGTTGGACAGATCGGCATTGTAGACAACATCCCAAAGGTTCTTGCCCACAATAGATGCGAGCAGGCGCACGTAGTTCGGGCTGTTGGTCTGCTTGGAGAAGTAGTGCTCCTGGGCCTTCTCAATGCATCTATGGCCTCCGCAAATGGCGATCATGAATGCATCCGAGAGGCGATCCTCCTTGAGCGCGACATCGAGAGCCTTCTCGAAGTCACCAAGGAGCAACGCTCTGGTGATGCCGGTATCCGCTTCGGTCTCCTCTCCGTTGAAGATGTGGAAGGGGTTGTTGGTCTTCGCTCCCTTGGAAGCAGCCAGATCAGACAGGAAGTTGTCCCCATCCGCGTTCGTGTCGAACACCGATTGCAAACGACGGTGCTTCTTGGCTCCCGACCCGCGGGATTCCTTAGGCTCCTCTTCGTTGGCCTCGTCATCATCCTCCTTGCCCAAACCCAGCTTGGCCAAGCTATCAGCAGCCTCGTCAGCCTGGTCGGCGAAACCAAGATACTCAACCAGACCCTTGCGGGGGTTCGCAGAGATCAAAGCCTCAATGACCTTCCAGTCAGCCTTCTCTTCCTCACTGGTGGCGTCGGCAGCCCGGGTTTCGCAAATGTTGCGCAGATCACCCTCCTTGAGGGCGTTCTCAAAAGTCTCGGTGGACTTTCCGACTGCCTCGTCAACCTCGAAGGGGGTAATCTTGATCTTGGACGCACGTTGGCCCTTCTCAACCAAGTTGACCGAGACGACTCTGCCTCCGAAACCGAAAGTCGCGCCACATGGCCTTTCCAGCCACTTGGGAGCCTTGGGCAACGAAAAGCTGGAGACCTGGGGTTGAGTCTGAGCCTTGGCGAAGAAGTCCTCACCATCAAGGGCCTGGTTCTGGTCGGCAATAGCCTGGGCAGTTTCGGTACTGGTGTTCTGAATAGTCTGGACAGAAATCTTTCCGTCGAACGAAGCAGTGGCGAAGAAGTTGGGGTTGTGAGGGTTCCAGCGCGTCTGGAAGGTCCAGTTGGTGACAACGGGGAACTCGCCGTAGGCGTGGCCGGTCTGGGGGTTCCAGCAGAGCGTGCGGTTGTCCTTACCGGACGAGAGGAGCAGATCGGGGTCCTGGGCGCACCAGGAGAGCGACAAGACGCCGGACTCGTGACCGCGCAGGGTTCTCTCGGGAGCGTGAGAGTTACGCAGATCCCAAACACAGATCAAGGGATCCGACTCGAGCGGCGTGGCCGTCACCAGTTTCGTAGGCTGATATCAGTCAGCATTGAATCCCCAGTCGACAAGGATAAGCATCTCACCTTCTCTGGATCCCAGGCCACAGCACTGACTGCTTTCCGGCCCATGTTGTTCAGCGTCAAGCTCTCCTTCTTGGTCTTGACATCCCAGACGGTAACGAAGCCTGCACTGCTACCCGTGACCAGAATGTGTGCAACCTTCTTGTTCCAGTCCAAGCACTCAATGTCATCTGCGCGGGCAGCCGTACCTCCGAGTCTAGAGGGGTTTGCGACGTCATTCAAATCGGAGATGTACAGCTAGTCATGACTGTAAGCTCAAATGTTCACCTCTCAAGTAGTTATGAGCAACGTACCTCGCCCTTGGCACCACCAGTGGCCAGAAAGTTGGAGTGTTTGGGGTTGAACTGCAGGGCCTTAATAGCCCCTGAGTGTTTATTGGTCCGCGAGATAACGGCATCACTGCCCAGCAGTCAGCCAACTGAACAATGAGGGCGCAACCCGAGGACAGCACGAACCTGGATCCGCTCAGCAACTTGTCTGCATCCCACAGATCCAAAGATCCATTCTCCAAAGCACCCGCAATCACACCGCGGGAGTTATCCTCGGAATTCGTCCATGCTAGGTCGTTAAAGCTGTCAAAGCACAAGGGTTAGCATGCACCTCCACTACCAAAGCACAAGGAAGCTAGGAAGCGCACCCCGAGTCAGTGTCAATCTTGGCTACCGGCTGCAGCTCGCCGCCGGCCTCGTGGCGGCTCAGGTTGAGATCCCAGAGCTCCAGGCACGTTTGATTGGAGAAGTCGACATCCACAGCGCCGGCGCGAGTACCGGTGGCAATTAATGGCGAGGCAGCTCCAGGAGACCAGGCAAAGGTGGCCGTCCGGGGGATTTCCCTCAGACGCACCATGGTGGAGGTAGAAAGGAGTGGCAGGGAAAGATGAGGGTATAGATTAGAGGGCGACGGAGCTGGCTATTGCGGGGGATGGTTATGTTCCGGCCAGCAAAAGAATGAATAGAAGGGGGGGATAAATGGAAGAACAATGGAAGGTGAATTAGGTCCAGACACCCAGGTTGCGCATATAAGGTAGGGAAAAGTAGAAAAATGGAAGAACCTCCCCTCTCTGACACAAGACAGGAGAAACCGAGGGGTGCAGGTGAGTTGCCAAGTCGACTGGCGATTCGAGGCGTGACGGCAATCAACCAAGTGTCCTCCTCGGGGCCGCCGCAATCCGCTTAACCACTTTAGGGGGAGGAAACACTGCCCGGACCGGCACGTGATTGATATCAGCCTCTCTCCGCGAAAGTCTGGGCATCTCCAGATCGACCGAGCAATGAAGCTTGACGACCAAGCTTAGATCTTCCTAATAAGCTGGGTCCGTGCCCCTGAAGTTTGCCAGTTCAAAAGCGCCGTGGTCCCCTGAGATTATACTTCATTCCCGAAAATCGCCATCCCCGATTGCGCTACGAAATCTCGACCATGAGCGAAAAGGCCCGTCTCAAATGTACTATCTATGTTGGAGGCCTTGACCAGGCCGTGACGATGCAGACGCTGGCGGAGGCATTCGTCCCCTTTGGCGAGGTCGTGGACATCACCCTGCCCAAACCCGACCTGCCCAACTCGAACGAGGCCCATCGCGGCTTCGGATATGTGGAGTTCGACCTGCCCGAGGATGCGAAAGAGGCCATCGACAACATGGACGGCAGCGAGCTCTATGGACGGACCATTAAGGTCGCCGCCGCGAAGCCTCAGAAGGAGAGCAATGAAGGACTAGGAAGCAAGACTGCTATCTGGGAACAGGTGCGCCAACCAATCGAATATCTTATTCCACAAGAGTATGAGCTAATCGCATTCAACTACAGGAGGGCTATTTGGCCAAATACGCGGTCAGCGAGGAAGACAGACTTGTTGCGGAGCAGGGTCCGGCGGGGGCCAGTGACGAAACTCAAGACCCTATGCAAGGCCTGGTGGAAATGGACGTTGCAGGCCCCAAACCTGAATGAATCACCCGAATATCTTTACATGCCACGCGGAGTGCACGGGCAAGGACATTACAAAAACGAAGCCAGGCACCCATAACACTGGCAAAGTACTGCGTCAGAACCCTTTGTTAAAAGCCGTACTATATACACGCGCTGCAACCCTGAGCCTGAGATATGCCGAGCTTTTTCGTCTGCATCCGCCGCGACACCACGCAATCTCCCTGTCCCTCCTGTGAATAGTACAGATCGCCGTCAAAACAAAACGAGGAATCGCCCATTGCAATTTGGATCCAAAATGTGATGGTACATTCTCTAGTGGTCACGGGACTCGGGGCTGTTGCGGTACAGACGGAGGGTCTTGTCGGTCATGAGCTTCTTGGAGCTGGAGTAGATGGCAGCACCGATAGCGACACTGTGACGAGGGGCATTAGCGATGGCAGGTTTTGTGGGGTGGAAGGGGATGATGGGAGGGGTAAGGAGAGGATAGATCATGTTCCATCCGTGCAATGTAGCAAGACAATTGAATCAGTAACTATGCACATACCCCAAGACAACACCTGTAAAGTGAAACGAAAGATGGTTAGCCTATCTGTAGATACCATTGGGCGCATTTGCGCACGAGAAGAACATACCGAGAGGAATCAACTCCGGGGGGATACGCTTAAGGGTGCGCAGACGCTGGGAGATAGTGTGGGCTGGAGCTATGCGTTAGTCCAATTGCGACTTCCAGATTCTGACTCTTGCGAGTTTCCTATCGACGATAGCGCATTGAAAGGGAGCTCCTTACCGCTGTGGTTTTCCTTCTACAATGTCTGTTAGCCATCATGCAACTGCCAAGCCCAATTTTTCCCGGCTCACGCCCACGACGGTCAAGGAAGGGGAGAGGGAAACTTACAGGAGCAGGAAAAGCGAAGGGCCGGGTGGCCTGCATGCGCATGATAGTGGTGGGATACATGGCGATTGCTGATTTGGGGGGTGGATGACCTGGCTAGAGGTGGGTGGGTGGATGAGATGGAGAGGAGATGGGAACTGGGAGGCTCGGATGTGGTGACGGAAGTTGAGCTCATTCGGGCCTTGGTGGCTGTGGAATTGGATCACGAGTTCAGGCTTCCATTCCGGACTGCCTGCATGCCTGGATGACTCAGGCAGCCAACGAAGCCCGGCCGGGTGTTTATGAAAGGTTGGCGCATGAGTGGCTCGCTACAGTAGGCGGTCAAGGATGAAGTTGGGGCCCGGCTGTACTGCTTCACGGGATCATTCCACTCCACCGGCGCGCAAACCTCACCCCCATCTTTCTTTCTCCAAGCCCTCTCTCTCTTGCTTCCTCCCCCCTCTCCTCCCCTCTCCCCACCACCAACCCCCTTTTCCGCTTTCCCCAGCTTTAGGTCCTTTTCAGGCTCTGTCCTTTGAATCGCCACAATGGGTGCCATTCCTGAAGCCGATCCCGATGAGCCCCAGGAGACCAAGCCCTTCAAGTTCGTGACAGGTGAGCTTTCCCAACCCGGCCAAACCCGACTCACTCGGGACCCAATTGAGGTCAATTGCTAACTAGGATACAGCTGGTACGTTTTTATCTAGGTTCCAACTCGACCCGGTCGCTTTGTCGATGGATGAACGAGCACGATGGATTCAATTCGTGGTGGGAAGCTGACAACGTCCTGATGTAACGATATCTAGGCTATGACGCTCGCTTCCCCCAGCAGAACCAGTACGTGATAAGCAGCTCCGAAACCTTCCCTTCAAGCTTCATCAATACCCTACTAACCCAATTGAATAGGACCAAGCACTGCTGGCAGAACTACGTCGACTACTACAAGTGTGTCAACGCCAAGGGCGAGGACTTCCGCCCATGCCGTCAGGTATATCAATCCCGTCGTCCCCTCCTCGGCTATCAAACCCGCACCACCACATGCAATTGCCTTCCATCACAACTCCAAGTACAACCACAACAACAGCAAAGACCTAATACTAACTTTATATCTCCAGTTCTACCACGCTTTCCGCTCCCTCTGCCCTAAGGCCTGGACCGACCGGTGGGATTCCCAGCGCGGTACGTACCCTTTCTCCCTAACCTATCCCAGCTACTAACCTCCCGACCAGAGGCCGGTAACTTCCCCGCTCGCCTGGAGTAGAATGCTATAGTTGGACCTCTGTTAAATTCCATGTGCTTTGTTTATTTTGGTCAACAAATGTACTCTACTACCCTGATTCGGAGCTACCCCGATATTCCGAAGTAACCCACCCAGCGGGAAATGTGTTTTTTTCTTTATCGTTCCCAAGAGACTATAGGTCTTGCTTTCCTCTCTCGCGCGCTGTCTCGTTCAGGTGATAAAGAAGAGAGCTGTATATATACGACGGAAGCTCGCGTAGTCTACACCGCAAAGAGATTCAGTTGTTCGTATTGGCCTTGTTTATCTTCTACTCTCCCTCTCTATCATAGTAGTAGATATGTCTTATCGTCGCGACGAACTAGTTCTCCAATGTCAAGGATGTGCGTATGGCAGATGATACGTGAAGCCTCTGTGAGATCCCTTCTACCCGGAGACATCATACGATGTATTCCTTCAGCCTCGCGGGACAAGGCGTAGTCAGCAACCCATCGTGACTATGTTAGCCAACTCTGAACTCCATGCTATATTCGACAATGCTTATACATTGGCAGGCATCGAATGTCACCAGCCCAATCCAAAGAATGTATCCAATGGCCCTGGGCGTGCGGCCTTGTCTTGCTCATAACTACCACTAACTAAACACGAACGGAACGATAACAAATTGTACTCCATCCTCCAATAACAGCACCACAACACCATCAGTCTAGAATCTCTATATGTCTATTGTATGTCTATTCTATCCAACCGACAAATGCAACCACCTCCGAACCACCAAGCAGTATACAGACCAGACAAAAGCAGAAGACAGAGCAATGGATTATGTACAAGCGATTCTCGTGCCGGAGAACCAACAGCAAGAAAACGAAAAACTTTTATCCACCCAGAAAACAAAACATAGAATGCTTCGCCAAACCCAAACAGACAGTCAAAAATATATATGCCAGACAGGATATCCCCCGCCGGGAGAGAATATGCGGGATATCAAAAGCGGTTTATAGACAGTGAAGAGCACCAGAACCAACAGAAAGAAACAAGACGAAAGGGAGGTTATCTACCGCTTCTCATCAGCAGAAGAAACCCCCTTAACCCAGCGGTAAAGCTTCTTATGCTCCTCAAGGAAGATAAAGGTCGCGATGGTATGCGGCCCCAAGCGAATGAAGCTGGGCACCCAACCCCGGAAGGCCCAAGCGAGGCCCTCCTGGCGGGTGATGTCGCGCAACAGACCCAAAATGCCGTGGGCATGGGCGTGGGCGCTGGAGGCGGTCATGACGCGGGTCTTGATCACGTCGACAGGACTGCAGACGGTGGTGGCGACGAAGCCGGCCATTAAGGAGGCGGAGAAGTGAGTGGCCAGGTTATCGGCCATGCCGAAGCTGTCGATGCACAGCTTCTTGAAGGTATCGTAGGAGGCCAGCTGCGAGGCGGTCATCAGCACCGCGCGCGTCGAGTTAGGCCACACGCCGCGGAACAGGCTGGCCGCGCCCTCAGTGCGCGTCATCTCCACCAGCCCGTGCAGCGCGTGCCGGTAGTTGCGCCGCTGCGCCGCCGGCAGCGCCGCGTCCGACTGCATCCGCACGTTCAGCACGTCCGCCGGGTTGCCCGCGAAGCCCCCGATCAGCCCCGACGTGCACGCGATCCCGATCAGCGTCAGGAATCCCGGCGTCGACCCCGGCGTCGTAAAGTAGTTCTTCAGCTCCTCGTAGATCCCGAATCGCGTCGTCGAGTAGGTCATTTGCCGCAGGATCGCCGCCGATAACTATACAACCCAACCCCTCAATTATCAGCAAATTGTCCCAGACAATAGCAACACAGGAATAAACGTACCCCGCTATACAATCCTCGGAATCCGTCCGTCTTGATCACATGTCCGAACGTGCCCACCATCGAGGTGGGCGCCCCAGGTCCGCGGGTCTGCAATCGAACCTATAATTTAAGTTGTCTCGTTAACACACCAGCAGCTCTTCCAATCGGTATTTGCGATAATCGCAATGCTCGACGGTAGGCCAAAAAACGACCACGTCCCCCAAAAAAGCGAGTCTCGGTAATTCAAAAGCATGGATGCGCAAAATTTACCTTGACTATACACAAGCCACAGCAAAAAAAGTCAGTCACCAGATCAAAGTCATCATCCGTAGAACCGCCACCAGAAAGCGCCAAAACTTACCAAGGTCCAGAGGGTGAGTGACGGCAGCCGCAAAGCAAGAGGCCGAACCACCAAACCAAAAAGGATAATGGATCTTCTTTGCAGGAACCGGAGCGGCAGCCGGCTGGGGAGGCTGTTGAGACGCCCCCAGCTTCGCACTGCTGGCCATCGTGGACATTCCCGCGAGGCGAATGTGAGGGGAGAGAATAAAAGGGAGGCGGAGAGAGAAGTGATAGAGGGGAGAGTGTAAGGAAGAGGAAAAAGAGTTTTGGGGCGGATTGATGCTGATGGACGGGGATGGGATCTGAATCGCCGAACCAACAACTTCTTAATAATAATGAATGAATAATACCGCGATAATACAGAGGCAATACGAGGGTCGGGCTTCAGATAACACCAGATAAACTCGCCGGATTTCAGGGCTTTTCGGCTGCACTAACCGATCTCGGTCATGGTCCTCCAATCAGCTTCTCGGTTTCGACACCGGACAAGCGGGCCAGGCGGTAAGGCCGGTCCTCGGTAATCCTTCGCTAATACGACAAGACAGAGAAGATGAGATGAGATGAGATAACACTAAGAGGGAGGATGAGGGGGACCGTGGACGGAATGAGATGAAGATAAGAAGAGCAATCAAACAGAAATCAATTAATCACGAACCGCAAACCGACCCTCTAATGAGCGCATCCATCCTTCCCCGTATCTACCCAGCTGAGCTGAGCTGCAATCGAACTGCTACGTCACATTGCATACCTCCCCTGCAGGCGCGCTCATTCAACCACTGAGCAGCCGCAAGACACCATACTTTTACCGTCAAGTGCTATCACCGGATCCTCAACCTGGAATCTCACACCTATGAGGGAAGAGAGAGGTTACAATCCTTTGGGGCCAAGAACTTACTTACAAACTATCATACACGTATCCATTGCCCTGCCGTCATCAGGCATCCAGTACTATACATACCAAAAGTCTCTCTCCTTGTGTACAGAGAGGCACAAGCTACCGCAACTCAACATTCAACAAATCGACCAGCTTCTGGCGCAGTTCATCATGTAGGTCATTTGCCTCTGTGTTGGTGAGAGTACGCTCCAGACTCCGGTAGTTGATGCGGTAGCACATGCTCTTGCGCTTCGTCTTGGGGTGGGTAAACTCATCAACCAGGCGCACATCCTCGACCAGATCCCCCGCAACCCCACGAACAATCTCCATGATATCATTCTCGTGGACGGGCTTGGCGCCGCCGGCCGCACTACCGCCACTGGCAGCGCCCGAGGGCAGCCAGAAGGCCACATCCTTGTAGCAAGCGGGGTACTTGGAGAAGGGCTTGAAGCGGGTGATCTGGCCGGCCTTGAACTGGGACAGGAAGCGCTCGTCACGGGACCAGAAGAGGCGGATGTCGGGGATATTGAAGAGAAGCATGGCGATGCGCTCGAGGCCGATGCCAAAGGCCCAGCCCATGCGGTTCGGCACGTCCGAGTTGTTCAGCAGCTCCTGCTTGATGACGCCACAGCCCAACACCTCCAGCCAGTCGCCCTGCCAGAACACCTCCAGCTCCCATGAGGGGCTGGTGAAGGGGAAGTAGGCCTCCACCCAGCGGACCTTCAGGGGCTCGGTCTCCTCCTGGGAGCCCGCAGCGGCCTTGCTGGCCTCGGTGAAGATCTTGATGACCATGCGCTCCAGCGAGCGCTTGAGGTGCGCGGCGACCTCCTCGACCTCCTCGGCACTGTGGAACTCTGCCTGGAGCGGGTTGCGCTCCGGGTGGATGGTGGGGTTGGGGTCCTCGACGACCACGTCGTGAGCAGGGATGCGGCCGACGTCCTCGCGGATATTCGCCGCCGTCTCGCCGGCATGCTTCAGCGGCTCGGTATCGGGCCGCTTCCACAGCATCGCGCCCTCCATCTGGTGGAAGACCGGGTAATGGCTGCGGTCGATCGCATCCCTCCGGTACACGTCCGCCACGACCGTGTAGCCCACTTCCTCCGGGCGGGTGCGCTCGTTGCGGCTGATTTGCTGGAAATACGCCTGCTGGTGGGCGCTCGTATGCGTCCGTAGCACCAGCTTCTCGTTGAGGTAGTAAGTGTCGGTGCGGCTGCGACCCGGATGGTCCGCGGGGAAACCGAGGACGTCGAAGTTCTGGGCCGTGGTCACGACGGGATTCTCCTCCGTGTAGTTTCCGTAGGTGGGCCGGGGGAATTGACTCTCGATCAGCTGGCGCGTGATGGCTAGAGGGTGGTTCTCATCCAGGTAAAGCCGACGACCGACGTGCGAGAGAATAGTATCGGTTGTGTTTGTCCATTCATCGGACTTGTACGATTGCTTGTCAGTGGCCGAAGGTCGCACCGTAGAAGCACCGGCGATGGAAGCTTTGGTGGCATCGGTAGCGCTTGCGCCTGTCCGGCGAACAGCTGTGGAACTCCATTCGCGCCGCTTGATGGTCAACGGCTCCGGGAGGTGCGAGAGCGGAATGCGGAGATTCCTCCGGGAAGAGGCGATGGCCCACCTGCTACTGCTGGCGCGCAGAGCTCGGCCAGTGGCTAGGAGACGCATTTCCAACAGTCTGTGACGAGCAGTGCCGGAAACTGAGCCAGTGAGTTGTCGACTGCTGGAGGATTGTCTGACTGCGGCTTCGGAGAGCTACAAAACATGCCGGGGCGGGAAAACCACAGCCCGAGCGTATTCGCTCCCAATTATCCTACTGTATAACTGGATCATGACCAGGGGACATCGAAGCTCGATCGAACTGTCATCACGTCAGCTTCAAATGTCGGGTCCAAATTAAATCATTGTATGAAGAACATCTAATTCATGTATGCATGAAATTGCCACTCAACAATGTCTACCGATGTGTGTTATTTCGACCTTATCCTACAATCGTTAATCAAGAATGACTGATTACGCAGTTTTGAGAGCTCAAATCGTCATAACTTCCTTGACCATTATGGCCAATAGACCGTCTATTAGACTTCATAACTACCCTGCACTGCCATCCAGGCAAAAGGGTGATGCAAAAAGTCATGACATGATCAGATGTCCTGCAACCATAAACCGCAACCCGTTTCCATGCCAGTCCCAACATGATAAAATCACTTTTCATGAGACAAAGAAGAAACAAAGACACCGACCATTGCTTGTAATATACATAAGTGGGAGGAGAGAGTGGGAAAACAACGCCAGTCCAAGAGACAACAGATAAATGGAAAGTGCACCAAAAGACAGCCCATGCGACACCAGTCGCTGAGTAAATGGTGTATCATACACATGCGTTCGTAGAAAAGATAAAAGGAAAGCGACTATCGCCGGAGCACATATTGCCGGCGGCATGCTCGGATGAATAATCCGTCGCAATAAGGGTTAGGCGAAGCCCCCATCGTGGCGGAGAGAGATGTGGTATATTATACAGATGGGATGAAGATGGGGATTATTGAAGGTAGAGGTGGCATTTGGAATGTTGAGGAGAGATTTAGTTGTTCTTGACAACACCGACCTTGGCAGCCTGGAGAAAGGGGAAAAAAGGTTAGCATCCAAGCTTCGACGCATAATTGGTTAAAACCACATACTCTAAGGACACGGCCGTTCAGACGGAAACCCTTGCTCTGAACGAACATGACCTCGCCATCCTCTCTGCCCTCGACCTTGGTCATGAAGACGGCCTCGTGGACGTTGGGGTCGAACTTTTGGGCGGAACCATCCTCAGCGGGGGCGCTGGGGTCAAACTGCTCGAGACCGTGCTTCTTCAAGGTGCCCATCAAGACATTCTGAGTCATCTTCAGGCCCGAAACGAGATCCAGCAGGTCCTTGTTAGCCTCGGTGGGGGCGGCTTCGAGCTTCTCCTTGGGGACAGCGAGCATAGCACGGTCGAAGTTATCGATACTCTCGAGGAGGTCCTGAGCGAAGCGCTGGATGGCGAAGTTGCGAGAGTTGTCCATGTCCCGCTTGGTGCGCTCCTGAAGGTTGATGAAGTCGGCCTTGGAACGAAGGTATTGGTCCTGGAAGAAATTAGAATAACTGCTGGCGTGAAGACTGCTTCGCTATCGAAATATGCAGTGCATCTGATATGAAAATTAGGTGGCTCTTACCTTCAAGCCAATGATCTCCTTCTTCTTCTCCTCAAGCTCTTTGCGGCAAGCATCCTCACCCTCCTGCGACTCAGCGGCGCCGTTCTCGCCGTTCTCGGCCTTGTTCTCCGTCGAATACAGGCGGGCGGCAGACTGAGGGATCAGCGGGCGAGCGATCTGAGAAAGCTGGGGCTGCGCCGTGCGACGGAGAGCTGGGGTAGCTGGCGTCGAGCGGACGGAGAGGAGAGACCGCTGGGCCTGTCTGAGGAAAGTTCTTTGGAACATGATGAATAAGAGGAGGGAGGTAGATGACTGCCTAAACGGATGGAGAAAAAGGGCAATAGCAATGAAGCAACAAGCAAGCTGAGGTGGTTAAGTGAGAACGAGATCGGCGATAGTGCTCGAAAAAGCAGAAGTTTCGCCGTGCCGACGTCACCTGACCGCCTTGGCCGGCGATATGCGGATAAATATGCGGGCCGACAATCGGCTCCGATCAGTAACTATAGACTAGAGGAGCGGAACGAACGGTTACGTACCTGTAAAGACCATAAGTTGCGCTGTCATACTCACTTCTAGCAAGCTTCCATCCGATGCGACACAGAAAGAATGGCTTTGAAGTACATTGGTTTGAATCCGAGCATAAATCTTGAGGTACACACTTCTCGACAATTGATTGCTCCCGAGTTCAAACCGTACCACCGATGCCGGTCACACATGACAATCACTGCCCATTCCAGTGACAAGCTGCTCCCAACCGAGGGTGAAAGTCCATCTAGTTACAAAGAGACCCTACCCTGACTTGGTTCCGATTTGGTGGTTCGGATAGAAAAGCCCCCACCATCTCTGGGGGCCATGCATAGACGAGGGGAAAGCATGAGAACTCAATCATTTAAAGAGGCCGAGTGCTGCCAAACTCTCGCCTCATCCGCCACCAGTCGGTCATTGTCCCATTGGTACGAGTAGTTTCGGGTGTATAGATCCTGAAGATCCGACCGAGCATCCAGCACAGCTCATCTCGAAACTCGCTTCTCCAACACGGTGTCTTAACCCCTCATTGACGTCTCTCTACAAAATGCCCTTGAGTCTGGATCCCGCATATGCCAAGGCTGTCGCCCCAGCCATAGCGGCCGTCGCCTCGAAGCCAAAGTCCGCGGTGCATGATGTCGAGGCGCGCCGGGTGGGCATTACGGGCCTGTACGAGTCGATCTTCGAGACCTTCCCGGATGTTCCGAGCGTCGAACGGACCGTCCACCAGTTCCGGTCTTATGACGGAGGCATGATCTCTATTCAGCGCTACGCGAAGAAGGACACCGCGTCCACCGCACCTGGACCAGCGATTGTCCACGCGCACGGCGGGGGCATGTTCCAGGGCAGCGTCGATCTGTACCGCAAGGTGTTCCCCTTTCAGGTCGAGCAGAGCAACATCCAGATCTTCTCGGTGGATTACCGGCTAGCCCCCGAGCATCCGCATCCAACGCCGCTCGAAGATTGCTATGCTGGACTGTTGTGGCTGCATGAGCATGCGGACGAGTTCGCCGTGGACCGCAGCCGCATTGCGGTGCAGGGCGAGAGCGCTGGAGGGAACCTTGCGGCGGGCATGGCCCTCCTGGCTCGGGATCGCGGCCTGTCTCCGCCTCTGGCGAAGCAGGTCCTTATCTACCCTATGCTGGATGACAACAACACTGTACCGAACCCTGCGCTGGAGCCGTTCGCTACGTGGACTTATGACGATAACATGACTGGCTGGACGGCCTTCTTGGGGCAAGACGTCGTCGGCACGGACAAGGTCTCACCTTACGCTGCGCCTGCCCGAGCCACCAACCTGGAAGGCCTACCACCGACGTATATCGACGTTGGCGAGCTTGACATCTTCCGGGACGAAGACATCGCCTTCGCAGGGAGGATTGCGGCAGCCAATATCAGTTTGGAGTTGCACGTGTACCCCGGACTGCCCCATGTCTTCGAAATATACGCACCGCAGTGTGAACCTTCCTTGAGGGCCATTGCGAACAGACTCAGGTTCCTTGCCGATTTGTAATGACGCAGACTGGAATAGCAGATTGTGTGCGCTAAAAAAAACAGAGGTGGCCCAACCGACTTAGAAAGATATGATGACGACAATGTGTTTTCTTAAGGACATTGAATTGAGCTATGATGAAGTGACCGGCCCCGTAACTGGGTGAGGTGTAGAGAGAGTGCGTAATTCGGGAGAGCGGAGTGGCTGAGCCCAATAACTACAAGATGGTCAAAGCTTCCGGCTAAGCCATCAGAATGTCTGCACTCTGCATGTTCCGACACGGCTACCGTAGGCAGACGAATATTGTATGTACTGTAGCAGAACAACGGATGAGACGTGTCAAGCAAAGGCCCTTTGCCAGTAGTAGTCACCGAGGCGTTCGCAGGTATAAGCCTTGGATAGGCGAGGCAGGGTATACGCAGGGTTCTCCGACACCCGTCAGCAGGCCGTTTCGGTCATGATGTCCAGGTAACTATCCCAATGTTAAGATAAGCTTAGTATGGTGTAGCACAGCAGGGTCCTGGAAAGAAAGAGGCTCTGTCGATCGTGACATTCACCGTGACTTTAGTGAAGAGGCTTGGAATACAGCTGCATGCATGACTGGACTCAGCAGCGGGGGAGGAACTCTATGTTACGTTCAAGCCAAGCTCGCAATCTTGCCTGCCTGGAGCACTTCCCTGCTGTAACGTGGAGATGCGAGCTACGGTGCAATGCAGGATTTATCAAATATTGCCTGCCGGGGGCGGAGCATCAGCCCCTACTCCTGATGGCGGACTCAATCTGGAGTATGTGGAGAAAGAGTCACCGACCCATGGATTGCTGCCTCGAGAGGGGGAAGTGCACTTGTTGACTTTTGAGTGTCAAAGGAGGTGCCAGGATCAATGCTAAAGCTCACTCTAGTTGCGAGTTGACTACAGTGTGTTAATGATCTCTGCCCGGAGGTTGGGGCTGGCAGCAGGATCCAGTCCAGGATCATTGTCCAGGATGATCCTTCCGATAGTCAACAACCATGGTCAGATCGACTTGCTCGGATGATCTGCAGGAGACAGAAAAAAACACATAAGCAACATCGTCATTGCATGAAATTGAGAAGAGGGAGAAGCGAGGGACGGTGGCAAGCTAAAGCGGTGCCAGTCTCATCAGCCACACGAGTTCGGCGAGACCGTGGCGAGGATCCGACCGACCAGATGAAGAATCGAAGCGAAAAAGCGTGCATGCGTGCAGAGTCGATCGCCAGGGACAGATCCAGATCCAGAAGGGCCGTCCGAAAGAGGAGCGTGGAGGAGGAGAAAGAGGGAGAGAGTCGCAATCCAGACAGGGCAGTGCAGTTTGCAATCTCCACTCGCCGGAAAAAAGAGGCGTTTTGCTGCGCCTCGTCCGGGAGAAGCGACGGAGGCGGACGAAGACAAGACAATTGTAACAATGAGAATTGATCCGATAATATAAAAGAAGCATCCCAGCACGCATGCAGGTTCTTCATCCTAACTGGTACAACCACTGCAAATCTCTGAAGCAACTCTCCAATCAGACTCAAGGAGGTTGACGACCGCTCCTATCAAGTGAGAAGAGAACTAAGCGCCGCCGGTCTTATCGCGCGAGTGGCAATCAACCACTCCTCTTCCCGAGTCTATCTCCATCTCCATCTCCTATATCAATCAACCTCCTCCTCAAACCAACTCATTCAACCACAACCACACCTCTACATACACATACAACCGTTCAAAATGGACTACACAACCCCACCGCAATCCCTCACCTCCTCCCCCTCTATGCCAACAAAATCAACAACAACAACAACCCGACCAACCCTATCCCTCGACCTCACCAACCTCCCAGCGCTAAGCCAACCAGCAACCCCAACCAACACCCTAATAATCACGGACCTAAACGACCTTCACCTCTTCGATCCTCCCTCTCTAAGCGCCCTCCGCAACACCCTCAACAACCTCGCGCCACTAAACTCCTTCTCCCCACTCCCCTCCCTCCGCCGCCTGCTCTGCTCATTCCACACCGCAACAGACGCCCTCTACATCCGCAAACTCCTCTCCGACACCAGCACCAGCACCACCACTAATCCCCTGAAAACCCACACAAACTTTTACTCAACCAAACCCCTCAACCCCAAGATCTACTTCGGCGAAACCACACCATTACAGACAGGCCACGACGCGCGCCCAAAACTCCTGGCCGCCCCCCAAGTCGACAAGCTCTTCTTCATCAGCCCGCCGCCGTCGCCGCCGCATGGCTGGGTCCTCCGGCAGGAAGATCCTCCCAACAAGGAAGTCCACGCCAGTGACCTCGCGCACGCGCTCTCGAAGCTCAATACCGAGATGGATTTGTCACTGGCACAGGGCCAGAGCCAAGGGGCGCCGGAAACGCCCGTGTCGGCTGTTTCGGATAAGCAGCAGCTAGGGCAGCAGCGCACAGGCAGCTGGCCCACCAGGCGCAGTCGGAGTAGTACGCTGATCTATCACCCTGAGGATCACGGTGGGAGTCCCGGGTTGCCGGCGGTGATGGTTGAGGATATGAGTAGTGAGTTGTTTATGGATGAGGATGTTGAGATGGGGAGTCCGCTTGAGGTGGAGGATGGGGATGAGGAGATGGATGATGAGGGCGCGGGGATGATGGGGATGTCTGTGAAGCGCATGCCGCCGAAGACGGCGAGGCCGCCTGTTGAGTTGATGTGATGTTTTTCTCTTTTGCTTTGCTCCCGGGAGATGGTTTGGGATTGTTCTGAGATTGTCTTATTGGCTCGGTGTTTGAGGGAATGGCGTTCTTGAGGCTTGGTTTGGTTGGCATGGTTGGGTACAAGACATTTCATTACCTACATATTGCATTGAATTGCGATAGTTTTTCATACTTCATCTTCTTCTGTGGAGCTTTCGTTGTTATTTAATTCCCTTCGTGATTTATAATCTGACGTGCACAGAATGGAGGTGTCGATTACAATTACTTTTTTCTAGTCCATTAAACCAGCTCGAATAAACTATCAAGGGTTTACGTCAGATACTGCACTACCAGACCTACTAACCACAGCTACCGATTCACAGCAGAACACCAAGCAAACTCAGTCAATTCCTTGTGTATGACATAAATTCGGTCAACCCTGTTTGTTTGTATGTATGTATATGTGTATGTATGTGTTAAGACAAAAGGCCGAGCCGGAAAACAGAAAAGCAGAACACGCCCCCTCTCGCACGCCCTGACCATGAAAATTCTGTAGTAACAAACAAGAAGAAAGTGAGCAAAGAAAAGGGGCAAAAAGCAAAGTTGAAAGTACAATTCCTTTGATGATAAATCCCGTGGTGAAACTCCGCCCGCATGCTGGAAATGGTAGAAGGTAGATTGAGCAAGGAAGTGAGTGGTTAGTCGGCTTTCGTGGTTTGAAGGTTTTCTTTTGGTGGGCTCGATGGTATCATTGTTTTTGCGGGTTGGGTTGTTGGGAGAGGGATGGTGATGGTGGATGGAGGTGTGGGCTCAAGTCCTTAGAAAGATTGGCGCAGAGCCCGCCCTGGGTAGACGCGGTTGTTCCTCAAAGAAAGAGAGAGCCATACTACAGGACACACCGTCCATCAACTCACATCACCGTCTAAAACCCGTAGCCACCGCCATAGGGCGTGACACCGTACGGCGTTGCAGCACTGGCGCCCCAAGCACTGGCTCCGCCGCTTGCATAGGCCGTGAAGCCACCATCGATACCCTCCGGTGGCTCATAGCCATCGGGACTGCGCACACCCATCATATCATCGTCATCACCACCCATCATGCCATTGCGATCCGCGCCGCCCTCACCCGAGCCGGACAGCGACGAAATGACGGAGGCCAGTTTGCGCTGCATCACGATGATACTCTGCTGAATGATCATATCGGGATCGATCATGCCGATACTCTCGACATCGATGTAGAAGTTACTCGGTTGAGCGTCGTAGTCGAACGGCTGGTCAGGCGGATTGGCATGTTCCCAAGCCGAGTTCTGAGAAATAGGCCTATTGTTCAAAGATTATTAGCCGACCTCATCTCCCTCATCGTCCACTGGCCTAATGTCCCGCTTCTTCGTCTTTCCTTGATTCCTAAACACTCGAAAGAGAAGGAAAAAAACATACCACTCCTTCGCGGCATCCTCCTCATACCAATAATCGACATGCCGCAGATTATTATGCGGGTCATACTCGAACCCAACAGCAGCGGTAGGCGCCCACTTCGAATGCTCCTTGGCGATACCTTTCTTCGCGATGCAAGTCATCTTCAACTCCTGGCCGCGCCGCAGCTTACAGATCAAGGGACCTTTGCCCTCGGGGTCGGTGATGACGGGGTTGCCCACCCACTCGTTTGCGCGCTCGCCGCTGACGGCGAGATCGCGGGCGTAGACACGCATGATCTCGTCGCCGGTGCAGCGCGCGTGCAGGGTGAGCGTGACGCTGCAGCGCGAGCAGCGGTCGTCGCATTCGCAGTCGCGCGTGTACTCGACGTCCTGGTCGCAGTTCTTGGAGTTGAGCGGGATCAGGCCCAGCCGGTGCGCCAGGAACTCATCTGGCAGCACCGACGTGTTCTTCTCCACCTCCACCAGGTCGATCGCCATCGTCGGGATCTCGGCCAGCATCGTGCGCCGGAGCGAGTTGGCGAAGGCGAGGTCCACCGAGCTCAGTTTGAAGTCTACGCGGTAGGGTTCGGCCTGTTGTGTTGTAGGTGTTAGTTACGAAGCCAAGACGAGAAAGCTGTGGTCGAGGTGAGGGGATGAAGGGAGGTGTTGTGTTGCTGTGCTGCTTTTGCGTGGTAGATAATGAAAGCCGGCCTGCATGTCAATTGATTGTTGCTCACCTCGCGGACCGTCACTTGGGGCCCGGTGGGCTCGATGTCCATTTCGTATTCCATGTTGATGCTTGTCTAGCTGTTGGCGATGAGGCCCGAGGTTATGGCCACACACCGGAAGGATTTGGGTTCGGTAGATGGGAAGTTGAGTTGGAGATGGCCTCGATGAGGCAATGCGAGAGAGACTGGGCTTGGGAGAACTGAAAGGCGGAAGCTGAGTTGCGCTTGACCCGATATGGAAGTCCCCTGCAAGGCCGGGCCCAGGTGTCGATGGCACGTGAAGGCTGGCTATGAAGTAGTGAGGGCTTGCTGGTTTTCACATATACTGATTATATTATTACAAGTACACGAGAATCAGTTGAGTTCTATCTCTGGTTCAATTATCATATTATCTCAAGTGTTGTTAGTCAATTCTGAGGTTGTAATAACGCGACCCCCGAGGCAACAACACCTTGCATCAAAGAGTTCTATGTGAGAATATCGAGAACATTCAGTTGCAAGCCAAGTAGCTATGATTATGCGAACTCATGCTGTGCAGCAAAGTCTATAGATAAAATTGCCCTGAGCACAAGACTCAAACACGAGCAAGATGCTATTGGTATCCAAAAATGAAAGCCAACTCCAAGCAAAGGATCCCATCCCAAGTCATGTCTCGAGGACAGTCACTTTTTCTGCTCCATCCGTCGGCAACACAGCCGTACTCCTCTAACAATCTATACTGGCGCTTGCTCGTGAAATCTATAAGAGTGAAAGTAATATCAAGGACGGATGGAATGACAAGAAAGACCATATTCGCGCCTCTCAGCATATTGTGTGTTCGCAAGTCATGCGCAAAAGCCAGCGGCTGCCACCCAATCGTGTCCAGAAAGGAAAGGAAAAAAAAAGTAAGATTATAAAAAACCCAAAGCATTACAGCCAACGGGCGGTAGGAATTTCAAGCCAATCGATGCAAGTAAATCAGAAAACAGCTTTTCCTTGGCTAGATCATTCAAGTCGTCATGAAAGCTCGAGGCTTCCTTGCAGGGCGGGGGAAAAAAACCATCGCTACCTCCGCATGGAGCTGCGATTGAGCGCTTCCAGGAGCTCAGGTCTGCTAGCCAAAGCATCGGCAGCCTGCTTGTAGGTAACCCATTGCCGTTTCCGCTTGTGCATCTCAGGCCACTGTTCCTCTTCACGCTCCACGGTAACCTCGAAGAATTGGTAGGAGGCCTTGGGGGCTTGGGTCGACAATGAAGACGAGGGGCGCATGTCGGGTATTTGCCCCAGATCTTTATGCACCGTACATATTACTCCGGCCTCCTCCCAGGCCTCTCTGCAGGCGGCTTGTTGGGCGCAGTTCTCGTCCGTCTCCCACCCGCCTTTGGGGAGCACCCAACCGCCGCGGCCTGCGGACTGAATCATCAAGACCAGGGTCTTGTCCGCAGACAACGGCACGACACCGGCGACTAGTCGTTCGCCTTTCGGACCGTACCCTGAAACACAAGCGATGTTAGCAGGGTGACGCGAAACCAGAGGTACCAAGATAGCCGGAGAATTCCCATTGGTAGAGCTAGGAAGAGCGGAAATGGATGCGAAGGGATCAACGTGCCTCCCGGGTGCATTACTCACGTTGATTTTTGCGTCCCACACGGGACTCCATTGAGCGAGGTTGTTCCGACATGACGGATCAAATGAAAATATAAGGTTGAAAGATAATTGAGAAATTTCGAGGCCACTCCAAACAAAAAGTCTATATAGCGGAGAGAGAGGGTGGGCGACTGTTGTAGGTCGTTCCTGGACTTCACGCGACACTCGTGTCAAAGAAGAAAGAGGTCCGATGCGACGGGATGAAGCGACGACGACCAATGACACTGACTGAAACTAGCCTGTCAGTGCTGGAGGTGACGTAGAAATCTTCGGACAACGGAGAAGGTGAAGCAGAAAGGTCCAGCCTGGTGTACGAGAGCTGGCGAACAACCTCTCGGTTGAGATTATTTTCCTGACGCGAAGAAGCGAAGCGGGTAGTTGGGAAAGAAAGCGGCGGGATTTTTTTTCTTGCGAGTGCAAAGAAAAAAAAAAAAAGAGCTGAGAAGGGTAGGAGCAGAGAAATCAGGTATCCCCGTTCACTCCCGCGGCGGACGGGAACGTCGAAGAAGATGAATGAAGACAAAAGGACATCATAATCGGAGGGATAGCGAAGAAATAGGGAAAGGCGGATTTAGGAGGGAAAGTGGACGGAGGGGACGGAGGCAGAGAGGGGAGGGAGGAGGGGGGGGGGGCAGAGGCAGAGGGAGGGGAGTGGAGGCAACAGAGAGAGTCTCAATTAATCAATCAATCAATCAGTCAGTCAGCCAGCTTTGGGGGGAAAATCATGGGCGGCGCGCCCCGGCAGGCACTGGAAAGACATTCGAAAGACCGATTGTCTTTGCCCCGGAGCGGACTTGCGCGCGCACTCCTGGGCGGTACCGGTTGGATACATACTGTTGGGGCACAGGGTGCGCTGAAAACCGTATTCTATGTATTACTGAAACCTTACGGACAGTTCTGGTCCGGTTCTCGGTCCAAGACCCCCCAAGTCAGGTACGGTTTGATGAATTCGATGGATTGCGACAGCCTATATTGCCTCCTCTATTTCCGATGACTCTAGCTCTTTCTCAGGGTTTTATTAGACGGTGGCCAGATCCCAGGTCCTATATGTCATGTACTGTACAATTCACCCCTTTCATCTCATGTGTCCTAGATTTGGACTCATTTCTTCTTTTTTTTCTATTCCTTTTTCAGCTTCGTTGAAACTGCTATTTTGCTTAGTCGATTGTGGAGTATGAATCAAAGTCAAGACCAGTAGTAGTGTAGTGATTATCACTTGAGCAGAGGGGCATTGTTCTCGTTATAAGCCCACTGCGCAAGACCTACCTTATACTTATACTAGTCTACTTGGAGTCAATCTCCGCAGCTTGACCGCAATTATTATCTAGACTATTATAGTCTAACTGAGATCATTTTCTCTGCGTGCTCTAATTGACATAGGGTTCCACAGCAACCCAGAAGAACAACCGCGAGATCCCACACGCGAACAACACCGGCGCGCAGTCGCACACTGACCGATTATAAATAGGTGGGATACCCGCTTGTGTCCTCGGATATAGTAGTTGTAGGATGAAGGTGAGGGAGTTCAGAAACCTTTACCGGCCCTGGATCAGACTACAATCTTTGGTGGTTAGGGCTCCAAGGGGGTCCAAACTCCGATAGTCGACGAAGCAAACCCCCGGCAATCCCGGACATAATGGCAGAAAAACTAAGGTTGACTTTTACTAATTGATTTAGCAACCGCAGGCGAGGGTTCCCATAGTTTAATTTTAGATGATCTCACAACCGCCCATCATTGTTTCTCTCTGGCTCATTGTGCGTCATGCTTCCCCATCTCTGGTTTAGAATTTGGAGTTCCCGTCCTTTCGGTACCTGTCTCGCCTATCGTCCATTCTCCTCTGGGTATTTGACCCTCCGTTGAACGGACCGGACACTGTTTCGCTTTCCGCCTGTCTACTGATTCGTGTAATGAAAATCCCATTCCATTAAGGGGAACGGGGTCCCTCTTCAAGGGTTATCTTCTATAGATTGGGCACGGGCGACCCTCACCTGCCCAGCAGCAATAGCATCTCTTCGCTCGAATGAGCTGGCACAGGATTTCGTACTTGCTATGTGTGTTTGCACTCGTCCCAAAGCAGCAGTGACTTGGTTAGTTTTAGCTTAGCTATTGCTGTTGTGTGTCTTTAGAGCTGCATGGGGGTGCAATGAGCGGTGATTGATTTGTCCGTTTTTTTTTTTTTTTGCTTCGTTTCATGAGTTTCTATTGCTCTCACGCTCGTGCATACAAGCTTTAGATTGGATACCATGAGACGCAGCGGCATACACCCTGCATACATACATTAGGTGTCACTGGCATTCCCAGCAAATGAAAGCCGAAGGGGAAAAAAGGGTTTGCTCAATCGGAGGATGCGGGGCACCAACCATAGCCAGACAGGGCCTGACTCGGCCGGCCTACGACTTCCACCTGCGTTGGTTGCATGGTCGAAATTGCTCTCGGACCGGGCCTCGTCAGAGATTGCGACTCAAAATTAACATGTAAGAGAGAAAACGGCGGTGATCGTGGTGATTATGGTGGTGAGAGAGAGAGAGAGCGAGAGAGAGGCATGTGGAGCAAAGCCTCCTTCCATCGGCATGCCCTGAACGGTGGGCAAGTAATGTACCGTACCTGTCCGCTGCACCCAAACCATGAATGAATGAACCATAGAGTTCAATCCAAGCGTCCTGTTGCTCGGACAATGTGGGACTGAATGCGGTGAAAAGGGCACTACTACTACTGAGGGAAGTCCTGCATATCAGTACGGGATAGTGGCTTCAGGACAACTGCTCGGTGGCGATTGGATCTGGACGCGACAACGCAGCAGCGATCTGTGGGAGAAGTGCGGATCCTCGAGATCCTAGCATAGCATCGCCGGCCGACGCCCGTTGTTTGATGCACTGTCGATGCTTGGACGTTAGGGGGAAGATGCCAGCACGTGATGTCATGCGGTCCGGGGAATTCCCAGTGATGAACAAACAGCATCAGCATCGATAGAACCGGAGGAGCTACAGCAGCAGCACATCACTACACATGATCTGTACTACATCTCCCATCGCTTCCGGTTGCTCTTGAAGAAAGGGGACACTTGGCCAACTTCCACTTCCATCCAGAAAGTTCAGGGACGGGTCTCAAACTTACCGTATGGTAAAGGCAGATCATCATACGGCGGCTAACAATACCGGTATTAAATGCATCCATTCTCTTAGTACCAGGGTGTTCTTGCTGTCGCTGATGATAGGGGGCAGTCCATAGTTAGGGCGTACAGTAGTAGGAGCTGTAGCTCTCGGTTATTGAATGGAATTGACATCCTTCTAGAGACGATGAATGGGATGTGTTGGCACTGTGCTCTCTCTTCCTCCGAGATAGTCATCCTCCCCCTTCGTCAGTGGCAACAAGCCGGCCACCACCAACGACAAAAGTACGGGGTTAAAAGAGTAGATCTCTGCCTCTGCCTCACTGCAGTAGGCGGACAGGCGTACAGGCGGCCAGACAACCAGGATGATCAGGCGGTCCTTACAGGAAATTTCGACATGGGATCCGATCCCTCCATGCACATCAACTGAGCTCCTCTTTTCTAGAAGCATCCTGAATCGGGGTTTGGTTGGACAACTCGGGTTAATTAAAGTCTTCGAATTAGCACCGGCACTACTTTGGTCAGTCCGAGCCATTTGGGGAGTGCGTAGATAGATAGATATTGCGGGTGTAGATGGGATGATAATGGAGGGGCAGAGGGTAGTTTGAGAGCGTCATAGAGGAAGTAAGAGGGAAGTAAGTAGTTATGCTTGCCGATAACAACAACTTCCCGCATCATCTTTTCATCTCCATCGTCCGATCAATAATAGTTCCTCGGACTACCGCCGCCACCACCTCTTCCTCTTCAACCTCCATCCAGTTCATCTGTGTCGACACAAGTCATACTAGATCTGTTCTGCTTTTTCCCTCTCTTTCGTCCCATTCATTCCCCGCCGCCCCCGCCTTGAGCGCCGCCAACAAGAAATCGATTCGTGGTTCCATCACACACACACACACACACTTATTACGACCTTCTCGTTTCTCAAACAACCACACGCACGCCATGGTCTCTATCGTCGACGCCGAGCAGGCGAGGAAGTTGTCGCTTTTTCGCCCTCTAGGTAAGCAACCAGTCAAAATAGCCTCTTTCGCCCCGTGCAATCGGTATCGGCCCCAGTTGGTGCCTTTTTCTCCCCCAATCGGTGCCCCTCATGCGGCATGATCCATGATAGCTGCCCCTCATTCCAATCTATACGCCCTTCTCCTTAGTACAGCCTAACAACACCACTGTCATTCATTGTCTTCACCAATCTAGTCTGCACATTTCGTTGCCTTCACCATTGCCTTCACAAAAAGCATTCTTGAAGCATAATATCCTGGAACTTCCGTTGCCTTGCTCTTCAGTCGCCGCCATGTAAACTCCACAAAGATCGCCTGTTCCGCTGACTCCAGCCTATTTCAGGCTACCAACGCAACTCGTGTGGCTACTGTAAATCTGAAGACGGCAGTAAGTCCTTCTGTCTCTTCCGACCCACCAGAGAGAGCCCATCACCGGCATGTCGACGACGGTTTCATGCCACTACTGACGCGCGTCTATTGCAGGTGCCTCCTACTACACTAGCTCGGTTTCTGTACGACCGGCGCATTATGAGGCCCTCGTCAACCGGGGGTGGAGAAGGTATCGTGTGGTTTACCTGGTGCATGACAGGTTCAAGCGACAGGGGAACTAACTCGGGCCTAGATCGGGCACGCTGTACTACAAGCAGAACCTGCAGCGGTCCTGTTGCCCGTACTATACCATGAGGTCGGTAATCTTCGTTCCTCCGCCATTGACTCACGATGCTGACCGTCACGCCAGGCTGGAGGCATCGGACTTCAAACCTCGGAAGGACCAACGTAAGGCTGTGAACCGCTGGAACAAGTTTGTCCTTGGTCCTGAATACATCCGTCGCGCCGCATATTTATGTCCCAAGACACGGGAGTCAGTCGGGCCAGTATAAACTTTGATTCGCGATGGGTCGCTGACTTGCGAACTGTAGGGAGAAGAAGAACCGCAAGTGCCATTTCGACGTTGTGACGGCCGTCCACGAAGCCGAATACAGCAACGTGAAACGGCCCATTGATCCCCAGACGAAGAAATACCTCGAGCCTGCGCATCGATTTGAGGTCAACCTGGAGGGTGACTCCATCTCTCAGGCCAAGTCCGTCACTGCTGCTATTGTAAACCTCGAAGTGAGACTCACCCTTCCTACAGGTTCGACCTCTTCCGCAAGTACCAGACGAAGGTCCACAAGGAAGACGTTTCCAAATGGCAGACCAAAGACTTCAAGCGGTTCCTCTGCTCAGGGCTGACACGCTCACCCGCTGACCCCAAGAAGTCGGACGAGAAAAAGCTTGGGTCGTGGCATCAGTGCTACCGTCTCGACGGCAAGCTTATCGCCGTGGCTGTCTTGGACCTCATGCCGAATGGAGTGAGCTCCGTCTACATCTTGTATTCTCCCTCATGGTGCAACAACCTGACTCGAAGCTGACGTTAGGTAGCTATGATCCAGACTACGAACAATGGGAATTCGGTAAATTGAGCGCGATGCGGGAGATTGCCTTCGCGGTAGAGGCTCAGTACCCGTATTACTACATGGGTGAGTCAATTGGTTTTCAACAATGTGCCACTTACTGATAATGTTCGAACAGGGTACTATATTCACACCTGTCAAAAAATGCGCTACAAGGGCACCTTCCGACCCCAATATATCCTAGGTATGGCTCTCTTTCAACGTGAACCCCCGCCCCTCTCATTCTGATGATGATAGACCCCGAGTCCTACACCTGGGATCCGCTCGATGGCGAGCTCGCCCAGAAGCTCGACACTCGAGCCTACGTCTCCCTCTCTCGGGACCGACAAGCAGCAGCCACTACTACCACCGACAAGAATACCGCCGACCCTGACACCGCCGACGCGGAGATTAACGATGAGGAGATGTCTCTCTTCGACCTGCACATGCCCGGCGCGTTGACCCTCGATGAAGTGAAGGCGCTGGATTTGGACCACTGGTTGCTTCTGGTGCATGGATCATTTGTGCACATGATTGTATGTTCAGCCTTATCATTTCTGGGAGTGTGCATTACTAAACAGAGTTTAACGCAGGATCTCGTTGGTTGGGAGCGAATGCCGCTGGACAACCCACAGTCCGTGAAGGGGATCGTCGCGGAACTGGCGGCCGTACTGGGCCCGGAGGTCTTCAAGGAGAGTGCGGTGGTGTTATTCGATTAAATGCGTAGTTGTAGATAAAGCATTGGGGCAACAGTGCCAATACATGCGCGTAGTACGAATCTTAATCGGTCAACGGCAATAATATCAAAAATACACACCTTTCTGCTATGGCAAGTCAGTAACCCCAATCAGCAGATCTCTCTGCGAATGATATGTCAAGAGGCACATGCATTACACCTTCTTTTCCGTATCACTAGCTTATTGAAGTGCAAGGGTATTCTCTCTGCAAGACACACACACAATATAGTTATGGATCCCTTAACCAACCCACCCTATGCCATCCTTCTTCTTCCCTCCAACCATCAAGAAGAACCAACAACGAAGCCATGGCTCGGCGAATACCCAAAGGCCACAAGGGAGCATCCTGATATTTCAGTGCTAGCTAGATACTAGCCAACTTACCCCTTTGCGTAGATAAGGTGAGATACCATCCTATAGCAGCAACCATCCTATAACAACATAACAACCGATAACAACATGGCCAATCTTCTACAATCTGACCACTATACAACAATCTAACCGCCAAATACACCATAAACCCAACAAAACCCCAAAGAAGGTAGGAGATATCCTCAACAGCACGACAAATCCCGCTTCCCTTCCGATCTCCTCCTCCAGCGGAATCCTACTGCAGAGCAGAGCAGAGAGAAGAAGAGTGGCTGGCTACGTTGCTAGATCTGAACGGGCGGCCCAGGGCTGGTTATCTAAGCGGTGTGCGGCGTTGTAGATCGGTTTTTACAAATAGGGGGGTCAGGATAGGATGGACAGGGGTAGAGTGAGATGGATGAGAATGAGATGGGATGGGCTGGGCTGGGCTGGGATGGGATGGGGTTTTAGTATTTATCTAAGTGTACTGCACTGAATACTGGTCTGCTCTGCTGGGTGGGATCTTTTCTTACTTCTGTGGGACTTGTGTTGATTGTGCATGGGTGATTTCAGTGGGTGGTGTTGATATGGATGATTGGTGCCGGGTATGTGTAGAACAGACATGGAGGGACCGATGGGTAACGGGGTGAGGAGTTATAAGGTAGATTGGGAGATGGATGCGCAGGCAGAGTAGAACCACGCAGAACCGTCAATGTACTGTACGCATCGAGCAATCACTACTCGGTCAATATGCATCAATATCGAAAGAAGGACACTTATCAATCCATTCAAACGTCCCTATGTATGCACAGAGAAAAAGACAGTAGACAGGAAAGGAGAGTAACAATGCAAGCCTGGAAGATGGGAGATTTGAGACACTGGAAAAGAAAAGAAAAAGAAAACAAGCACACCAGCTATAAACACCATCCATTCCCTACCCTCCCCCCTTCTTTCCCTACACCAACCAGACACAAAGCAAGCCAACCCGACCGAGCCCCGATCCAACAACCCTACCCAAGCTGAACCCCGATATCTTGTCCTAACCCGAGGACTGATAGCACCGAAGGAAAGAAAAACAACAAACATGGAACTGGAAATAGCAGAGTAAATCGAAAAACATCAGTAACAACCATGCCCTTGTCTATCTCCTTTTTCTCTTGACCTCATTCGCCTCAAAGTCGCCGCTCAATCGATCAATCATATCACCGCAGTCAGTATCAAGAAGCCTTCGAAGACGATATGAAACAAGATGAAAATCGGAGGAGACAGCAAAGTAACGCCAGTGGACCCTGGATCAAATCTATGGACGCCGTCATCAGTGTGCACTCCATAGATCAAAAGAAATGTCGTTGTCGTGAGACTCAATGATGTAAACACAAAAGATCATGCTGAGAACCATAACCAGATGATGAATGATCCTGTAGATGTAACGCCCACCATGTGCATAGCAGACAGACAATGCTACCCTGAGCGCTGGAGAGAACGCCGTGTATCCGAGAGATATGCCGTGGATGAAAAGATGTAGAACGAGTAGTGACGATGATGACAGTTAGTAAACGCCTGGCCATGCTATGCAGTCAAGCACAAGTCTTAATCAATCTGTCACCTTAATCGTCACCTTCCTCGATGGCCTGCGGCTCCACCTCGCCGCTCTCAGATCCATCCGATAGCATCGAGTTTGGCGGAACGCGCCGTCCAGCCCCGAACACAAACTCCATGAATCGTGCTTTTTGCTTGTCGCGAACGCCCCGAAGATATTCGTAGCTGCCGTCGATCCCCCGGATTTGACTCTCGATCACGGCTCCGATCGGGCCGAGCATGCGGCCGTGACTGTGACTAGTGCTAGCCTCGACGCCACCCGCAAATCGGACCGAGTCGTTGCGCCGCACCAACGGACTGACCAGCTTCCGACGCAGAGTTTCCAGGTTGACCTTGAGTGTGAGGAGACGCCCGCGGTGATCCATCAGCAGGTGTTTGTTAGTGACAGTCCGACTACGGACGTTGGCAAGTAACCGCCTGTTCTTCTCGTACTTGCGAACAATGGAGGCATCGGGTCCAAGAACACGGGTCCACAGTGAACTCAGCATCTCACCCTCCTCTCGTTCTTGCGCATCCGACTCACGAACGACAGTTCGTTGCAGATTTAAGAATTGACGATCGATGGATTCGAAAAGCCCAAACAGTGCCGTGGAGTGGTACAGCTCAGTATTGATACATTCTTCAAGAACGCCGAGAAATTCAGTGAAGGTCCGGGTGAGTGTCGCGCGCGTGCGCTGCGCCGAGGTTTGTCCAAGGACCGCTGTCACGACGTGACCGAACTTGGTAGGTGTAGTCGCCAGCTCACTGCCTGGAGGACCATCATTGGACTCGATCGGTCGTTCCATCGTGCCCAGCCGCGCAAGGATCTCATGCAGATTGTCGAACATGAGTGTAGGCAAGGAGCTAGGTGGTTGGGCATTAATGGCTTCCAATTCGCGTTTGGCCCAATCCATGACGATCAGAATGGAATCGAAGTCGGCATCGACGTTCGCGAAGAAGCGGGTTAGCTCCAATGACAATGTTTTGAGCGACTCAGATAGTTCATCAAGCTGGCGCACGATGATAGGCGCGCTGGTCATATTGGTTCCGCGCACTGATTCGCTCAAGTCCCAGACCGCCACGCCTGTCTCCTGCAACGTTTCAATCTGCTGCGCGCCATGCTCAGAGTAATAGATCAGGGGCTCGAAAGAGCGCGCAAACCCTGACAGCTTGACGAGGTCCGGGATTGGCTGCGGATAATTCGGGAGGAACATTGTGCGCATCAACCCTATCGATAAGAGCGCGACGACAAGTGATACGAGGGTATTGGTCCGAGTACTCGTGATCTTATCAAATTTCTCGCGCAGGTACCCGAACATGGCCGCGAATGGTTCACGATGCTGCACTTCTGCGCGTACAGCAAACCGGATATCTTCATGCAAAGAAAATCACAGGTTAGCGTCCCATACCAGCTAGCTGGCCGGAGTTGTGATCCAAAGTGAACCTACAGTTACTCAGATCCTGTTCTGGTGTAAACTCCAACTCGACATCCTGACCAGCTTGCCCAGTAGCTGGAGCTCGGCTCGGGGAACGTGTCTGAGCCCTTTCTGGATTCGGGGGAGACAGGGCCGTGGGAGCGCACGTGGTATCAGTCATCGTTGAGGACTGCTTACGGTCTTTGTTCGCAGGAGCCTCGATCGCATCCTCGTATTGTGGGCTTCCCTCTCGCGATTGCGACGGACTTACCCCCACCGTCGGCTTCAAGACGGGACGCTCCTTCTCTGGACTGCGAGAATAGGCTTCGTGACGATACCAGCCACTTCCAGGATTATAGTCATGTCTGCGGAAGCCAGGAGGTGACCAGCGCTCCGTATTAGGTGTGGGGTCGTCTTCCTCAGGATCTGATTCTTCTTCGCGGAATCCTGAATGTTGGGAGGGCAAACTAAAGAGGGGTGAACGTTGCGTGTTACTATTGCTTTCAAAGTCCTCGAGCGACACATCCAAGGACGGATGGTCGTCGAAGTTGTTATCGAGCTCGTCCAACATCTGGGACGGTGTTGCGCAATGAAACGCTACCAGAGCCAAGGTTCCTCTTGATCGCGTTGACGATCTGGATGACACCTCGCGCTGTGCGGGCGAGATTAATGCGCGAATGGTGTAAAAGGTCAAGAGGATTTGATCAGATGGTCAGTCGCGAGCGCGCTTAGATACGGTCAGAGCTGTGTTCTAGGCGCGGATGGATGGGGAAGGTGGGGGGAGGCATGAAATAATGTGAGAGTGAGGTGAGAAGGTGAATGAAGAAGGAAGAGGGAGGAGAGGGGAGAATTCTACCCAAAAGATAGAGAATGAGGTTAAGGTGAACCCAGGGAAAGGAATGCGCCCAGTTGAATAGAATGAGGACCGCGTTGAAAGGGAGTAAGTAGCCTGGGAGCCTGAGGACCAACAGGGCGGCCCGATTAATACACGAGTCGGGAAGAACGATGTGAGCGACCGCGCGCAGGACGGAGCCTCAAGTGAAGGATAGAGAGGAAGGGGATGGCAGTATGTGTGTGTGCGATGAGGGCCAGCCGGTCAGTAAGAGTAAGTGACTGAAGAGTGATGCTATGCGACAAGTCACAGCGGGATCTCCGCAATACACCATCAAAAGCAACTGTGAGAGGTGCTTGCATGAACCACCACTATGGACACAGAGCCACAGACACAGGCACCGCAAGAAAGGGTGCCACCTGTGTGAGACAGGGAGGAGCTATGAGTATCGCGGTTAGTGGAGGGCAGATAAGATAGTAGTCAATATACACGATCGGAGTGGACTATGGAGATAAGATGGAAGTCGAGACAAGTATCAGTTCGGGAAGTCAGTGCGATATGAGATTGCGATGGAAGTATGTATATCAGTCTGAGCACAGTTTCGAGGCAAGTAAGTAACCTGTTTCTTTCCAGGTACAAGTAGATGATACGCGCCCCTCGCATGTCTCGCTGGTCGGAGGAGGGGGGGGTTTGGATTCCGTATTTAAACGATGGAGTGGAGGGGGGTGGCTGGACCAATCGTGGTGGGCCTGCTCGGGGTCATGTGCGCTGGACTAGAGACCGACCATCTCTGGATAGTTGAGTTGACACGAGCTGGCGAAGATTCTCTCTGATTACCGGTAGGAACCGATGGTGGTGGGAAGGAGAGGGAAGTGTGCGAAGTTGGAGCGTATGAAGCGCATCTTGAGAAACCGTTGTTCCTCCCATCGCATAAAGAAGAAGCAGAACAACGTGCCGGCATCGATGCGATAACAAAGGAGGGCGGAAGGACCTGAACCAAGAATACACACCACTATCGATTGTTGAACGGTTATCGATAGCGATAAGTCGAGGAGGCAACTCAAGTGGGGTCTGGGGTTTGAGGAGGAGGGGGAGAGG